AAGTACATGCATAACGCCATGATCAAACTGACATTTTTCTGGTCTCTATGTTTTGTTGTTCCCCATCTCACTTCCTCTAGGGCTCAGTCATGGGTTAAAAACAGATTCACCTTCATTATTTGTATGGATGTGATAATCACACAAATGGACAAGTAATCTCAAATGGTTGGAGTTGTGTGGCTTGATGTCATGGATGCGAGAGTAGCCATATGATCCTATGATCCCATTTTGGAGAAGTACTATTTACTCCGAGACATTTTGAGATAAAAACCCACAACTGATTTGGTCTATTAGGCCATTGTAGTGTGTGACCATATTCTTGGTCAAAAGTCACTTTGGTATCTGTATTTTGCCTTTTTTTTCACTTTTGGTCCATGTAGTTTCAATTCGGTCACTTGTGCCCTTATAGTTTCACAATTGTAGCAATTTAAGGACAAGTCACGAATTCCGTCAATTTCTTTCACGGGATCAAAGTTATATTCGTCCATTTATGTCATTTAAACGTCATGGCCAAGTAGAAACTCCCTATTTCATGTTAAGGTGCTAAAATGAGAATTTCGATTTAGGACTTTTCCAAAACTTGGGTTCATGTTGTAAGATTTGGGGAAATTTGTCGAGGGCTTGAATTGAGGACAACCCAAGAGTGAGATAAATGTCAAAAATGGACGGAAGTATCCCAAAGACCAAAAATAAAACAGAGACAAACTACAAGGATAAAAAATGACCTTTTGACCTTTCTATGCTAAAAAACAAATTCAGTTGAGGTAGAATAGAACCACCAATTGAAATTAAAAAGTTTCGAAGGGCATTGAATATGAAAATATGGACCACAGTCCAACAGCCGTAGGCTCTATGTTAAGCTTAAAAGCAATTAATTTCCTTTGGAGGCACTGAAAAAAGGCATGGCTCGAGTCAAGCCCTGCCATGGCCTAAGCAACTGGGGTACTGGTAAATTATTTCTCAATTGACTTACAATAAGCTCCTGCGAAACCATTAACGCTTCATATATTAAATGATTGCCATTAACTATAAGTTACTACATGAATCAAATGAATTATTTGTACAATTGTGGCTGATGACATGCCCAACATAGAGTCTTAAGTGTTTTGCAGACCTAGACGCCGACCAATGGACAAAAACTATTCAATAACACTAGAAACATCAAAATTTTAAGACCAAATAATGCGACAATTTTTTATATGATTTGAATTTAATTTTGATTATTAAATTATTTTAATGCCCTATAGAGTGTTTATCGTTTTTTTTTAATGAGATTTTGAGGTTGGGATTGTTTTAGGAAATTATAAGGGCGAGAGGGTGGTTGACCAATCTAGGGAATCTTGTGGAAGATGTACAGCCTTTGTTGGTGACTTGTGAGGTGTTGGAAGTGATCCACCAGCCGCGGCAAGGGAACAATGCGGCTCATCTATTGGCATAGTTTGGGTTGAGAGAAGGCCTTAGGTTTGTGTGGGTAGACGCTGCTCAACCTTGGTTGGCGTCTGCATTAGCTTTGGATTGGATTGAGGTTTGAATTTTTTTGTTTTACGACAAGCGATGTGATACTCTTTTTTTTTACCGGATTTTTCCCTTTGAGGTTTTATAGCAAGATTTAAATAAAGCCACATATAGCTCCTTCCCCTGTTGATTACTTGGGTTGTATGTCTGTTTTCAGTTGCTAATGAAATTCCTCTTTTGATAAGAAAAAAAAATTTGATGGTAGTTTTGTAATTTATAGGAAGTTTGAAGCCTTTTTGTTATATTATAAATAGGATTTGGGTGTGTTTCTAAAATTTATTTCATATAAAGTTTTTACATAATTTAGATTTCTATATTGAGTAAAATAGTGAATCTTCTAAAATTATTTGCGTTTTCATTCAGGCTAGGCCTGACTTGACAGCGATAAATCAGAAAACCTTTTCTTCATTAATTTAATTTGGGTAGGGGTTCAGAAAAGTCTGAATGAGAGAGAGACTAAGCAAGCTAGTATGGCCCCAAACTAAAATTTTGAAGTTATGGACCAAAACACATAATGATGCCTGGGTTGGGCCTGCCTATATATGCTGTAAATTTAATCAACGGCTATGAAGTCGCTTCTGTGTTCTAATGTTGTATTATCCACGGCCAATGAACCCCACCACTTAGATCTCTTGCAAGACATAAAGATAAGATTAGCCGTTGATCTGATCACAACCACTCATTGTTGGTGTTAGATTGCTTTCCATTTGCTTAATCCAATCGTATAAAGAAAAAACTCTTTCCATGTGAATGGAGGCACAAAGTAAAATAATTAAAAAACAATATCCAGCAAAGGACATATTAGTGTAGTGGTTTGAAGTAATTACTTCCTTAGGTTCTGGTTCGAGTTCTAGCATTCGTATAGTGTGTGTGAGTTTAATATACTCATCTCAATAGAAAGTGTCCTTAAAAAGAAAAACAATATCCCTTTTTTTTCCTTATACGAAAAAGACTATTATGTACAATATTTACTAATCACGTTATAGTCAAATTTTCAACCCATTTTTTAAATTTAGCTCTTCCAATTCAGAAATTTGACTCATCTACTGATAGATCACATCTTGAATAGAAGTGTGAATCATCAAATTAAGTGAATATCACATTTATTAAAGATGGAATATGAAATGTGAATGAGAAGAATCAAAGTTATGCTATTGTGTTTTCAACAAAAGTCATGTTCATGGCATATTTTTATGTGAAACATTGTCCTTTTGTTTCCCAAACTCTTGTTATTTTTAGTGAAAACAAAAAATGCTTAAAGTCTCAACTTTTGTTTCCGAACTTATGTCACACTTGATGTGCACAACGTATAATTACATTGGAAACCAACCATGATAAAAAATTTAACACAACAATATCATGTTACTCGGAAAATATAACATTGTTATTTGAATGTAATCACAATATCAGTAAAACAAAACACAATAATTACATCATTATCACTAGATTGTGACATATTATAGATTTCTCCCAAACATATCAAAATTAGGAGGCAATAAAGCAATTTAAACATAATCTCATATGATATTCCAAGAGCACTTTAACTTCTTAGAGCAGCAAAAGGGAGATGATGTTGGAAAGCTGAGTAGCCTACGGCCCTAAGCAGACACAAATGTCAGGCCTAATGTTTTTGCACCAAAAAAATCAACTAAAAAGGGGCTTGTATCTTAAGCAGTTAAGAGCATTTATTTATGCATCCGAAAATATTATATTCGATTTCCCTATCTCAATATTGCTCGTACATAAAATAAAATAAAAACAAAAAAAGCCAAGCAAGCAGCAAATAATTTACTGAGTGAGTCAGTTTGACTCGCCCCCTCTACGTTGACTAGTTGGGAGGAAGGCTACTGCTTTGCTAGTTGTGTAAATAAATTGTGTGTGGATGGACAATTGAGGCATAATAATTAAAAGAATTATTATTATTATTATTGGGGCTAAATAATTATAAATGCAAGAAAATGACGGGTCATCTTCTCGCTGTTACTAACTCTGTCGGGCCTTTGCTTCGCGGGCGGTCCCCGCCGTTCCCGCCCTATGGACAGATTCTAATATCAACTTTACGGCCCAACGGAAACCAAGAGTATTCATTCTAAACAATTTTTTTTTCTTTTTTCATGTGATTAAAAGATAGGCCAATCAATGTTATGAACATGTATCATCAAGGAGGCTGATTTTGTTGCGGATGCGACTATGAATACGGGAAATTTTCATGCTTCTTTCTTGGACTTAAAATTATACGTTCTTTCTTAAATTTGGACATACATCTTTCTCTAGTTGTTAGGAGTGTCGTTGACTTTTTTTTTAGTATAAGCGATAGTCTAAATTACGTGGAGTGTCGTTGTCGTTTGATTGTAATGTTTATGTTACTTTTTCTCATAAAAAGTTGTAAGGATGAGAGAATGTCTTAACAAGTGAGGACTTGAGTATCATTATTGGTGTAATTTTCTTCGTTTTCGTTGTAATATACGTAAGGTATTAACCTCCATTTACTAAATTAGGTGACTAACACACTATATTCTTTCAAATATTATATTCGATAGGAATATGAATAATCATAAGATATATGTTGGATGACTCACTAGATTCAAAGTATACTGAAGTAAGAAATGAAGAATGACAACTTCCAAATTCTGTCCAAATTAAAAGTAGATGATGACTTAGTCATGAAAGAATGATAAGTTTTCAAATTTGGATGCCAACTTCCGAATTTTCTCAGCAGAGTTGGTCTCCATTTATTCTTTCAACCTAATTCAATTCTAAACACCAAACACACTGCGAATCAAGTGAATCCTCACTGGTGTCCGTGACCCGCAAGACCTTTTTATTAACAAGAAGATGTTAGATGAAAATGAAATGCATGTACAATATCAATTAAAAGTGCAAAAGAGAGAAAAAAATAGTTGAAAGGTAAAACTTTAAAAAACGAAAAAGGAAAAAAAATGGAGGCAGAGTTTGCCAAAGGGTGGTGGTCCCCATTGTTCATTTCCTCCTTTTACCTCTCTCTCACCTCAACTCTGCTCTCAACGAACTGTACAAATGGAGGTAACAAATACCCGTATAATTAAACAGGACGCCCAAAACAAGCAAAGTTCCTTTCTCTATACTTCAAATGGTTGAGAAGTAATCTCTCTTCACAAAACCAACACTCTCTCTCTCTCTCTCTCTCTCTCTCTCTCTCTCTCAGAGACAAACACAGAAACATCTTGACCGCCATAGCTATCTCTCTCTCTCTCTCTCTCTGTGTCTCTATATATATTTCTACCCATTTGGCCATTTTGCCCACATTTGCTTCCTGTTCCCTCTTCTCTCTCTTTCTCACTCATTTCGCTCTCGAAATTGCACAGTTCGTTTCAAAACCTTAATCCAGTTACTGGGTTTTGCTTAATTAACACCACTACTCTTTGTTTGAGCTCAGAATTTTGAGAAATTAGCTCAGAATTGAGCTCTGTTTTGGTTCAATTTGCCGCCCAATTTCCCAGCAACCCATGGACCCAACCGGAGCAACCGTACCCGGATCCATTTTACCAGGACCCGAGTTCGAGTCCCTCCAATTCCGAGAAGAAATCCACCGACTCATGGCCGTGCCACCGGAGAACGCCAGCTCCTTCACGGCGCTTCTAGAACTTCCGCCGACCCAAGCCATGGAGCTCCTCCACCTCTCGCCGGAGGCCAACTCTACTCCGACTCCGGCCGCCATCTCCGGCGAGGCGCGGGTCCAACACCCTTTCAATTCCAGCCTCACCTTCCCTGCAAACCCCGCCTTAATCGAACGCGCCGCCAAGTTCTCGATCTTTGCCGGAGAGGGCTCGCCGGAGACAAGCTCCATGCCGTCCAACTCCGGCGCGGATTTGGAGAAGGTGAAGACCGAGCCGGTCGAGACCGATTCGAACCCGAACTCATCCCAGCTAACGCTTGACGCGACCAAGAACAACCAGAGGTCCTCGGCGAAGAGAAAGGAGCGAGAGAAGAAGGTACTAGTCCGATCAATTAGGGTTTCTAGGGTTTACTTTTCCCCCTTCTCGTGATTTTGCTGAATTTTCAAAGTGAATCACGAACTTAATTCAATCCCTCACTCTGTGAAATTCAGGTTAAGCTCTCGACGAAGAAGAGCAAGAGCGAAATCAAAGAAGACGCCGACAAGGTTCCCTATGTTCATGTTCGTGCTCGGCGTGGTCAAGCCACAGACAACCATAGCTTAGCAGAGCGAGTAATGTCTTTGATTAAACTTAAACCCATAATTAAATTTGCACTAAGTAAATATTTTCTGCTAAGAAATTCAACATCACTTGTACTTTTTTTAATTATTTTTTATTGGGATTTTGCAGGCGAGGAGAGAGAAGATTAATGCGAGGATGAAGCTGCTGCAGGAGCTGGTCCCAGGATGCAATAAGGTTTGATTAACTTTTGTGAGATCTTAATCTTTGGATTAATTGGTTGATTTAGATTTTGGGGATTATATAATTGAATTTATGTCTCTATTGTCTCTTGAAAAAGTGCAATTATGTTTTCAGATTATGTTCTTTAATAACGGTTTTGTCCTCGTCAACTTTTTCACAAAAGTGCTTTGCTTTTCGACCAAGAAAAGGGCTCGCAGCTCGCTGGCTTGTGCCAGTGGTATTTCCGTAATTTCACTGCAGTTTAATTTTTTTTTAATGAATAAAACTTTTATTTTTTCTTTTTCAATAAGTTGGAGGACAATTGGGAAAAAGGAAAGGTTGTGGTGGGGGTTGTACTGGGTTTGGTGAGGAGTCCTTTTTAAAGGTTAATTTTGTCATATATATTTTTATTTAATTTCTTCACAAAAAGAATTTCTTTTAGAAATAATTTGTACTTTTTTTTTTTTGGGGTCAAATGACAATTGTATTTCCAAATTTTGTATTTTAAGGTTTATATAAGCAAAATCTACTCTAAATTAATCTAATTTACGGGGAACGAGATTCAAACTAATTTACATGGAATGAGATTCGAACTTGAGTCATCGCGGCGGGCTCACTGCCATGGCTATATTTGCTGTATTTCCAAATTAGACTAAGGAGATATTAACTATAAAATAGCTGAGTATTGTTTTAAATGACGGATATACCCTCATAGAGAAAGACATTGTCATGGGGTAATGCTAGCTGGACTAAGGTTGTGGTGCTTAGGGGCAGAGAGACCCACATAAGATAGTGGGCATGTAGAATAGAATTACAGATTTAGATATTTGTGGGTCCCATCCCATCCCAATCCATCGGCATCTCCCATCAGCCATGGTGGGCCAGGCACAAGTTAAATGTTAAACCCTCTTCTGAGGGCGCATAGTACTATCAATCTCTAACGAGTTTGGCATCCATCCTTGCTTGGATGACGGAAAAAGGAAGACAAAAGAAAACCTCCTTTAACAAACTGCCCTCGCCTAACTGCGTGGAGCATGATGTATGTGTATTGATGTGAGAGTCCACTAGCAATTTCACTTGATTGAGCTCAACCAGAGATCTAAGCTTCCCAAGATTCCTTCATGCTGATGACAAGTTTTTGGGCCTTTCTGGGATAGTTTGTGAAATGACCTCAGAGTGTCCAGGAGAAAATTGTTAGAAGAAAAATCTGCAAATTACCCTTTCTTGGGACGTAGGTTGAATGAATATAAAAAAAATAACTGGACTTAATTGCTACCAGCTCTCTAATTCAATTAAAGAAAATCACTTTGCAATGGATCCAGTGAGCTGTACTCTGCTGGAAGCTGAGGGATAGTGATAAAATTTCCTAAGAGATCAGTATAGTTAACCCCATCTTGATATTTACTTTGTGGAAAGGTCAAATCTTGCTTATAAAGAGTGTATTTTTGATTGATTGTTCTTGACATGCATCCATATTTATGACCGCCAATTGCGTCTGCATCTTGCTATCAAAATATTCAAGTTTCAAATGTCAATCCTCATGGAATTGCACGCTTCAGAAATCAAATCACTCTATTATTGTCCAGGGAAGTTGACTATTTCACTTCATCCCATTGTTCATGCAAATTCTTTGGTAGTTCAAACTGACACGATGACAATGCTTTTGAAAAATGGGAAATGTGAATCCATCACTGGATTTTGGTTTGATTCTGATTGTACCGTTTCTTAGATATTTGACATTTTTTTAATTATAAAAAACTATTTACTCTTGTTATGTACTATCTAAGTTTGGTCTGATCTGTAAATGCTCTTTACAATGAATATAACAAAGAAAATAATAGATATCCAACTTTTCTTTATGGGTTTAAATTTTACATGAGGAGTTGATATTTCAATCATGGGAGGGCTCTCCCATTTACAGAATTCGTTCCATCTTGTTGGGTTGAATATGTTGAGCAAACTTTTTCTGTTACACGTTCTTTAACGATTACCTTGAATCATTTGAATATTTGTGTGCATCTTCTTATAAATAGATTACTCTTCCCACTTCCAGAATCACTACCTAAAACAATTTTGCTTTGCAGATTTCAGGCACCGCACTGGTTCTGGATGAAATCATCAATCACGTGCAGTCCCTACAACGTCAAGTTGAGGTCAGACCTGCTGCACATCTCATACATCTCAAGTAATAGTTTTAGCACTGAAATGAAAAGGCTTGACTTGAAGAATTTAGTTGGAGAATCCTTTGTTCCTTTGTTCCTTAGAATAAAGCTTCAACTAACTGATGGGTTCTTCTTCACCGTATGCAGGCTAGTGGAATGGTATCCAGGGATATGTGATTTAACAGTTGAATATGTCCTTTAAAATCCCTAGCTTAAAAACATTCATATAAAATTGGGACTATCTGATTTGTTTCAGTGCTTTTTTCCCAGTATAGCATTTCCATTTGCCAAAGGTCTAAGAAAGTTTTACCCCCTGAAAGTCTGAAATTATTTGCCAAGTAGTTCTCCATCAGTATGGATCTAGACTCTTCATCCTGTCCATGCATACATCCATTTTGGTTTTAGCTACTTTTAGATGCTTTAGTTATTCCCTTCTTTTAGTTACAAAGCCAGAGAGAAGTCAAGCAATCCTAGGGAATGAAGTTATCATACTGGTTATTTCTAACTATCTTTTACTGCCATGTTCTGATTCTGGTAAAATTTCATTTGTTTCAGTTCTTATCAATGAGACTTGCGGCAGTCAACCCAAGAATTAATTTCAACCTTGATGGTATATTGGCTGCTGAAGTAAGTATCACGCAGCTCCTTTAAATACTATTCTATTTTGAAATTGAGAAGCTAATGAGGCGTCCTCGTGTTTTATCAGTGGTTCAGTATTATTTTCAGGGGTGTGGATGCATACCTGGCTGCTTAGGGGCCTGTTGCCATCATTTTCAAGTTATGCAAAAATATTAGACTTGTTAGTCGCTTCATGGTTTGACCATTAATTATATACTTAACAATGGCAGTGTAGATTAGCTAACAGTTTTATGCTGGTTTTGGGTTTGCGTCATTAAATACTGCTAGCCAAATATTAAACGACGCTATTCAGCAATCAAATGTCAGGCCAGTGGATGAGCTTTGGAGGCCCCTGTTTCTGTCTACTACCTGGCTACTTTTATTTATTTATTTGGAATGGTTTTTAGATTATGATAGATAATTGTCAGTTACAATCAGTAACCAGGCAATCTAAAGGTTGTTTACATTTAGTGGGACCACTGCAATTGGGGGTCCATGAATGAGTTTTTATTTATTCTTCTTTTTCTCTTTGTTTGAAGTAGAATTGTGGTAATTGATAGGCTACACTACTTCATGGAGTAAGTTCTACCCTTAAGTTAGTGTCATATTGATTGCATATTACTGATATATTTGGCTATCCTCCACAACTTTCAGAGTGGATCTCTAATGGAAGCTAACTTCGCCAATATGGTTACACCTCTGATGTGGCCAGAAGTCCCAATCAATGGAAACAGACAACCGTATCATCAGCAATGGCACTTTGATACTCATCAGCCTGGTTGGGGGAGGGAAGAAGAAACTCATACTTTCATTACTCCAGAGACCTCCCTTATCAGTTGCGACTCTTCAGCAAATTCAGGTAGACCGATATGAGTCTTATTGTTCACGCATCTCCTTATGTGTCTCCAAAACCCTTTGCCATTGGCAGAGTGCTTTTCATATCTCATTTCAGGCCAACTTTTCAATTGATTCAAGAATTTGATATAGTGTGCTATCCTCACACTCGATGCAGTCATATTGTTGATGAAAAATATACATGAGGTGCAATTTGTTTCTTTTCTTAGCAGAAAAGTAACATGGAATAACGAGATTTAACTTCTTCATTTCATTATTGTTGTGCAGCAACTCTGCAGACAAGTCATTTGAAGATGGAGATGTGAAGACGACGTAATTAAGTTCTACTGGTAGAAGTGTATATATCAAGTATAGTATTTTAGCAGTTAGCAGGAAGTAGAGGAAATGCCTTGGTATTCATGGCGCGTTTCTTTGGTCTCTATTTTTCAGGGTCAGTTATGAATCCTGATTTCCCTCTGTCTAGAGAGGGAAATAGGTTTGGTATGTTATCCTTATGAAATATATAATATATACTAACTTTGAGGGTCATTCAATCTAATACTTATTTTTTGAACTCTTTGATTGGTTCCTATTGTAAAATCATTGAATGAACCATTGCTTAACAACTGTTATTGGAAGACTTCTTTGTTCAGTCCCAGTGTGTGCACCATCAAGTTCTCTGCACTTTTTTTCTTTTTAAAACATAACGAGGGCTGAAACAAAGCTTAATATGGTTCTGAAAGTGCTTCCTTACTCTTTCATAATTCCTGTACCGATTAGAGCATTTCCAGCAAGCAGGCTGGGGGGAGGGCTGGGGGGGGGCTGGGGGAAAATGCTGTTTCCAGCAACACAAAGCTGCCAGGGCAAGGAGTGGGGCCCAGCTACCTGGGCTGGCCCGAAGGGGAGGCTGGCCCGAGCGCCAGCCCGGGCAATCTGACGTCAGCACGCTACAGTGCTGCTACAGTGCCCGCTACAGTGTTTTTTTTGTCCAATAAAAAAATGAAAAAAATCGAAAAAAATACCCAAAAAATACTGAAATTTTTTACTCTTCACTTTTAACACCAGCAGCCAATATTTTTGTAATAAAAATTGAAAAAAATACCAAAAAATTACTTCTTCTTTATTTATTTATTTATTTTTTTCTCTATACCTTATTTCCATTTTCAACATTTAAGTAAATGTCTTTGTCCTTTTATTTTTATTTATTTTTATATTACTCCATTTACTTAAGTTTACAATGTAAATAAGGAAGTACCCCCCATTTGGATTCAAATAAAAATACTAGAAAATCAAATTCCCACCAAATCAAAATATGAAAAATCGTTTTTAGTGCAAAATACGATTTAGGCTAAAAATGATGGCTAATTAAGTCAATATATACTTCATATTAAAATCCCATAAAATCAAGTTTTCTTATTTGATGTGTAAGGAATAAAAGCCGCCAAAAATTTTCTTGAGAAAATGATTATTTTGAAAAACCATTTTTCATACTTAGTCAATATTGCACCTCCGCTAAAAATCTTGAGAAAATGATTTTTCATACGTAGGAACCCAAAATCTTATCCGAAAATATTATACAAATTAATTGTTGAAGTAAACAAAGTTGTGAAAAAAACAAAAAAAATGAATAGTATTTGCCATGGCAAGCCTTGCATTGCTGGAAACACAAATTTTTTTTGCCCTAGGGCAGCCACTATTCACGTGAATAGTACCCGCCCTAGGGCTCCCCTTGCCATGGCAAGGGGCTAACTGGTGGAAGTGCTCTTACAGAATGTGGAATGAGCTGTGCTCGCTTAAGTAACGCGTGGGCATGCGATGATGCTATCACAGCCGCTGGATCTTCGCTATAGGATCTGCAATCATCAACAGCTGTGCTAAGGCCGCACGCCTTGTGCGACTAACGCTAACATAATCCATGTGCCCAGTTAGAGTATATGTCACGTAAAAAAAAGAGTTGATAAATCCTATTACCTAAAGTGAATCCAAGGAGAATTATAGAAGGGGGAGTTTCCCAAAATTTCCATTTGTTTCATTGCATTGCAGTATAAAATCAAACAGAGTAACTGAATTTTGACTCCAGAGACCCATTCCAAATGGCTGCTCCATCTCCTCCTCCTTCATCCCTCATCCAATCAATCACAGTCCCACTCCTCTTCTTCCTCTTCCTACTTCCTCCCCTCCAATCCAATCCCGCCACGTCATCCACCATCGAACTCCCTCACACCCTCTCCCCCACCACCATCTCCGTTGTCGACTTCGGCGCCACCGGAGACGGCGTCCACTACGACACCTACGCCATCCAATCTGCCATCGACAGCTGTCCCACCTTCTCCCCCTGCCACGTCACCTTCCCTCCTGGGCGCACCTACCTGACCGCCACGATCCGCCTCAAATCCGGCGTCGTTTTGGACATCCAAGAAGGAGCGACGCTCATGGGCGGCCCGAGACTCGAGGACTACCCGAAAGAGCAGAGCAAGTGGTACGTGGTGTTGGCGGAGAACGCGAGCGACGTCGGAATCAGCGGCGGTGGAGTGGTGGACGGTCAGGGCTTGAAGTTCGTGACGCGGTTCGATGAGAGGAAGAATGTGATGGTGAGCTGGAACTGGACCGGCGCTTGCTTGGGCGACGAGTGCCGGCCCAGGCTCGTCGGCTTCATCAACTGCCGAAATGTCAACCTCTCCAATCTCAGGTTGCGTCAGCCGGCTTACTGGTGGTGCGCATTCTAATTTTCCCAATATAATATAATATAATATAATATATATTTTCATTTTCATCCTATATTTTGTGTTGAAAAAATGACAATACTCGACATATAGGTATGGATAAATTGCCATTACTTTACGGTTCAATTATTGTGAGTTGGGTTCACTGACTTTTTTAAGCTTATCTGCAACATCTAATTTCACTTAAAAATTAATTTACAAATGGATTAGGTTTATGAACCATAAAAATATCCGCTTATATTATAACACGTGCATACTCTCCAATACTTCACCAATACTCTTGACTAACAACTCTGCCAAATTGTTGCTTTCATTTGATTAATGAAGATTGGTCAACATTGTCTGCGAGAAAATTCTGTTAAATACTCTAGATATTGTTTTTTTTTGGTTTTGTTCGAAATACTCTAGATATTGTTAGTATCCCATAGCATTGTTGTGTGCATTTTTTTAATACAAATTATATTGTGCATTTCTTTTTTTTTCATTTTCTTTTTACAAATTATATTGCATTTGGTTCCTACTTTAAATGACCCCAACTGTTGCTAGTTTTGAAACAGAGTAATGCTAGGAAGACCACATTTATAGATTACCTTGTATAGCACCTCTCTAATAGAAGTGGAGAGAGAGGTGGTACACAAGGTAGTTTATAAATGTGGGCTTCCTAGCATTTTCCTTTGAAATATGCTTCTACCACATCACTTGACTTCCTCTTTCTCCTCTTCCAAACATTATAATTGTAACCGATCTCAAAGAAAAAAATTAAAAAATTATATTGCCCACAATTGGTTTGGTTACAAGTACAATTCAGTATAGTATAGCTAAATTTAACTGGTATTATTTTTCTCTTATTTAAGTTATATCATTTGACTATTGTATTTCTTTAACTTAACTTTCAACTCTAGCCATGCATCTGATGGAAACATTGCATAATTGCAGCTTGCACATTGTGCAGTGTGAGAACGTACTGATTCAAGATGTTTCGATTTATGGAGACTTTAACACACCCAATAATGATGGAATAGATATTGAGGATTCGAATAACACAGTCATTACCAGATGCCATATTGATACTGGAGATGATGCTATCTGTCCAAAGACATCCACTGGCCCCCTCTATAACTTAACCGTAACAAATTCTTGGATTCGAACAAAGTCTTCTGCAATCAAACTTGGTAGTGCTAGTTGGTTCGATTTCAAGGGTCTTGTGTTCGACAACATCACTATTGTAGATTCTCATAGAGGCCTGGGATTCCAAATCCGTGACGGAGGTAATAATTTTGTTTAGCGTTTCTTGTGTTATATTTATGTCCATTATTTGTGCAGAAGAAAAAAAAAATGACATCTCATTATTATATGATAAACTGCTTATCAAAGTTACAGATGAGATAGCTTGAAACCAAGCTAGAAATTTGAATGTGAAAGTTCCAGACTAATCTCTTGGGACTGGCTTCTGTTTAGCAAACCTCTTCTTTCTGTGGCTTGTATGATGTCTGTCTTCAGAGTTCAGACTAAAGATTTACAGGTTAAAAAGTTGAAAATGACTAAGAAATTGGTTCAACTAAGTAGCAGCTGGACTTGGTGACGTCGAACATTAGAAATTTTCATTGCTCGCTAGCTCTCATAAATCTCTGTGTCATGAGATTACTGACGATTCACCTTGTGCAGGAAATGTGAGTGACATTACCTTCTCAAACATAAACATCAGCACAAGATACTATGACCCGTCCTGGTGGGGCAGAGCAGAGCCTATCTACGTGACTACTTGTCCGCGAAACTCAAATTCAAAGGAGGGTTCAATCTCTAACCTACTCTTCGTCAACATCACTTCAACTTCTGAGAATGGTGTATTCTTATCAGGCTCTAAAGGGGGGCTTCTTAGTGATTTGAGATTCATTAACTTGAATCTGACTTACAGAAGATGGACCAATGACGCTGGTGGGTTGGTAGACTACAGACCAGGATGCCAGGGACTGGTTAATCACATCACAGCTGGCATCATCATGGAACACATTGATGGCTTGGTGATTGACAACGTTAACATGAGATGGTCTGATGACCCGTTAAGGCAGTGGGATGATCCCCTGGATTTCAGGTCGTCAACTGTAAATAACATATCTCTGCTTAATTTCCATTCAAGCTTGTTTGTACAGCCGGTGAAAGAGGGAGAGAGAGGGAGATTAGGAAGAGCCACAGAATAATGTCATTCTTTTGATTGTACATTTGGGATGGATTCGAAATTTTGTGACGAAAGGCCGGCCACATGTTTTCATTTCTAGTGTATGTTTATCCCCGTTTGTAAGAATGCAGGTCATTGTGAATAAAGAATACAGTATGGTTCAAAGTTTTATGAGATTGAAGGCATGAAATTTGTTGTAATTACCGCTCTCCTGAGAGTATAGCTTCATTCCTTGCACTCCAAAAAAGCCCCTTCTTTTGGCAATTTAACATTGTCAAAACCCATCTTATTTTTTTCAGAATGCGATATTCTAAACTACTCTAATGCATCTAATGTACGAGCAGCTAGATCCAACTCATGGGCAAGAGGATGGACATATCGAGTACTAGGTGGGCCCACTCTATGAGTTGTGGCAAATCTTAAAATTTTCTTTTTATTTCTTTGGTAAATATAAAAGCTAAAAAGACGATTATGCTTCTCTCAGGCCTGGCACATAAATAGAAGAACCAAAAACCTCTTCAATTTGGACCTTGAAGTTCTTCAAGCAGTCCAAACAATTTTGAAGGTTAATAATAGAGGTGCTGGTCTCTTAAAATTGATATGATCCGAAAATTAAGCTTATTTTATGATGCTAATCAAGTAATTTCCTCCATGTCCAACCAATTTGCCCGCCAACTCTCCCTTACCTCATTCCCTCCAAATTCACAGAATTTAAATTCTCTATGCTCCAACGGTCAACTGAGAGAAGCTTTGGTGGAAATGGCCGTTCAGGGCCTTGAGATGAAGTTTGAAGGCTACTACACGCTGTTAAACGAGTGTGTAAACCGAAGGGCCTTCAGGGAAGGCCAAAGAGTCCATGCCCACATGACCAAAACCTGTTACCTTCCGCCTATGCACCTCAGGACCCGGTTGATCGTCTTCTATAATAACTGTGAATGTTTGAATGATGCACAGCGTGTGCTCGATGAAATGCCTGTACGAAATGTGGTGTCATGGACGGCAATGATTTCGGCTTATTCTAAGAGGGGGTATGCCTCCGAAGCTTTGAATCTTTTTCTACAGATGTTAAGATCAGGTATTATTGGTTTTAGTTCTAGTTTATATAAGTGGGTCATTGAGACATGACCGTGAGTAAATTGTCAGTTTTTCTTGCTTAATTAAATTTGGTCCTGGTCCCTCAGAAAGAATAAAATTTGGTCATGGTGATTTATTTTTTCTCTTGTTTAACAGGGTCTTCCTGTATTGATAATTATCTGTAAACTTGGCAGGTACGGAGCCTAATGAGTTCACTTTTGCAACCGTACTTACTTCATGTAGTGGTGCGTGGGGGTTTGACTTAGGAAGGCAAATCCACTCTCTCATAATAAAAACAAAGTTTGAATCACATATATTTGTTGGAAGCTCACTTCTCGACATGTATGCCAAAGCTGGTAGAATCTATGAAGCCCGAGGAGTTTTCGACTGCTTGCCAGAAAGGGATGTTGTTTCGTGTACTGCTATAATCTCTGGCTATGCCCAGCTGGGTCTTGATGAAGAGGCTTTGGAGCTGTTCCGTCTGTTGCAGAGGGAAGGAATGACTTCGAACTATGTCACTTATGCCAGTGTGTTAACAGCATTATCAGGGCTTGCTGCGTTGGACCTCGGCAGGCAAGTTCACAACCACGTCCTTCGTCGTGAACTGCCCTCATATGTGGTTCTTCAGAACTCGCTGATTGATATGTACTCTAAATGTGGAAACCTAAGCTACTCAAGGAGGATCTTTGATAGCATGCCAGAGAGAACTGTTATATCATGGAATGCAATGCTTGTAGGGTATAGTAAGCATGGAATGGGAAAAGAGGTGGTTAAGCTTTTCAAACTAATGAAAGAAGAAAATAAAGTCAGACCAGACAGTGTCACTTTTTTGGCTGTTTTATCTGGTTGCAGTCACGGAGGAATGGAAGATAGAGGGCTAGAATATTTTTATGCGATGGCAGAAGGGGAAAATGGTATTGAGCCAGAGCTTGAGCACTATGGGTGTGTTGTTGATCTTCTTGGGCGTGCTGGTCGAGTTGAAGAGGCATTTGAGTTTATCAAAAAGATGCGTTTTGAACCAACTGCTGCTATATGGGGTTCACTTTTAGGTGCTTGTAGGGTTCACTCAAATGTTGAGATTGGTGAATTTGTGGGTTTTCGGCTTTTACATATTGAACCTGAAAATGCTGGGAATTACGTAATTCTTTCTAATTTATATGCTTCTGCGGGGAGATGGGAAGATGTAAGAAATGTAAGGGAATTGATGGTAGAGAAGGCCGTGATAAAGGAGCCAGGAAGAAGTTGGATTGAGCTTGACCAAATCCTTCATACTTTTCATGCAAGTGATCGCTCCCATCCAAGAAGGGAAGAGGTGTCTGCAAAGGTGAAAGAATTGTCAGTCAAATTAAAGGAAGCTGGTTATGTTCCTGATTTGGGTTGCGTTTTATATGATGTGGATGAGGAGCAGAAGGAAAAAGTACTCCTAGGCCACAGTGAAAAGATGGCTTTGGCTTTTGGGCTGATTGCTACACCTGAAGGAGTGCCTGTACGTGTGATAAAAAACCTTCGAATTTGCGTCGATTGCCATAATTTTGCAAAATTTGTCTCAAAGATTTATGGAAGAGAAGTGTCTTTGAGAGATAAAAACCGGTTTCATCACATTGTCGGGGGAACCTGTTCTTGTGGAGATTACTGGTGAGTTTTGAAGACTCTTGCACTGCCTCTTACAGATATAAATATCTGATTTAACAATGAAACAGAAGCTTTGGTCATCGTGGAACAATGACATGAAATGGAAACTATAGGCCAAAAACATGGAGTGACATGTAGAAAACTGAGAAACCATACTTCAGTATTGGCATAAAGGAGAATGTTTTGGTTTCTGGCATGAAAAGAGAATGGAGTATCTTGGCCATGTGGGTTGAACGGTTGAAGATCATTTGAAGTAGACGATTCCCTCTTTCACACTCTCTGAGTTCTTTTGAAGACTATTATTGAACCGGGGGCATTCGAGGAGTTCATATCTTTGTTCAGCACTGAAACAGAAAGGCAAATAGCTGTCTAGCCGATACACACTTCATGCCTATACATGATTTCACCAAGGCGTCGTTAACGCTTTATTTTGAAAGAACGAATTCTCAGGGGTGCAAGTTTTTCCTGCTAGAACTTGTTCTGAAGCTTGTGAATATATGAGATATAATGATGCAGGCCTTCTCAAGGCTTGAATTCCTCTCTGTTTAAAGAGGCATAAGTTATTGTTCTTGTCAGAAAAGAATCTCAATGATTTTCTATATCATGATTCAACTTGTTTTGTTTGTTCTAATTATGTATTACATCATGAATATAGCTTCTTTGATGCATTTTCACATCATTTGTCTTTTTTTCTTCTCACTCCCTGTCTGTCCAAATAGTAATTTACTGCTCTTGGATAATTTGATGAGTGATTAAAGTTACTATTGATCAACAAAGCTTGGGCGCCCAGCTTTGAATTCAGGGAGAGAAGAGGCAAAAACAAAAGTAAGGAACAAGAAAGTAGAGGTGTACAACTGGCGGTGCCAATCCGGTACTAGTTGGGTGGCTAGTTCGAGAATATAATTTCAATTTTGACTTAGTTAAGTTAAGATTGAACTTGAAAATGGAATTGTTCTTTGAGTCAAATTATGAATTTGAGTCTATAGAATGAAAGGACATATTAGAAAAAGTTTGTAGTATTTTGCTATGAATTATTCAAAGTTACAATGAATTTTGTGAGTTTTTAGTTTAAAGGTCTCAAGGCCGATTCGAGGGTCCTTACCTGGGGCTACGATTGAGTGGTGGCCGAATGCAAGAGTCGAGCTGCCAAGTCAAAGTTTGGAGGTCCCATATACCGAATTTTGGAATTTAAGTGCAACACATTTCTAGTGATGTATAATTGATGAATGAGAAAGGAGAAAAAAAAACTATTATTAAACATGTTATCAGTTTTCAAAAAATGAAAAAGAAAAATAGAAAATTGAAGACGAAATAATTATCAAACCGGCGATAAGCTTACAAAAAATCCCACTCACACACACACACAAAAAAAAACACTAGATTATTTATTTATTTTTATTTCCAAAGAACCAAGAGATGAAGCCAGGTGGGTGGAGTTGGGTTGGTCCTGGCCCTTATTTTTAGATACTTGCAAGGCCCATCCAATAAGGGAGGCAATACGACAGCAAACCAAGCTCACTCTACTCCTCTTCTCTCTCTCTCTCTCTCTCTCTCTCTCTCTCTCTAGCTGGGAGGAAAGTCTTACCATACCCGCCTCCACAATGCTCCGCCAGCGCCTCATCCAGACTCTCCGAACTCGCGGCGGTTCAGCCACAGGTCCGAGCCGGTGGACCAGCCCGGGCCACGAGGAGCAACCTAAAGGTTACCTCTTCAACCGGACCCCGCTGCCCCCAGGCCAGACTCGAAAATGGGAGGACTGGGAGCTCCCTTGCTACGTCACCAGCTTCCTCACCATCGTTATCCTTGGCGTCGGCCTCAACGCTAAGCCCGATCTCACCATCGAGACCTGGGCCCACCAGAAAGCCCTCGAACGGCTCGAGATCGAGCAGGCCGGCCTTTCTGTTGCTGGGTCGTCTGAATCTGACTGAAATTCGATCTGGGTATGCCGGTTCGTTCGTTCTCAGATCGATCCTTCTTTTTTGAGTTGAAATGGGTTTTCGGTTGTTGATATGATATGTAGTTGAAATAAGGGTTTGGGGATGTTTTATTGGGCTTTTCATGTGAAGCTTAATCACTTCATAATTTAGCTGTTTGAATGTTTAACTGATTAATGTTTTCAAATAGTTATCTTTTTTCTTGCCTCTAATTACAGTTTTTGTGTTTATAATTTCAATTGTCTAGTGGTTTCAGTAGCTAAATGGTAGGAATAGGATAGATACATTTGTGGAAATTCTATGACTTGGATGTTATCTATATGCATAAATGGGCACCTGGACTGGAACCATTTTGTTATGCTTACAGATTTACAGTGTTGACTATTGGTCTGTGTTGAAGACCATAAATAGTACAAATTTGTTGTAGTTTTTGGTTAGAATGATGCTCGATGTGTAAAAAAAGTTTTATTAAATGATGTGACGATTTACATGGATGGCTACTGGTGGTATGCTTTAGGGTGGGGCTGTGTAATGTGCTTGTTATTGCGTATAAGCTCTGGTGTCAGTTCCTAAACTAAACATTCTCGAACTATTGAGTGCATTCGTATTTTTCTTTTTCATATAATTGTGTCGTATAGAGCATAAGCGGGGATGGTTAAAGTGCTGAATCATGGCATTGGAGCCAGCAGTTGTGATTGCCATGAGTTTCTACAAATCACCTTAAGAATACAAATGTGTGGAGGACAACGATTGAAAAATTTCTCTGAAATTTTGGAAGTATTTGGGTTGCTAAATAACACTGTATTCAAAGGTTTTTATTAACACTGTATTAAGAACACAGTCTCGGTGACATAATAAAATTAAGGAGGTTGGTTGACCCTTTTAAATGACTATTCATTTGGTTTACTTTCTTGGATTATGTTGTAGTCTCATATTCTAAAACTTGTTTGATACTTTGGGGATCTTTAGGTTTCACCACATGTCTTTTGTATATCAGCACTGGCTCTTTAACATGTTTGGCATGTTTTCCATTAAGAGTTAGTTATGCTTCAATTGAATACCCTTGAGAGATGCAAAAGAATGTGAATGCCAATTTGATATAATCAAGCATTTATTTTTGCTACCTATCAGTGACATGTGATAGATGTTTTTACATGCATAAATTTCGTTGGTATCATGAAAGTGAAGTTTTCACTATTTTGTCACTCCATACTTTTGCTCAATTTTAGTGCCTATTTTTTGTGTTAGAAAATCAAGGGTTGAGACGTGGAGTTGATGAATTGTTAGAATTTACACTTTCTTGCCTCTGTGTTTTTATGTTTGAGCTTTTCAGCCATAAAGCCAATGTTGTAACCCTGACAAAGGTCATGGTGTGATGAATAAGTGTTATTACGTAGATTGGATTTTAAAAAGGGATGCAGTAGCTATTCATATTTCATCCTTTTTCAATTGAATTCATATACTTGGTTTTGGCATGGGTTTCTTGTTGGATTTATTTTAATCAAATCTATCATCTGGAAAGGGAATTTAAGTTGTTCTGCATGGTTCCAGTATGTGTTGAACCTTTAATGTTGGATGGTTTTCTACTTTACCTTGGACCAAGGAGGGTTCAAGTATGTTTTCGAAAATACTTAGGAGAGCCATGGACCTCATGCGGAAGGAACTGAGTACCAAGATTCTATTTGTTCATTCTTTATATACTAGGCATTTCTTTTTCTTCAGCATGAGATGTCATTGAGGAAGCTTTTTGCCTAACCTTGTGAGTTTTATTGGCTTTAATCCTTTGTGAGATCATCTCAAACCCATGAGTTTGAGTTTATAGTAGTCACTGTTATATATCTTGTGGGGCTCAATTTATTGGTAGTAAGTCTCTATTTTCGTCAGGAAGTAGGGTGTGTGGGGGCTTTCAGGCTCAATGCTAGCGTTGTACTGAAATTGTGTTATTAGAAACCCTTCTGGTGGGATGCTGCTTATATTCAGAAATGCATTACTTGTCTGTGTAGCATCTGAAACCTGATTAAGACTTCTGTTTCTTCTACATGTCAGGAAATAGATTTTACGTATCCTTTGAAATTCTGTAGTTTGAGGGTCATTGTATTCTCCATTATAAGATTTTAATACACAGTACACTCTTTGTTCAGTCCAGTCATAGAAATCAGGGATATGATTATCTACCAGGCTTTAAATGGGCCAGAGTTATATTATCTTTCCTGATTTTTTAGGCATTGCCTTTATCATTAAAAGTCACTTGCTTCTACTTGTTTTCTTCGAAATGGTTCACGGAGAGATGACTGATCTTCGCATCTGTATTTTTGAGAAAAGCAGAGTTTGCCCGATTGTGATTATTGTGTGTTTTATGGGAACTTTTCTGATTTTGACGAATTTTAAATTATTCTTGAAAACTTGCTTAATGGTTATTTCCGCTGACTTGTCTAGTGGTAAGAAATTGAAGTCTAAATTTTTTTTGTTTTTTGTTTTTGTTCCTAAAAAAAAAAAAAAAAAAAAAAAAAAAAAAAAAAATAAAAACACATTCTACAGTCAATACCATACCTTTGTGATAGAAATACGCAGTTAAGGGGATTTTTACTTCCTTGTATTTATTGGATGTACTTGTACAGAACCAGGTAAGTTTGTTTCACCGCAATGGTCTTGCACATACCCGACACCTCCACCCAGTGCTGCCGGCCACCTTCCTATGATTACCCCGGAAATCTCCTTCCTGCATGATTTCTTGCCTATCCGTCTGTCTTCAAACTGCAGTCTCTGTCAAGTAATTGTCAATTTCAAATTACTTTTGCGATTATCAAACTCTCCCATTTCCACTTGACAAACGTTCCAACAGACCATGGAAACAACTTATTTTGTACATGCAGTGTGGCCCAAAAAATTCATTAAAGCTGCAAATAGAATTACCATTAATTAATTTGAATACAATATTTAATATTTAATACATTGGAATAGTCATTTTAAGATGCTCTTTTAGTCCTACACTCTGCTCGATCGATAGGGGAGTCCAATTTTCCTGTTGGGTCACCAATCTTTCAATTATAATCCTTCCTATTTGATTTTTCATTGTAGTCCACTCTCTCTCTCTCTCTCTCTCTCTCTCTCTCTCTCTCTCTCTCCTTTTTATACTTTTTCTTCTTCTTCACAATAGGTAACGGAGTGAATATTAGGAGGTGAAGCTTGTAATTGCATCTACTTTGTTGAAACTTGAAATTAATTTTCAATCAGTCCTCCAACCAAACACAGAGAGAGAGAGAGAGAGGGAGGGAGCCTGTCTGCTTATATTTTATCGCTTACATATCACTCACTCTTATCTCCTATTTTCATAGGACTCTTGTACATGTATTATAAACATCAATACAATACAACTGACTCACTGAAACATCCTTGGTGTCCAAGCAAGCAGGCATCAAATCTATAATAAAATCTATAATTAATCCTGGCTCAAGGCTCAACCAGCAACCAACCACACAGAGATGATGCTTCAGATTAATAAAGCAGTGGAGCCGGGGCAAGTGTGTTTGACGAGTGTGAATCGGTACAAAACAGCGGCAGCAGGAGGATCACCAGGAGGATGCCTCCGAAACCGAAACCTTGTCAATGTCGTTGGCAAGAGCAAATTAGGCGGCAATATTTTCATTTCTTCACCCTCACAACTAGTAGTAGCTCCAACCACACCAATAGAAAGAAGGAGATTAATGGCTACTTCCAACGCCAACGCTGACATTGCCAACAACAGCCTCTGGCCTAGTATTCCCTCCTCTTCCTATGGTGACCCCTGCCTTGATCTCTTCTTCAACGCCCTCAGACCAGAATGGAGAGATGCTAACCCCTGCCTTACATATCTGGAGCAACTGCTCCCCTTGGCCTCGTCCCACAATCCCCTCACCACCCTCAAGCTCATCTTCACCTTCGATTCAATCGATTTTTCTGACACAAAGTTCGACACGGCCGTGCTTTGGCTCCACCACAACCATCCCAAGACTCTCTTACGCAACCTCCACTCTATTGCCAACTTGCCTCTTGTCCGCTATCAAAGCAGCAGCAAAGGAGATGGACTTGTAAGAAAGGAGGATTTCCAGGAAGAGGCCAAGCTTCAGTGGAAGGCAATGGTGGAGGAGATAAAGCAGGGTGAGGGTTTGGGCAAATTCAAAAACTGCTTGGTGGTGGGCTATGGTGGCCTGGGCTATAAAGAGTGGAGCTATCCAGAGGTGGGTTGGAAATTCTGGTGTCTGAAGTGAGTGAAGAGCCATGGAAGGGAAAGATGATAAAATACACTGGTGGTGGAAAATGTCAGCAAGACTTGATAGAAGGACATGATCTTATGTCCAAGTTCGAATTTATGAGATCCGTGAGGACCTCCCGTGTGCAACTTAATGAGGAATGTAGGATTTTGGGTGTTTGGGTGTTTGATTTGATTCGGGAAGTGGCTGTGAATGAGTACTTGAAGGCAGGGCAGATGATCAAGAAGGTGATTATGTTCACCAACTTTCTAGAACGTCCTGATAGCCGCATCTGGGGCATTCAGTATGACGCACTACGGAGCAATTTTGAGGCAATCCGCAACAAGTTTAGGGACAAAGGATACGGGGATGATGTGGTGCCACACATTCTGTATTTCAACGAGCACCAAGATCCCTGGATTTGTACACAACATCCAGGCTTCACCATCTCATGGAAGCAGCCATCACTCAAGATTATCAAACTCTCGAGGTAGTCGACTGATTGAGACTCAACTTGAAGTGGTGGTGTGGATGTGCTGGTGATGAAGAATATCAAATAAATCTGTTGAATTTGGATTGGAATAACCGTTTAATTAAGTTTGCTTATGATCATCATCTGTTTTAACTTACTTTGAATTATTTCCTCTATGGCTAGGCTAGATAGCAACATCCTCTACCATCTGTTCTGCTATGAAAGTGAAAAACTACTGCCACCTCTTATGCCTATGTCTTCTTCAGTCTTACTGATTTTACATTTAAGTTTTTGCTTGGAATTCAATCTTACTGCTTTAATTGCTTGCCTCGTCTTATGCCTATGTCTTCCTTAGAACCAAAGGCTCGTCTCGCCTCAAAATTCAAAGGAAACCATTGGGACCTGCAACTTCTTTTACAGAAGTACAATCGACAACGTACTGCTTGGCAGCAGATAGCATCTTATTCAAATCAAGCCCCCCCTTTTATGAAACAACTACTGCCATAACACGAGACGCGCTACCACAAATGTTCTAAAACTGATCTAGGCAGGTCTTTAGAAATTATTCACATTCAATTCACGTACTTGCTAGCAACACAATATATTCATGTTCATCCCTCTAATAGTCTTACCTAATTACTAATTGTGAACAAACAGCTAGGAAGTTACAGCAAGCTAACAATCAAATATATGTTGATTTGCTATCAATGAACCAAGTAACAAAAATACTCAAATGCAGTAGCACCTATTTAGATGACAGAACAAACCCTAACGAGACGCGCCACCACGAATGTGGAAAACCGCAACTCTTCTGCAAGGCATTAGAAACTATGTTTCTTGCAGTGCTTAAAAGTAGCAGCACTGCCGTGTGTTTCTATCCTTGCAGTCTATAATCCTAAACCTACATTGCTAGCAGTATGATATTAGAATTTCTCAAACAACCAAGATTGAAGCTTCCAAACCAACACTCACGCATTATGATATAAAGGTAAGGGTCATGGTAACAGAGTCATTTTATCAAACAGCTAGTAGGCGAGCTTTTTACATGGATTAAAGTGCAAGACAAAAGATTCCATACTAAAAAAATTCAGTCACTGAAGCATCAAATACTGGAAGATCAAAGTATATTGAATTCAAACTTTTACTCACACCTGGAAGATCAAAGACAAGCCACCGAACCATCGAAGAATTCAAAGGGCAAAAAAATTTGGCAGAAAAAAGAGCAAAAAAATTTGGACCATTTCTCGATTTATGCGTGTCATCCTTGCCCAGGGGCCATGCTAATCTTCTCTGTATCGTTCCAATTTTATCGGATGTCCCCGAAGGGACGAACTCATTTATTAAGCGCAAGTATATAAAGAACTTGTAGAACAGACAATCCTCCGATGTGGGATAAAGCTTCCTTCGTTTTTAATGTGAGGCACTTGGGCCTTTATTTGCGGACTCAATAATAAGCCCAATGAAGTCCCCAGGTACAGAATTCCATTGGGGAGCTCTTTAACCTGTGGATTAATTTTCTTTTTCTGAGAAATTAAAGCTTCAATAGTTTAGACCCCACTTGTTCACAGGATAGTTGTACAACTCAACGGAATTAATAATTCCCACATCCCCCCCCCCCCCCCCCCACCCCCCAACTCAACACTCCCCCCCCCCCCCCCCCCCCCCCCCCCACCCCTGATCGGCCACCTTATGTATCACATCTCTATTAGAGAAGTGGTACACAAAGTGGTATGTATGACTACCCCACTTGTTGGTGATGATCGGCCACCTTATGTATCACATCTCTATTAGAGAAGTGGTACACAAAGTGGTATGTATGACTAGCATTTTTGTTTTCGAATTCTAATCTTGACATGTAGGTCGCTATTGAATGTTTTTTTAAAACTTTATTAATAAGTTTTTTCTTGTATATGAAAAAAATCTTTCTTGTAACGGGGATAACATTGTTTTGCTATCTCCGATTAATAACACAATGATAAGTGATAAAGTTATCTCACATGTCATTGTGTTATTGACCGGGAATATCAATGAATGATTTCTTTCAGTTTCTGCTTTCTTAGAAAATGGCAACAATTCAGGTAAGATTTTCTGTCGTGCAAGAGAAGTACATGGTTAAATATACTGCAGTTAAGGAATGATAGGGAGTTTAAAGCAGAAGTGATTGGGGGACAAGAAGCATGGCCTGTACTTGATGGAGTGAGAGATTATGATCTCGCAAACTCACTGTTAACCCTTTTTTTTAACAAAAGAGTGATGTTGGTTGTTGGTTCCTTTTCTTTTCCCCTTTAGTCCCTCAACGTACGGTCCCTTTTTCTTTCTAATTTCACTTTTCCTGGGTTTGTTTAGCTGAGAAGCTAACAGTTATTAACCTGTACAATTGTATTGATGCAGCTGTCAGAGCCTACACACTGTAATTTTACATATTTGCCTCCACAATGACAATAAGAAAAATTCTCAAACATCATTATTTGACACTAGGGAGAGTTGAGAGGCTATGCTAATAATGAAGTTGGTTGGATCCCTAAACAATATTGTCTGTCAAAATACAAATAGTTTGGACCGATGAGATGTTAGTTGGATTAGTTCAGGTCTTTAGTATGCTCCCAAGTGCCTGTTCTGGGTTCAAAATCCCCGTAGTAATTGTGTGTGTGAGAGTTTTCCGATCTCCTTTGTAATTTTGGCATAAAAATAAAAAGAATTAGGAACAGTTGGTGTGCAAAAATCCAAGACATGTAAAGGACAATGTGTACTTTTTAAGTCATTTAGCAACCAGACTCTGAGTTGGTTCCTCATCTCGAATCACAAGCAATCACCAACTGCTGAATTTTTTTTATAAAAAAAAACCTAGATGCTCCGAAATGACCTGGTATAAGAAGTTTTAGGGTACTCAAACACATGTTTAATTTTATGCAGAAATTTATTCAGCAAGAGATGAAGAATGATTTCGTATTACGCATGTACTAAACCAATTCCTTGTAACAATTTTTTTATTATTTTTTTATTTTTTACCACATCTCAGAATTAATTCTTGTATTAGAATATATTCAAAGATACATGCCAGTTGTCGTAGCACTTTTTGATCTGTAACTCCAAGCATTTGTGACCCCCAAAAGACATAAGCATATGCATATTGTCTTTTGAAAGTAAATTAATGTCATTGCCAGCGGATCACCTTTTGATCATGATGCATGCATAATGGAAGCTTGATTCTTATTTTGTTCAAGAATATAATGAAGAAAATAAAAATAAAAATTATCGATGGACCATGGCAGTCTACTATATTGACTTGTAAATTAGGGCGTGACAATTTACAAATCCACTTGTGTAGTAAAAGAGGTCTCGGGCCTTAAATTTTTTTATTGTCTTAAAAACAGTTCCCAAGTCATGTCAAATTACTCTATAAGTCCTCAAAGAGGTCTTAGTATATCCCGGCCTTGAGATGGGATAGCCTCCCCTCTTCCTAAACTTTTCACATTCAAATAAAAAAAAAAAAAAAAAAAAAAAAAAAAAGATAAATAATATATCAATAATCAATTTTTGTGGATCATAAAACATACGTGTGTTAAGCACCACACAAACAGTGGCGGAGCTAATAGCTTTTCTTTTGGGGAACCATAGTTACATAGCTTTGCCCCTACACACTCGTGCTCTATTAATGTTGGATTTGTTGCTCTTTTACAAGGGTAACTTAGGAAAATTATCTTGTGGAAGATTCTAGTCACCACATCCAACTTTAGTGACGACAGATTTCACTAAGTTATTTGAAAATAATAAGAATAATTGAAAACCTTGGTGGTGACGACAACAATGACAAATTTTAATCCTATGATCTAAGCAAGACTTGTGAGGCGATTAAGGATTAGTTGGGGTTTCCGACCACTTCCACCCGATAATTGAGGTGAGGTAAATAAACATGTTTAATATAAATCACTATCTCAACCCCACGCTGATTATTTAGGGAAAACAAAATACCTCTTCGGAATTTTTCTTTTAAAAAAAAAATCTAATTTTCAAAATAATTCTAAGATATGGAAATGGTATTCAGATTTGGGTAAAGATAAAGGATCCCATACTGCTATAGTCAACTTGCTTAATTCATACATTGCTCCATTTTGAAGTACCTTATAATGCACCCAAATTGACTAGACCTCAACCCAACAACTACTTAGAATTGCAATATACCATTGAATGTATTTATATATATATATATATATTTGATTTTATTTGGGTATAATTGGAAAATTAAACAAATTTTATTTTATATCCTTACACAAACTAAACATGTAAAATGAAATAAAGTGGTATTTTTTGGTTACTTTCCCACGATTACCAACCATGGAAAAAGAATCTCTATTTTCCATCCCTTGAAAAATGACGTCATTTCTCCTCAAGGTGAACCAAATAAGGGCCTTATGTTAATTCATAGCTGACAATATATTATAATGTTAATTCATTTTTCAATGAAACCCTAATTTTTCCTCTCTTTTTTTTTCTTTTCTTTTATGTGCTCCATGGACTGGAAAGTGCTCTCCTGGTCCTGCCCTACCATTCAATGCTATAATAAGCTGGGAAAGGAACAGTTCTCTTTTTGCGCACAAGATGATAAGGTGACAAGAAAATGGTGGTGGGTTTTGTATTTTAATGTTTTTTGTCGGAATAAATTTATGTCATGGTAGGAGACAAAAAATAAGGTGAGGATTTCATAGTCTGTCTTTCTGGGAAAGTGATTTAGAAGAACGTTAATGTCGGTGGGAGAGTGGACCAAATCGACCAGCTTGTGACGGTGGACTCCTTGGCTCATCCTCAATTTCCAAGCTAATTACGACTTACTGCTTGGCTCTTGTATTATAATTTTCTCAATATTGTGATGTTTATCAGTTTTTCTAGTATCTTAAAAAAATAGAGATAAAAAGGAACCATGGATAGAACTAGCTCATTATAGTAGTGATCACATTACTTAAGCACATGGTCACGTGCATGGGAACTAACCTAGGAAGGTCTGAAAGGCAAGTAAAATGAAAGGAAAGAAAAAAGAATATGTTAATTAATATCACCTACATTCCATATCGAAAATATCAATAAATAAAGGCACCAAAGGAGGTTCTTTCGCGTTTCAGATAAATTATTGTATGTTCCACATGTTCCCTTAAAGGAAAGTCCTACCCAAGTAGTTCCAGCTGAATTCTTACATATATAGCTACAAATAGAACATGTTACTTGGAGTTAGTAGCTCAAGTGGTTAAAAGATTTCATTGTTATATTTGAATCCTTACATTTGATTTCGCCATCCGTCAATATTGTTTTTTTAAGGGTAATTTTTTATCTAAAAAATGTTTGGAACTTTTAGAGCACTTTCACCCATTTGTCATGACAAAAAGCAAGAAAATATAAGAGCAGTTACTATTCATGAACTCTTTTATTATTATCTCATTTGTAAATCTTGTCCTTCTACTTAAATGTTTTCAAATACCAAACCTAGAGTTTCTTGCGTAAGTCTTGTAGAACTCATACACATCATTAAGTGAGTTAAATTCTTTCCCTACTTGTGGTTTCAAATTCATACTTACTACCGGTATCACTCCATCTTCATCATTTATTTGACTACAATCTTCCTCTGCCCCCATCAATTTAGTTTGTGTTTCCCTCTTTTCGGCCAAGGTGGCTAATGGAATGAACTTTTGGTCCTTCTTCTTTTGGATTGCGTAGGTGTGCCACCACTAAGCCACTGATTGGCTTGAATGGAAAATTTCGGATTGTTGTGTTCGCGCTTTTTACTTCTGATCAAGTGATTGATCGGCTAAGCAAGAGACCTCCTCTTGGCCTAGGTTCTTTCACTTCCTTGGACTAGATGATGGTTAAGCGTCGTATGGATATTTTTGCGATTCTTATGGGTTCTAAGTGAAAATGATGCAATTAAATTAAAGATGCGATTAAACTTAAAGACAAGAATTAAAGTGTGATAAAATAGATGAATGCGATAAACGAATGTAAATTAAACGGAGAATGAAATAAGAACGATAAACTAAATTGAACTTAATAAAATTTCAATAACAATGAAAGTAAAACAATGGAGATAAAATTGAATTCAAAAGACAAGAAAATGTAAATTTCAAGAAAGTAAACTTACACTAAGAAAAGGAAGAACTTGCTACACTAAGTGCATGAAAAGTAAAATCCTAAATCTAGGAAAAGAAAAGTGCGAGATGAAAAATAGGTTTGTGTGTCTAATAATGTGTGTTTCTCCCTTCATCATATGAGGTTTATATAGAGGCATCCGTCAGCCCATGGGTTGGCCATTAAATGGCCAATGGTCAACTTCATTCAAAATTTGTCCTCGTGAAGCCTTCAAATCTGTGGGATCACAATGATGGAGACCTTCTGATTGCTTGATTCTCTCTTCTTTTGGAATACTCTGGATTGTCGTCAATCTCCTTGATTTCCTTCCTTATGAAGCCTTCATCACGTGCATGTGATCCTCTAAAAATCTTGGGTTCTAATATGCGGCTTAGGCTTGGACCTCCGAGACTTTAGCTTGACATTTGGTGAGACATTGTAACTTCTGGAATTTTGATCTTGGTTAAAACACCCACTAATGCTCATGACTTGGAATTGCTTGATCGAACTTGGAGTTGGGTTCGCACCTCAACTTGAAGTTAGGTTCCACCCTTACTTGGGGTTGCTTGACATCAACTTAGAGTTGCTCGACCTAAACTTGGAGTTGGGTTTGATCCGGCTGATAGAAGGCCTTGATCTTGGCTGATCGAAGGCCAAGATCTTAGCTGATCAGATGACTTAACCTTAATTGATCAGAGGACTTGATCTTAGCTGGTCAATAAACTTGACCTTGGCTGATCAGATGACTTGACCTTGGCTGGTCAGAAGACTTGACCTTGGCTGATCAGAGGACTTGACCTTGGCTGATCAGAAGACTTGATCTTGGTTGATCAGAGAACTTGACTTGGTTTATCAGAGGACTTGATCTTGGCTGATTGGAGACCTTGACCTTGGCTAATCAGAGGACTTAACCTTGATCCACTTCAAAAGTTCCAGATGTTCCAACTTTGGAAGTCAGATGTTTTCAACCTGTTGTTGGAAGTTGGGTTTCAACTTCTAAGTTCTTAGTCTGAATTATGGTGGAACATCGTGCATCTTAAGCTATAGACTTTATTGAAGATTAAACGACATAGGGTGCATGATGACCCCTAAGTCCGGCCTTCTTGTTTTGATTTGGCCATTAGGCACCTTGAGCAGCCAATTTGCATTTTGGCCTATTGGTTTTCCAAGACGCATGGTCAGACTTCGACTAGGCTCAAACAGTTTTCTACCTTTGTGTTCACGTCCATTTTTCTAAAAGTTGCAACAACACAATTAAAATCTCATTATTTCCAAAAGCTCTCAGTATATATGGTGCAATTTTAATGCAATCTTTCATATAAATTATGGTGCAATTAATAGTTGTTATACAGAATAATTATTTTTAATACAACAATTACCCATTTCTTAATCATACCAATAAGACATATATTCATTATAGCAATTTCTCATACCTATTCAGTATTTAATTATATTTCATCACCAACATATTGACAATTGAGTAATATTATGAACAAAATTACAGCTATCTGCACTGAAGTATAAGACACTTTTGGATGAGTTTGCCCTCAAATCTCGTCCAAGCTCAACAAAGAGCCAGCTGAGTGTCTTCTCAGTCAAATTAGTGGTGTATTATGAGTTAAATGAGTTGTGTTTCATCGGGATTTGTCAAGCTTTGGGTTTTTGTTTCAAGTTGAAGACAACCCGACTGCAACTTAAGTTGCTTTTTTAATCTAGCTGTCCAATTTTATCAAATGGTTGTGATCTGTCCTTATTTTTCCTTAGTGGGGGTTATTTTTGGGCCTAGGCTCCCTTTTGCCATGACAAAAAAGAATGAGTGAAAGTGCTCTTACAAGTTGATCTATGACAAAAGAAGATGGATGAAAGTGCTCTTACCAATCGATCCTTTGGAAAATCTTTTCTAAATCCACCAATGTATGCACTAGATATTTTTTCTTCAATTCCTCTTTCTCAAATAACCCTTGTATACAAATAGAATTGAACCTAGAAAAAATTGAAAATGCAAATACAAGATGGTACATCACATCTTCCATCGATTCCATAAAGAAGCATATCACATCCAATCCAATCACTCTTGGCCCATCAACGGTAATTAATATTTGTTTTAAATTCCAAACACATTGACTCACTTGACAGTGGGGTAACTGTAATTCAACAAAGCCAATGATGGCAGTTTAGGTAATACCAGCAGTAAAAAACTTATGCCACACGACGCGTAACGTAACTCCGTAACCGGCAATACCCGGTCTCCCAACGCCCACCGACAACTTCACTCCCGGTCACCCCACTACCCCTCCCCATATCCGTACATCTCTCCCACTGAAGAAGATCTCCTTTTTAAATGCCACCTTCCCTCCTTCCTCATTATTCAACAAACACTACAGCCACTCCCCAAATTAAAGAGCCCACATTTCTCCATGCGATAATTGGCGTGAATTATTGACAATCCCAAGGCACGCAGAGCCAAAAGAAAATAGCTTCGGTAAGTGCTCAACCTTTTACTGTCAGTTTCACAGCTTTTTTGACTGCTCGAAGTTGTTTTTTTTCGGGCGGAAAGAGACAACACGAGCAGGAAAACCCGTCGTCGTTTTGTTATGCTCTGGTCTGGATTCTGGAAGCTTTTTCATGGCGTAGCTAGATCTTGTATTTTTTTTTTCCTGCGCTTGGCTTTCGACGTGGTTTTGGCTCTGTAAACTCACTTGTTTGAGTGCCATTTTCAGGTTCGAGCTCCTCAATTCTGCCATTTCCTCACTCTTTCGTGTCGATTTTGCCTCCAATTCGGCGTCGTTTTGGCTTGGATTGTGACATTGCGATTGGATCTTCGGTCGCGTTCTGGTTCAGTTATTTCGACGCGGTAAGTTGCTGAACGTTTTCTTTCTTTCTCTTCCCTTCTCCACTTAAACTTGACGTTATTTAATATTTACGGTGTTGATCTTGCCACGTCAGCAGTACCGACGCTGTAGATTGCACTCTTTAGGAATGAACGAAACACTGTTGTGATGATGCCCATTATTTGTGAATTCTGATTCGATCTCAGTTTCCTGTTGAAAAAATTTCCAAAAAGAATAATTACCGTTTTTGTTAATTATGATTAAATTCAGCTAACTTTTTCACTTTTTTCCTTTTTTCTATAATTTCATGGATTTGACTTCGTTCTATTGGTTGGCCATGCTAAAAAGAGAAAACAGTGAATTAATCTATAAGTATTAGCGATCCTCTTTGTTGGACTGTACGTGGTTTAGCTGTTGCCAGTTGCCAAATTGAGATGTATGTTCATTGTGTCAAATTTATTCCACGTTGATGGGGACGTAGAATATGATAGATTCATTGGGCTGGACCCTCCGAGCCATTTTACGTTTTGATCCCAGAGCCTTTTGGGCAAGTTTGAGCTGTTTCAATGTCATTGTTTTGATACGTAGCCCTCCCTTTATAACAAAAAAGAAAAAAGAAAAAAGAGAGAAATGTAGCGCTTCCATGCTGTATATGATTTTGACCCGTCTGGTTGAAATTAATGGAAGATACCCGTGTCTAAAATGACAGTGGAAAATAACAGCTGCAATGCAATTTGATGATGGAATTAGTGTTATAGCAGCATTATTTGCAATATTGGGCAGATGGGAACTGACCCTTCTGAGGTGAATGAGTGAACAAACGTTTTTTGGTCTTTGGTGCTTGATTTTCTGTCTATCCTTTGAATTGAGATATGAATGCGAGGCTTCATGACGGAGCAAGCTTTAAATAGAGTTGTCATGAGCTTGCGTTCATTGGGTTCTACTGTTATGAAAAATCAACCTCTTGTGTTTTTTTTTGGTGTACTCAGTTTGCTAATGGAGTACTAGTTTGATTTTGTTTTATGTCAAAGGACTCGTAAAATTCTCTAAGTTGATGACCCAGAATGATGTCTTATTTGCAGGCCTACCAGAAATAAGTTTGGAATAACTAAGGAAAGGCCCAGCAGAAGTTTTCTGGTTTATGCATTTTTAATTTGGAGAAGTCACTGCATAAGAGGTAGTTGAAATCCCTTCCTTTTGTGCGTTTAGTGTTGGCTTGGCTCTATCTATTTCTTTCCTTTGTTTTTCCCCACTCTACTCTTCACTCTGAAAGTAATAAGAAGAAGAGCTTTGCTGGTTGTTGATTGTTTTGTTTTCTTCTATGTCAGTCTTGTTAATTGATTGTTGTAGTTGGAGGAACTAAACCAATCAAGGCATGAAGGAGGTTGAGAAAAGGAAAACCCCAAATACTAAAAACACCAAGCGCTCAGGAAGAACTGAAAGGAGAGACAATAAACTGAATCAAGGGAATCCTGGCAAGAGATTGAATGGAAAAGAAACTGAATCTAAAGACTCTTATGCTATACCAGACCCCAGTACTTTAGTAAGTGATTCAAACACGGGCACCGAGCTCTCTGAAGTTAATGAAAACTTGGTTATACATTATGTGGATGATGTGAACAGGTTTGAGGAGGTGCCTCAAGATCTCAAAGCCAATCCAATGATTTCCAAAGGGAACATTGATGACGCTTCAGATGATCATTCCAGTGATTTTGAAAGAGAAACAAAGCATGGGAAGGAAGAGGTGTCAGATTGTGAGACAATAAAGGATTCTGTATCATCTCAAGGGGATTCACCTTCCCTTGAGGATGAGAATGTAGAACGAGCTTCAAGGGTTCCCAAAATCATTGCAAAGAAGAATCTCTCAGAGAGCTCTCATGGATCCAGGGAGAGGTCTCCTAGTGAATCTAAGTCAAAATCGAAGGTGCTACATCCTCCAGAGAAAAAATCCACTAATTCTAATGAAGGAGCTTTGGGTAACACCAGAACTTCTTCTAGGAACAGTTCTAGCAATACAGAAGTTCCCTCTAAACCTTTGTCAGAATCATCTGAAGAAGTTGATGATAATCTTATTATAGAGGTAAAAGGAAGTCATATCCTAGATGGGGCTTCAAATGGTGCCCAGAGTGTTGAAAGTGACAATGAAACAGTACATGCTGAAGAAAATGGTGAGCAAGAGGATGTAACTGCTTTGGAACGAAAGGTTGAAGAAATGGAAATGAGAATTGAGAAACTTGAAGAAGAGCTCCGAGAAGTTGCTGCTCTTGAAATTTCCCTCTATTCTGTAGTACCAGAGCATGGGAGCTCAGCGCATAAAGTGCACACACCGGCTCGGCGCATTTCTAGACTTTATATTCATGCTTGCAAGCTTTGGACTCAGGACAAGCGAGCCACAATTGCTAAGAACACTGTATCAGGGCTTGTTTTGATTGCAAAGTCCTGTGGCAATGATGTTCCAAGGTAAAAATTATCATGTCATAAAACTTAGTGTTAAAACATTGTCACCTTCCGAAACTAATATTTTCTCTTTTCCTTTTGTATTTTAAGGTTAACCTTCTGGTTATCAAACACTGTTGTGCTAAGGGAGATCATATCTCAAGCATTTGGCATTTCACACCAGTCAAGTTCTTTAACAAAGTTTGCTGATATAAATGGGACTAGCAAAAGAAATGGAGTGAAGTCTCCAACACTGAAATGGAGGGGTGGTTCTGGTGGTAAACAAATGAACGGTTTTATGCAGTTTGCTGATGACTGGCAAGAGACAGGAAACTTCACAGCTGCATTAGAAAAAGTTGAATCTTGGATTTTCTCTCGGATAGTTGAGTCCGTATGGTGGCAGGTACATCTACTCAAACAGAGTATGATATAAATATATCTACTCAAACAGAGTATGATATAAATATATCTACTCAAGCAGAGTATGATATAAATATATCTACTCAAACAGAGTATGATATAAATATATCTACTCAAACAGAGTGTGTATAGATGTGTGTATCTGATTCTACAATTGAACCATTGTGATCGTTCGATGAAACAACCAAATAACCTCGCATTATTGCTTTTAACACATTAAAGGTGGCTTGAGTCCCTACTTCACAACAATCTTGTTGTTTTAATGGCTAAGTTGCATGCCCAAGGCCATTTTTTCCATGAATTAATATATTCATGAACTTATGTAGACTTAATTATCATTTAATATATATTCTTGACAGTGGGTTTGATGGGCTTTTATGTTTTACTGACCAGAATCTTATTTTTTCAGGCTTTGACTCCAAATATGCAATCTCCAGCTGAGTATTCGTCTAATAATAACACAATTGTAAGGTTGTTGGGACCTGCACTGGGTGATCAGAAGCAAGGCAGCTTTTCTGTGAACCTTTGGAAAAATGCTTTCCAGGATGCTTCTCAACGACTCTGTCCTGTTCGGGCAGGAGGGCACAAGTGTGGCTGCTTGCCTGTGTTGGCGAGAATGGTATGGAATCCTCAAATACCTATCTAAGCTTCCTCTGCAGTTTAAATTTTCTTCGTCACAGGCATTGGATTTTAACCTCAAACTACAGAACTTTCTCATCTTCATTAATTATTTTTTCTTCAGAGTTCTAATTAATTAGACATGATTTGCCTTTTAGGTTATGGAACATTGTGTTGCAAGGCTAGATGTGGCAATGTTCAATGCTATTCTGCGTGAGTCAGCCCATGAGATCCCTACTGATCCAGTGTCAGATCCCATTGTTGATCCCAGGGTTCTACCTATTCCTGCTGGCGATTTGAGTTTTGGGTCTGGTGCACAACTCAAAAATTCTGTACGTATCATACTCATGTTATTCATCCCCTTTATCTTCTTTTTAAACCAGAAATATTCACCTTTACATGGCTGTCATAAACTATAAAACCACTTTGGTAAGGAAATTGGCAGTTCATCTTTTGGAAGGGTAGGCCTCAAAATTGTGATTGCTAGATTTAAAACATGTGGAGGCTGCATGTCATGCAGGTTGGAAATTGGTCTAGATGGCTAAGTGATATGTTTGACATGGATGCTGATGATTCCCTGCAAGAAGATCAGCCCGGCAGTCAGGATGATGACAGGCAGAGTGGGGATGGTGAATCTAAATCCTTCCTTCTTCTCAATGCCTTGAGTGATCTTTTAATGCTTCCCAAAGACATGCTTATCGATCGATCAATCAGAAAGGAGGTTGGTGTTCATAATTTATGTTCCCATTCTTTTCCCGTCTCTTATTGGACTGATTAAACTTTTTGCTTTCATGTATACTAGGTGTGCCCTTCAATTAGTCTCCCATTAGTTAAGCGGATACTTTGTAACTTCACTCCAGATGAGTTCTGCCCAGATGCTGTCCCAGGAGCTGTATTGGAGGCACTGAATGCTGAGGTATGATTTACCTTTCCCTACATCTATATATTATCATATAAAGCTTTTATTCAGTTTTCAAGTTCCATGACCACCTGTGTCTCTGCAATTACGGCTCGATGGTTTTGAAACAGTAGAAAAAGTTTGAATCAACTGCCGTTAAATGTTAATGTTAAGAAGTGCTTCTGTAATTGCATAGAAAAAGTTTGATGTACTGTTTCTTCATTTGTTCAGAGCATTGTGGACCGCCGATTGTCGGGAGAATCTGCTAGAAGCTTCCCCTATACAGCGGCACCAGTTATGTACAGCCCACCTTCCTCAGCTGATGTGGCAGAAAAAGTTTCAGAAGCAGGAGGAAGATCTCAACTGGAAAGGAACGTCTCAGCTGTACAGAGAAAGGGATATACCAGTGATGAGGAGCTGGAGGAGCTGGATTCTCCTCTAACATCCATCATTGACAAATTACCGTCATCTCCAACTATCGTAGCAAATGGAAATGGAAAACATGAGCACACGGGTCATGCCTGCATGAATGCGAGGTACGAACTGCTTCGTGAGGTGTGGTCTGGGTAAATGTTGAAGGAGCAGACTCCGGACTCTATGTATACCTGTTGTTTCTGTATCAACAAAGTTATGGAGAAACTTAAACAGAACTGTGAATAATGAAGGCAAATATCAAGAGGATTTGAAGTCTTTAGGCTATTCTCAAAATATGGCTAAAGCCATTAGTTTTGTGTAATCTTTGTTTTGTGTATATTTATAGTGAGCTTCGTTATCATATATCAAATAATAGAGATTGCTTCATGCTCAGCGAACTCGCGAACTCAGTCTTGAATAATCTATCCAAGTTTCGACCAAAAAGAAAAAGAATAATCTATCCAAGTGCAGCAGAAATGACGCTTCTGTCATCGTCTTAGAGATTAACATAATATTTGATTTCTTATGTGTTAGTAACGCATGAGAAGTGAAAAATTGGAATCATTCAAATACCAATGTGTTAGTAAACACATGAGAAGCATGAATTGGAAAGATTCCGATATCCATGTGTAGTAATAGAATACTGAAGGTAGTGTTTTTCACTCTACGTTTGGCTTCCATCACTTCAAACTAGGGGTAGGGGAGGTGCGTCGGGAGAGCGGGTGAGGCTTGGCGGGTAATAAGTTGGTGCGGGGATGAGAGTGGATGTTGCGTCTGTGCAGTGGGAGCCTTTGCCCAACTTGCCAAGCAAGCGATATCACAGATAATTGGGCTGGACTTTTCCAAAAGGGGCCTAGGCTTTTTACCATTCACAATCAGCACTCTTCACCGTTCTTCCAAGGTTCTACCAAAAATGGTCTTAAGCCCTAAAACCCTAAAACATGAGACGCGGAAAGTATTCCCAACTCCATGGCACTCCTAATCCGACCCTTACGAAAATCCGTGGTTTTTCCTCCTCCTTCCTCCAAAATCGTAGTTCAGCAAAAACCCACTTTGCATTTTGCCCCTGAAAAACAAGTCTCCCTCTTAAACCCCAGGCTCCTTTCAACACAATGCCTAAGCACTTACATCTCTGAAATGCTTCTTCAATCGGCCTTCCAAGCAAACATTCTCAGACTGTTACGCAATGAGATACAATACGAATTCGATCGCTCTCCTCCTAATCAGGTGTCCACTTAATCCTCTCCTTCCTCCTCCTCCGTCTTTTGCTTATTTTTCGTTTTTAAATTTTTATTTATTTTTAACTTATGATCTAGAAGTTGGACATTAGTCACTAGTCTCTGTTTGGTTGCCGAGAATCTGAGGGAAAATAAATGAATTTGGAAGTGTGTATGAAGCTTAACGTTTGTTTCGATTGGAAGTTGCTTTTTTTTTTTTTTTTTTTTTTTTTTTTTTTTGGTTTTTGGTCACATTTGGGGATTTGATGAACCTGGGAAAGTTTAAAATCAGTTCTTTGTTTTGGGGGTGATTCGTTACTTGTGGGGTAAAATCATAAACTCCAGAACGAAAAAGAAAAAAAAGAAATGAGAAAGAAAACAAATGAAGTATTACTAGAAAGCCTATATGATTTTATTTCGAATAGGTTTACTAGATAGATACTGAAAGTTGCATTGAGTCCATTCGATTAGTGTTCTGATAAAAGCTTATGCAATGTAATAAGAATTTTTTCATTAATTTAGACCAAGCCAGAAACAAGCTAAAACATGAGTTTGACTTAACTTTTTGGCCAGAGACACTTTCCTCAGACTCCCGAAACGCTTCAAACCCACGATATTACAACCAAGGAGACCATTTTGCTCCAAGGCTCCGAATACGAACACCACCACAAGCTATAACCAGAGCGGTGGCAATGCTGAGGAGACAAGTCTGAGTAGATACCAGGACTCGCTTAAACAACTGGACAAGCTCGACTTCATGAAAGCTGCAAAAATCCTCTTCACTGGTCCACCTTCCAAAAGGAAGTTTGGGTATTGCTTTGCTTTGCATTTTCTGCTTCTTTCATTTGTTCTCTGTGTTGGTTTTGCTTTTGTTCTTTTTAAATCTTGTGGGTTGTTTTTGGTTCTCATTGGCATTGTATTGAACAAATTTACATGTATGTAGACACTAGACACTTTGTAGCCGGGAGAATGTTAAAATGAAAAATCTATTGAAATTGGAAGCAGCATGGTGGGTGTTTTAAGGTTCAAATGAACGAGTGCTAACAAAGGTTGTGTGGAAAATATTGAATTTGAAGCCAGTTACTAAAGCACCTGTTTAGGGTGGTCTGGATTTATTAGAAGTTGTTTAAGGATAGGAAAATGTTCAAGCAGATGGTGTATGTGTAAAACTTGATGGAATGCATTTTAGTAACCCAAATAAATTATTCCCACATTTTTTGAGTCTTTAATTGTTAGAATTTCATATTTGGAGTTAAAAGGAAACAAATTTAATGATTAGGTCTTTGGTAATACATAAGTACTGGGAAAGGAACTTAATGCACCGTCATCAGTTTTGCAGCAAGCCACTTAATTTTCATCCCATCTAGGCTAGAATGACCTAATTTGTAACTGCGTGCTCCAGATTATTTGCCAAAGAAATAATTACTGAACGAGATTATCTTTACTTTGAATATCCTGTTGGTATATTCATCTTTGTTGCTGAGACATGTTCTTGCCTTTCTCCTTTTCATGGCCAGGCTCGATTTCCATTTGGTACAACTGTTCTTTGTTTGCATGCCTTCCTTGGGTACGTATCATGTTTCATATTTGGTTTTCTCATGGTTTCACACTACTATGTAAGAACTTATTTTGTGTCACAGCTGTGTATCTGGTGGCTCAATATGCTCGCTACGAAATCAGAAGAATGGAAGCGGTAACTTAACTTTTATGCTTTTGTGCTGATATCTTTAGGCTAAAGAGTGCATAAATATTAATTGCTCTTTATTGGATTGTATGCCATTTTGTGTTTCTTCCATCATAGACCATCATCTGTCTTTTTCCTTTTTTCTTCCGCTTTGCTCTAAATCTATGATACTTCTTCCATTGTTTGGATTCACCATTTACAATCCAAGGATACTCCTTAAGAATCTGTCTAGTTTTCTAAACAACCTTTTCAGAAACAGGCTGCAATGAATTTTTTTACTGAATCACTCATCTGGCTGTTTATTTGCAGCATACACACACACACCCCACACACTGGGTTTCCTTTCTTTCCTCTCCTCACCAAAATCACCATCTCAGGAACTGGAGCAGAAAAAGAAGAAAGAAGAAGAAGCGAAAGCAAAAGAAAAAGAAATAGAACTAAAGGCTGCTGAAGAAAAAGAAGCCTCTAATCCGGAACTTTTGGAGGTAAGAGTGAGACTAGATAAACTTGAAGAAACTCTGAAGGAAATTGTGGTTGAATCAAAGAAGCAAATGAATAGTGGCCAAACAAAAGAGCATGAAGGAGGAAAGGAGAAGAAAGATATTGTAACAGAAGCAAGTAGCCGTAGTAGTTCAGAATCTAGCCAGCCGGCTGAGAAAGATCCTCTCAGTAAACAGGATTCTGTAGAACCAGGACCAGCCCTCAGCAAAGAGCGGGTAGTAGGTCAGCACCCGGTTCCTAATGCTCACTTGCAGGATAAGGAGGGCAAGACCCCAGCTTCTGAAGATGCTAAAAGATGAATTGAAGTTTTTTCAGCTGTTGTCTATAATTTTTGGTGTAGCATAGGCAAGAGGAAACACTTGGATTGAACAAAATGATTTTTAGTTTAGGAGTATGATACGAACTCAATTATCTTTTCTTCTTCAGCCTTTTCTGCTTGCAAAATGTATGCAAGAAATACTTGCAGAGCTTTTTTCCCAGTCTTTATCACTTCGAATATCTTGAGAGCAGACTTTCGTTGCAAGAGGAAAGTGATGGTTGCTTTCAAACAATAGGAAACAATCTGGTGTTTCTGTTCTGATTCGTTGTGTGGCTGTTGGTTCTTGAGTAGTATCTGAAGCAGGAAATGCAGCTTGCATTGGTCACTTTTGAAACAAATTGGCCTTATGATTTGTGCATATGTTGAGTCCGTACCTGCACTTGCATGCTTACGAAATGCAAGGATGCATGGACTTCAAATTGTCGGTTCTACTTAAACTGGTGGATTTTTAACCATCTCCTACCTTAGCGGTCTCATTATTGGAGTCATGTTCGAAGTTTGGTACTAGAGTTGTAACTTCAGCAACAAGGCTTAACCGTAATGTCCCATGTTGTGCTAAGTTTAATTTAATATGCATAAATGGGTAAAATTTCCAACAAGTTAGATATTGACACACAAACCGAAGCATTATTTGGTGAACAAATTTAGCGTGCGATTATTTTTGTTTGATTTTGTTACTTGCAGGCCTTCCCAAAAGGTTCACCTCCTCAGTTTTAAGAATCCAAGCTTTTTCGGTTAAAGAAACAAGCAAGTCCTCTTAGCCTTGGTAGTTTTTAGGGATGGTTTGATAACATATATTGAAGGAAAATCAACTTATTTTGGATTTAATCAATAAGTCCTCAACCTCTCAGTCCATTCCATATTCGTTGAACCTCATTCTTAACTTATTTCCTAAAATCAATAAAACAAACCTTAAAAATGTTTGTTAATTTAACCACCAATTACCAACAAATTCTCTAGATAATTTAAGCACTGCACTCCTACTGCCTACCGGTATACAAATTCTATAGCTGAAGGAACTTTTTCTTTAAGCTTCTGCATAGCAACATCTCTTGCCATTTTTCTCCATGGGCCCTCCTCCTCTTCTTCTTTTATCACAATTTTCCCCAGTTTCACAGCAGTCTTTGCCAAGTACTTGACAAGTTCAAAATCACTTGTGTGACCATCATACCCTACCAATTCCACTATCTTAAGGTAATTATGGGAGCATTTGGCCTTCTTATATTTTATTTTCCTTCTCATGGATTTTGTGTAGTCCATCTGCAGCAAGAAGACAACTTTGTGAGCAGGAAACAACTTTTGCATTGAGTCAATAGCTACCAAATAGTATTACCATTAAGCTCACAACTCTTCAGAAGCAGAAGTGAAAATATATTCCAGAATATGAAACAGTGGCAGAACAGTCTACCTATGAATTTCAAATATTTATATTTGACATCCATTTACCTCTGAATATTCATCCAATAAATCGAATATTCATTCCTGACACAAATATCTACCTAATTGAGACTGATTTTCTGACCAAAAGGGAAACACAGATACTTCGTTAATGGGACATATTCAAATAAATAAACTAAACCAGAATCTACCACACTAATCCAAACGTTCATTATAAAAACACAGCCTCTCTGAAATAAAATTCATTTCAACAAACATAAAATTAAATTCATCAACTGTGAAGATATATATAGAATAGGTTGAAGAAATAATGTTAACACAGAAGTTTAAACTAAAGAGACTAACATTTCAAAGGGACACTCAACTTAATAAAGACATTATATGTGTAAGCCATGAAACATGTATTGAATAAAAAATCATGGCAATAGAAAGAAACAATTGGGATGTGTGCATGCTGGCGTCCAATATCAAGTGAACAATATAACAGATCTCAATTGATGAAATTTCAATTAGGTTCTAGGAACATATAACCTTTTACCTCATTTATTACAGTGGTTAACATGATTTTGCAATTCTATATGAAGAAAATGCACGTTTCACAATGAAAGTAAAAGATGCATCACATAACAGGATGGTAAAAGTTCAAAACCATCCAGTGAATCTCAGAAACAAAATCACCCAAAGTACACATACAACTACCAAGTTTTACTGAGAAAATAATCTACCAAGTGAGAATATGCATACCTGCAAGTACAACACAAGTCTGTGCAGGCACGGAGATGCCCTAAAGAAGGAAGTTAACTGAAGAAGGCCACAAACATTGTCTTCTTCAAATATTATTTCCAAATGCTTTAGATTTGCTAATATAGGAAATATACGATCCCTCTTGTAGGGCTGAAAAAGAAACAAGGAGTAAGGGACTAATATAATCCAACAAAGAGAAGGAAAACTAATACATGATAATTACATATACCAAGTACTAACCACTATTTGATCAGTCAGTTTGAGAATCTCTAGCTGAGAAAGACAGCACGCAAGTTGAGTGAAGGCAACCTCTATGAAATTATTGCAGATACAGTCCTCAGAAATGGATACCTCAACAAGCAGCGGTACATTCCTAAGAAGCAAGCTTATCTCATTTCCAACATAACTGAGTGAAACCAGGTTTGCATCACAAATCTCAATGCTTTCAAGGCTGTTACATCGTCGAATTACTAGATACTTCAATGCAATCAATGGACCAACAACCCTTAAATTTACCAAATTTGGGGAGTGAAACACTGATAACCGTTCAAGAACTGGGCAATTAGACAAGAAGCACTCAAGAACTTCTTCAGCCACATCAACAAAATTGAAATGAAGAACTCTGATTGACTTTAAGCCAAGGTATACACAAGGGTTTAGACTTGGAATTTCACAACACACAGCTGTAGAAGTAGACCCTCTGTTGATACCTAAAAGTTCATGGGGAAAATTATAGCAGGATTTCTGTCTATGATGAATGCCATCTTTTGAGAAGTCCAACTCAAGAATTTGAACTCTTTTTTTCAGTGCAAATTGAATCCATTTATTAATGGAACTTGAAAAGCTATTATCCAAATCAAAAGCAATCCTGAATTGTTCAATGTTTGGCCATGTATGCTGTTCCACCACACTATTCACCCAATCAACATACCTACGGATTTTCTGTTCTCGTTCTTCTCGATTGAGGTCAATCAAACTGTATAAAGTTTTCTCATCATCAAATTTGAGAGTCATAGTAGATGCCAACACATACCGGCACAGATACCGCCATCGCTTAGAAAGGATACTAGTAGTTGCTGCTTCATTTAGCGGCAGGAGAGTCAGTATACTAACAAGAACTTCATCTGCCAACTCACTGATTCGGTCTGCCAGGTGGTAATCATACTTACTTTTGTTACTCTTTCTCAAGATGTAATCACCCTATGAACCGAGCCAAAAACAAAAATAAAAAAAGTATGAGTGTCACAAGTGATCTTCTCTTTTTCTTGATTCTCATAAATTATGAAGTAAAGAATATATTAAAAAAAAATGCACAAAATGGGGTTTAATCGATCTTGGGTTGGTTTTATTGTGAAACTGAAATGCATCAGCTCAGTGTTGGGAAATGGGAGTCCAAGCAGGAAATTTACATCAAATAGAGGCATAAGACAAGGGGATCCCTTACCTCCTATCTATTTCTTTTTGTTGGTGAAACTTTATCTCAAATGGTACAAAAGTCTTTTCAAGCTAACAGGTCACAAAGGGTGACACTTTACAAGAATGGCCCAATGTTGGGTCATCTGCTACTTGTAGATGATTCTCTATTTTTGTGAACGCGGCTGTTGAAAATAGCAAGGCAATGGCCAGGATCCTGGATCTATCTTGTAATGTACAAGCTTGTTTGGTGAACTATAATAAGTCAAGTCCATTTTTCAGCCTAGTACTCCTCCTAACTTCCAACAAATGTCTGCGTACTCAAGATCAATGTGACAGTGAATCCAGGAAAACATGTACGGCTTCGCACTATGTGGGATAGCTCTAAGAAAGAGGCTTTTCTGCTATGTCAGAGATAGAATTTTAAAGAATACGAAAGGCTGATAAAGAGACCCCAACTCTAAACACAGGGTTATAGAGCTTCTTGGGCATGGACAAGCCTTGCAGGCAGAAAACGTTTTACTGATCGGGCAACGTGGCAGGTTAACAAAAGCTTCTTGGGCATGGACAAGTCTGAAGGTGCTTCCATGGAGAACCATCCATCTTCCCCCCAGATTGACAAAAGGTCATGGAAGATTAGATTAGGTGGGGAGTGGAAGTCACTGCTAAAAATGAGGAAATTATCTTCTTTAAAAAAATAAAGTTTATATTTTAAAAAGAATAAATGTTAAAAATCCTCTGTTTCCTATACGCCAGACCCATCCTCAATCTGAGGAACACTTAGTTCTATTGTGTCTTGTAAAAAAAAAAAAAAAAAAAAAAAAAAAACAACAAGTAATTCATTCAAGGGCAAGAATTGCTTACCTGCATTGCTTTCTTTTTTTTCCTTTTCTTCTGGGTTATGACCAGAACTCATCAGCAAGCTTTATCAGCAGGGAAAAATCTCAGCTTTATGGCTCATTGATCTCTTCAGGAGGAAGCTAAAGCTACCCTTGTTGGTATCTGGCTAAAGATTGAGGCTTTGAAGAAAATTGATGCGTAAACTTGATTCAAAAGTTGTGGTTAATTTGCTGAACAAGAGATATCTCCCGGCCAAAGAACGAGGCTTTGAGGAAGAATGGCTGATGTTTCGAAGGTTCTGCCCAGTTTTGATCTATTTCGAGGAGCCAACAAAAACAGCGGCTCACAGGTGCCCATCCTCATTGGGATTTTGCTGAGTGATGATAACCTCGTCCAGTCCAACGTTGGCAACTGTTCGCCGCTTTGCTCTTCAGTTTCTGGTTTTGTTCTTCACTTAAGTACATGTTTTTTAGGTGGGGGGTGGTTGTGCTTTTTAAGGCCCGGTACTCCATCTATTGGGCTGTTACCATACCTGGCTGGCCTGAGAGTTGGTAAAAATATAATCAAAGGGTAGGGGTGGGTCGGTTTTGGTCCTAATTTTTAATACAATTCATATATAGCGGTTTATGATTTTTTGGACTCAAGACATGCTCATTATTAGGTCAATCCAACCAAACTCTTTTGTGATTGAGTTAGGCGGTTTGGTCGGGTTAATTCAAAATTATGATTACTCTTAAGTTTTGGTTTCAACTCATAACCCAACCTGTAAATAGTGATTTAAGATTTATTGGACTCAGGACCCGTTCATTATTAGACCAACCCAAACCAACCTAATCTTCTTATAATTGAGTCGGGCAATTTGGTCAGATTGACCTGAAATTGAGCCCACTCCTATCGAAGGGCATGTGTTGGTGGTTTGGAATTGGATTGTATTATGAAATCGAATTGGACTGAATTGGAGATGACAAATCCAATAATATATTTGGTTTTCACACAATTAAGGAGTGGATTAACTAAACACAATGACCAAAATTGTGTTTCACCCCTAACTGAAATATGTTATTACATGTCCTAGCAATTAGACATAATCCAATCCAACTTAATCCCAACTTTTTGGAGTCAAAGGGGTCTACCTTAGTGGAAAATTGCATTGACTTGTAGACTAGAGGTTTATGTTTGAACTCCTATGGCATATTGGCAAGATTTATAATCCAACTATATTTGGGCCTAGTAAATTTAGACATTATTCAATTCAGCTTAATTTTAGGTCACCAAACATTTATTCAATTGTTTTGGGGCTTCAATATTCCAAGTTGTTTGGGCTTTGGCTTTTTCACTTCATCTTCTTCAGCTCCTCTAATTGGTTCATTCTCTTTCATCAAATGGTGATTGTTGATCTCATCATCCTAATCCAACATAGTAAAGTGTTCCCTGTTCAAACATGCAAAAACAACACACTGAAACACACATACTCCATTTATATCCAAATAATCACCCAAAAAATAATAATAATAATTTGACATTACATATGATGTATTGCTTTTCAGAATCGTCTTACACGACTCCTATCAATCTTTGAAATTGCTATTCTCATTTCACCATTGCAAAATGGGCATCTTCCAGAATCGTCTCCCACAATCCTGAAGTCGCATATGAAGATGAAAGGAGAGAGGGTAGCATTAGGTGGGCACAATTTGACGATTTTGGAGGGGCACGTGACCAAAACATGACGGGCATTAAAAGAATTTGACAGAAAATCACAATTGTCCTTGAATTGTTCTAAGTTAAAAGTACAGGGACAAAATTGAAACGACAGAGATCAAAGTGATAAAAGTGGTAAACTACATGGACCAAAAGTGACTTTTTGCCTATTAATTAACATTATGAATTTATTTATTTCTTGGTCGAAACATTCTGATTCCTTTAAAGTAAATTTAGATTTTAGCCATAAAAAAAATTTCACTTTTGGAAAAAACCAAAGCTTTTTCAAAAAAGACAGAAAAACCTTTCAACTTTAAAATCAAAGACATGCAAATGTAAAGGATTCCTTAGGAAATCAAATTAATGATCACGCTCAACTCAATTTATAGTTTCCTCAATCAGTTATGCTAATAATTTTGAAAAAACCCAAAAAGAAAAGGAAATAAAATAAACAAGTTCCAAAATCTCTAACTATATGCTTGTTACTCAGCACCATCGCTATATCCGTGAGAACTTGAAAAAGGACCACTCTCAGATTTAATGGAAAAAAAGAGGCCTCGACCAACTTCTCAGTTTCTCCAAGACCAGGTAACAAAAAATTAAACTGTATTTTAATTTTTTTTCTCTCTCGTTATTTATCATGAAAGAAACAAAGATTACATAACCTTTTTTTTTTCTTTTTGTTTGTGGTTCAATTCATATTCATAGGGTGGTCGCAATAACTTGAGAAAGAGAAAGAGAAGTAAGCATGGCCACAACAAGTTGTTGGACAGAATCAGTGAGTTGCCAGATGCAATTTTAGTTAGTATACTGTTTCTCTTGCCGCTGAAGGAAGCACAAGCTACTAGCGTCCTTTCGAGGCGATGGCGGTATGTTTGGGCGTCTACTATGATTCTCAACTTTGAGGCTGAGAAAGCTTTGTGCAGTTTGCTTGACCTAGAACCAGAAGCAGAAGAGCTTGAAGAGGCCCAGTCATGGAACAATTTAGGGTTTTTTTTTACCTAGATGATAAGTTTCAAGTTCCATTAATAAATGGATTCAATTTTCAATGATAGAAAAGAAGAGTTCAAATGCTATATATTTGAGCTCGAGTTGTTAGAATTTGGGTGTTGATTCTCGAGAGCAGCTAACCAAGAACATGCATGCATGCCAAGGTACCCATTTAACTCATGTGAATATATTAGGAGTTGTTTTGATAAACTGTTGGGCTAATATGTTAGTTGTGTATCTTGTACACATAATATAGTGGCTGGGTACTAAAACATCTCTCATTGTTTCTCTTCTGTCTATACTACTCCTTTTGGTTTGACATCTTTTCTTTTTCTATAAGAATATATATATATATATATATAATATATATAAAAGACGAAAGAGGATAATGTGTTTTCTCCTATAAAGGATGTAATTCGATATAAAGTAGTTGGAGTCGTATTAACTCATAAGAAGAAAAACGACAATGTGTTTCGTTTATAAAAAGATGCAACTTTGAAGCATATTAATTCTACTCCCATGTTAGGTCTATTTCACAAAAATTTTATGGAAGAATTGGTGGGATCCAGTTTTTATATGGCCACAAATTGGGTGTTTGACGTCCCAAATCAGCAATCGTCTTGTCAAATTCTAGTAAAATTGAAAAACTTTCCGAGAAAAAAAAAAAGAAAGTTAAATAAATTTGGCAATTGTCAAAACCATATGGTAAAGAGGAGCTCCAGAGCCAAGTTTTTTTTTTTTTTTTTTTTTTTTCTAAATGAAAAAAAAAAAAACTGTATTTTCTTTCCAATTAAATTTAATAAACTATGCTCAACAACAATTAATATAAGGAAACAAGCCTCTCAAAAAATAAAAAATAAAGGAAACAAGAACGCAAAAGGGCCCAACAGGGCCCTCTCCCTCCAAACCAGACAAAGCACAGAGAAAGTCCAACAAGACTTGGCTATAATTGAGAGCCGAAAAAATGAGTGTCGGAGCTGATAGCATCGAGAGAGAGCGAAAGAGAGATGAAGACGACTCAGTACAGTAAGACCTAAATCCAATACCTCCCTCTTCCCAAAATCACTCACTCGTCTTCCACTCTCTGACTCGCTTGCCCGCTGTAGCAGTGAGTTAGAAGACCCTTTTCAGGTTAAGATTTTCAAGAGGAAAAAAACCACTGTCAGATTCAATGAAGAAAAGGGTGCGTCGACCAACTTCTCAATTTTCCCAAGAACAGGTAAAAATACTATGAAGTTTGCATCTTTTTTCTTCCCATATATCTAAATAGTACAAAAAAGAAGCTTTTTGTTTAAATTCTCTCCTTAATTTCTATCAAAGAGTGCATCATTTCCTCCGGTTGGTTTGGCTTTTGTTTTTCTGATTGTTTTGATTATTAATTGGGTCTCTTTTGTAAAATAGATTTCATAATTTAAGGGAATTTTCAAAGAGAGAAGAGTACCTGGTTACTCTCCTTAATCCTAATTGACTTTTTTATTTTTTGTGTGGTTCCGTTCATTTCATAGGGGGGTTACAACTTGAGAGATAGAAAGAAAAATAAGCATGAATGCAACAAGATTTTGGGCTTGGACAGAATTAGTAGTTTGCCAAATGAAGTACTTGTTAGTATACTGTCTCTCTTGTCACTAAAGGAAGCACAAGCTACCAGTGTCCTTTCTAGGCGATGGCAGCATCTGTGGCGGCACGTGTTAGCATCTACTAGGACTCTCGACTTTGATGCTGAGAAAACTTTATGCAGATTGTCTAACCTCAGAGCAGGAGCACGAGACTTGTTAATCTGTAGGTACGTTGATTGGGTGAATAATGTGGTGGAACATCATCGAGGCCCAATGGTTGAAACATTCAGGATTTGTTTCGATCTTGATCCTAAGTTTTCAAGTTCCCTTGATAAATGGATTCAATTTGCAATGGAAAAGGGAGTTCAAATGCTTGAGTTGGACTTGTTATCATACGGTGTTTTTCCTCGGAAGTTCTTTCCGTGCTACATTTTTCCCCATGAACTTTTAGGTATAAAAAAAGAGTCCACTTTGAAGCACTTGTGTTCTGATATTCCAAGTCTCCACCGTTGTGCATGCATTGGCTTTAAGTCCCTCACAGTTCTTAATTTCAAAAGTGTTGATGTGGAGGAAGAAGTTCTTGAGTACTTCTTGTCCAACTGTCCTGTTCTTGAACGGTTATTAGTGGATGATTCACCAAATTTGCGCAATCTAAGAGTTGTTGGTCCATCAGTTTCATTGAAGTACTTAGTGATAGAGCAATGTTCCAGCTTCATAAGCATTGAGATATGTGACACGAACCTAGTCTCGTTTACTTATGTTGGATGTGAGATAACATGCTTCTTAGGAATCTACCACATCTTGTTGAGGTATGTGATTTTTCCTATAAGAGCATAGGGGATGCCTTCACTCAACTTTCATGCTGTCTTTCTCAGCTAGAGATTCTCAAACTGAACGGACTTCTGGTTAGTATATCTAAGTTTTAAGTGTTGGTTTTACTGTCTTCTTGTTGGATTCTGTTAGTGTCTTAGTCCTTGTTTATTTGGTTTTCAGTTCCAAGAAAGGAATCATGTATTTCCTGTACTAGCAAATCTCAAGCAATTGGAACTAAAATTTCAAGCAAATGATTGCTTCATCCTTCTTCAGTTGGCTTCTTTCATTAAGGCATCTCCGTACTTGCACAGACTTGTGTTGGAGGTACATATTTTTATTTAGTTCTATTTCCTGTACCAGTAAAACTTAGTATTAGTATATGCACTTTGGTGATTTTGTTTATGAGGTATTGGTCAAGTAGTCAGAGCAGTTAAGAATCCAAGTCCACAAAGCCAGTTTAGGGGATTTCTGGGTATAAATTTTTTAAGATATAGGCCTTGCTGTTATATGATATCGAGTATGAAACTGAATTTTGGAAGATTTATGAAGTAGTTACTTATGGTCATAGTCATGTTTTACTATTATGTGTTATGTTCCCTTTTTTGTAATTGTATTGAGGAGTGGGGGCACTTGCAATCCATTTCCTTTCTTAAAATTGGGATCCCTAGATGAAAGAACCCTAAATATGTTTTGAATTAGAGGCTCTAAAGACTTACAAGCTTGTCTTAATGTTAATTCTATTTGGTAGCTAATTATGGTAATGTAGCTTCCAGTTCCCAAGTTGTGCACCTTTACTCCAAAGACTTTTGAGTTTAATGATAGTTCTATTCGGTGGCTATAGACTTCCTGGAACTTTTGGTTCTTGTTGTATTGTTTCCTTGGTGCAGTTGTACCCGTTATGCGAGAGAAGAGAAACGAGATTTAAGAAGGCATCCAAATGCTCCCATGAGTACCTTAGGGTAGTGGAAATTGGAGGGTATGATGGTCGCGCAAGTGATTTTGAAATTGTCAAGTACTTGATAGAGAATGCTGTTCAACTGGAGAAAATTGTTATTGATCCTGCTGATCCTATCGAACCACATTATTGTTTTCCTAAGCACAGAATAAAGAAGACTATTGAAGAAGTGGAGAGGGAAGAAAATGCAAGAAATCTTGCTAGGCAGCAGCTTATAGAAAAGGTTCCTTCAACCGTAGAATTTGTATGCCTCTAGCAAGAGAGATGCCTAAATCATATATAGATTGTGTTGGTAATTATATAAATCAATAAGTGTATGTAATAAAGAAACTGCTATCAAGTTTATGAGTACAGTTTTTCATGTTGTACATGTTACTGGCGAGCCAGTAAATTTATCTGATCTCAAGATTAATAATAGTCATAATGCATGTTAGTGGCCCTGATTTTTCAAATGTGGATTGTGCAAATAGATTCCATGTTTATTACCTGTACCAAGATTGGAGATCAAACTCTAGGTTCAGAATCTTCTTGGGGACTCATACAGGAAGCACACCCTATGTTTTTCTTTAAAAACTATCTTCAGCTTCAGGGCTTCAGGACACTCAAGACTTGTCAAATGCTACAAGTGTTTAGTTTTCTCAACCCAATTGCATTGAAATTGGGAGGCTTCATTCCAGCTACAGATATCTTTTTTTAAGCCGTGGTTGGCTACGCAGATTTGGTTTTTAAGGAAGAATTTTGTGAAGGGAAATGAAATGAACAAGAGCAGTAAGATATCTACCTTTTCTTCTTGTATTTTGATGGAGCTTGTTTCTTCAAGTTCAGATATTGGCATCATATTCTATGGAGACTATCACATTGCAAAACTGGCTTCTTTCTTCCGGTTGAATTTCGATGGAGCTTGTGGTGACAAGGTAACTAAGAGGGGGATGGTTGCTGTTATTAGAAACGAAGCAGGGGGGCTAATTGCAGGACAATAGTCTCAGCAACCAGTTTGCTCCCCCAAGGGAAAGTTGAGGGGTTCTTACTAGCCATCAGATGAATTGCAGAGCTATTATTATCCAGTTAGATTGAACCTCTCAACATATAAGGCCCTCATTATAGAATCCTCCCAAAAAAGAAGAATGCAATTCAACTTCTAGCATGAGTCATTCTATAATGAGGGCCTTATGTATGGCGCTCGCTATAGAATTCTTGCCTCCAACAGATATTGTTGAAAGCAGAGGCCCAAATGAAATGCCTAACCCCGAACAAACAAAAATTCATGCCCAAAAAAGGAGAACTAGAGAAATTGCAAGGATAAATTCAAAATTCATTATAAAGCTCCCATAATTGTTTGGGCTAACGAGAGTTCCTGAGAATGATAGTGAATTTGCATTATGTTATAATATTGGTTTTTTATAAATAAAATTATAATATTGTAAAATCCTTTAAAAAAAGCCTTTGCAACCCACTCCTAGAAAATTCTCCTAATATCAGGTTTTCAATTACAAAAGGGATGTAACACGTGATCACTAAAACCTGGTTGAAGGTTGCAACAAACTATGTTTGGCCCAACACAGAGAATTTGATTTGCATTAGGACTCTTTCTTTTAGTTTTTACATCATCCTAAATGCTTTGAAACACTATATAAAGCTCTTGCTTACCTCTCCTAAGATGATTTCTTTTCAGAAGATGAAGTCCATAACCGTGTACGATATTTGAATAGCTATCATGACGGCTATGGACTTCATCTTTTATCATGACGTACTGAAAAGAAATCATCTTGGAATATAGACCAATATTATAACACCATGCAAATTCACTATCATTCTCAGGAACTCTCGTTAGCCCAAACAATTATGGGAGCTTTACAATAGGATAAAAAGAGAGCAGCCAAAGTAAAACATCGAAGTTCAAACATTGCAAAATAGCGGGTCCACTATGAAAGATAAATTCAAACAAAGTTAAGTCTTGATCAAATTAAAAATATCAACGGGTTGTTCAATCATCAATGGGTTTCTTATACTCTTTCGACTTATCTTCCCTGTTGAAGTCACACCATCTACTCTTGCCTACCAAGCTACCTTTCACACATGACAATCAGAACCTTCTAAGGTCATCAAGAACATCTCCACCCAGCTAGCAGGAAAGTCATCATCAAGGTCCAATCCAGCCGATTTCTCCACCCCAAAGTCTTCAACAAAATTTCCATTTTTAGCATATCCTGGTTGTACTGTTGAGTTTCCCTCCATAATATTAACAGGTACTTCATGATCAAGAGAAAACACTTCATTGATGATGCCATTGCCACAACTCTGATTATTCTCCGCCAACATGGCCTCCAAACTCACCTCCGGAACCTGACTAACGCTACGGGAAGATTCTCCGATATAACTGGGGCCTGGATCAAGGTTAGTCAACCCAGGAAGAAAAGTGGGGTAAAATGTTTGAGGATGATTAGGAACCTGCATGGAGTCTTGAAGAAGGGAGGAGAAGCTAGGGTTTTGGTTGAGGTATTGGCTGTAGGAATCACTGTTATACTGATGTAACTGATCAAACTCATGATTCTCAACATCCCTGCCAAAACTGAAACCTGATGAATTTCCATCAACAAACTGTCTCATTGTTGGATCACCATCCAAACTCCCATAAATTTGAGACCCTCCAACACTGAAACCACTCCCCTCTGAATTATCACCTCCTCCATAAGTACCAACCCACTGATTTAAACTAGGGCTTCTCTGAAAGTTAAGGTTTTCGCATCCAGGAACATCATGAACTTGAGAGCTAGGGTTAACATTGAAGTCCTGGGGAAGTTGATTATATTGGATATCAGTGTTTTGGAGGGAGAAAGGGCTTACATATTGATTGAGGTTTGAATTGTTGGGGGTTGGTAGGATTTGATGAATTGTTGGCTCAAATGAGGATGATGGTTGAGTTGTTGAGCTCAGCCTAGAGATTCCTGTGCTATAATCCTCATCTAGTTGCAAAATGGGAATTTTCTGATTAGCATCACTGCTTCTTCTGTTTTCTAGGACATCATCAACTGAAGACCACCTTAACTTCTTTGAAGCACCCTTTCCAATTGGAAGCTTTGCGCTGTTAAAAATGCTGTTGAGATCATATCGACTCAGATCAAAGTTTGTGACTGCTTTTGTGCCCTTCATCCTTATCGCGGCAACATCATAAGCTCTTGCTGCTTCCTCTTCAGTTGCTGGTTGGTTGGCAAAATGATTAATTAATTCAGCTCAAGTAGTTAAAGCCAACTGTTGATATTCTTTTCTAGCTAAGTTGTAACATCTTTTGCTGTGGTCTTGATCATCAAATCAATCATTAGATAATATGAGGCATAAAGGGTCATATAGGATCTTACCAAATGTACCCAGGTAAACTCCTTTGAGCCCTCCCCCTTTGCCTAATCTGGCTTGCCATTTCTTGTGGTACGAGTTCCTGTTTCAAGGCTTGACTATGTCACAGAGAGAGAGAGAGAGAGAGAGAGAGAGAGAGAGAGAGAGAGAGAGAGAGAGAGTGCGAGAGAGGATTAGTCATAATACCTTGACACTCCACGATATGTAGATAAACCCTTGGCAAAAGTAGCACTTGTTCTGAAATATGGCAAGATTAAGATACAGCTAATTAGTAGAGAAAGATGAAGAAGCAACATTTAAAGCATATAATACTAGGTACAATTAAGATTAAATGGTGTATGAAGACCAATTCAGTTTCAAGTAATTGGGGCCATTACTAACAAGAAGGAAGATGTGGATGTCTTTCGCCTATAAAAGGATGCAATTTTCGGGCATATGAAGACGAATTAGAGCGAGAAAGTAGAGCACGAGTGAAGAACCCCACTAAGTTGTAGAAATTCAGACCTAGATCTTACTGATCATACTCTGTTTACCTTCGAATGTGGAGAAAATAGTCTTGTTTGGACATCCCCTTCATCTCCTCCAACTCTTTTTTGTATTCATTCAGCTACAACAGTTATATATATATAGAGAGATATGGAGGATAAATCATTAGAAGGGGAATATGATTCAAAATAAACAATAAGCAAATGAAAAACATATTAATGTCAAATGTAGTATTTAACATACAGTGAAGTTTAATGTAGCAAAGTCGCCCCATAACTTTAGAGCAGCTAGATCATGAGCTCTAGCTGCCTCCACTTGTGTTTCAAATCCACCTGCCAAATTAAAGGGCAAATTAAGAAGAAACTATTGACAAGCCAGCAACTTTTCGAGTTTAAAACTAAAGAGATACAAGAAATTCACCCACCAATATAAACTGTCGTTGATGGAGGAAACAAGAAGAAGAAAAAAAGAAGTTAGTTGATAATTTGGATGTTATTGCTTGATTAGCAAGCACAAGATGGAAATGGATAATGAAATAATGTTGTTATACCTGTCTTGCCTTTACTTCGTGGTTCAGTGTTATCCCACAGAAATGCTTCATAACGACCTCCTGTGTACCTGTATATATAGCAAGTTCATTGTTATGTATATATACATTTGCAAAATCCATTGAAGAGTGCATTTCGTCACACTATAATGTATATAAATTTAAGCAACTAAGGTATTCGTTCAATACATGAAGAAGGCTATCTACTCACTTATCTAAAGGCACACACTCTTCTCAACGAAGTGATCTCTTGTTTTTAAAAGCAAAATCACTTATGTTATAATTGAGTCAATTTTTCATCCCAATTAGAATTTGTTGCAATGTGCCACCTGCAACTAACTCCGTCCTTTTGTTTCTTCCATAAAATTTCACGAAGTTTGCATATGACTGTTTAGAAACAGTGAGTAACAATTTTTCCCATGTCCAAATACGGTTCAATAGATGAAGTAAGTTACAACAAATTTCTAGTTGAGGTGATGCATTTAGACGACAAATTGTCTCAAGGCCTATAATTCATGTAGTATTGATGTAGTTTTCCCTTAGCATATTGAGTGGTGTGGTTGAGTAATGGGATATGATTGTTCTCTTTATCATTATTAAAATCTCTCTCTAGATCTTCGGAGCCAATAAATATTACTGAGAAAAATAGTACGTATGAACAATTTTTCTTTGGAAAATATTAAATGCATCTAGTTATGAGATGTTCTTAATGAATATGTGGTAGAAAATATATATAATTATTCAAATTTACATATGGATTATAACAAAACAAAACAAACTAGTATAAGCATACCTTGAAACTCCATAAAATGCAGAACCCCTTTGGACAATTTTTTTCTTCGAATTTTTACAGTGACGTTTACGTTTCATCGGTTTTTCTCCACTTCTACCATTATCTTTACCATTATCTTCTTCATTGATGCAATCATAACTAACCATTGTGGAACAATACATAAATAGATTAATTAACATAATTGAACTTTTGAAATATGGATTGTAAATTAAAAAGTAAGTTTTGATTATTACCTCATAAATGGATCTCCAAATATGTTGATATTATCGTTTCTGTTCTTTTCACCAATAAAATCCTGATCACTTTCCACATGAATTGATGATGAAAATGGGTAGTTCGCAGAAGGAAGAGTATTGCAATAAGGTGCTTCAACTGGGGAACTTTCAAGTATCCATGGAGAATTGTGTTGCATATGGTTACTTTCCCTTGCTTCTGAAGTATTATTATTGTGAAAAATTAGTAAAACCCTCATTTTATAACTCATTAGAATAAAACATGTGATTGTATGGGAAGTGACCGAACACGAATTTGGTTAGGATCAATGACAAAATCATTCAAGAACCCTAGAGAAGAGCTCCTAGGCTCAAAGTTAATTGAATTACCCGACAAAGGAGAAGGAAAACAGAAGTTCTCACTTGAATTCATAGTACACACTTGATGGGAAAAAGGGCCAAGACTACCTCCTGCACAAAAAACAAAACAAAAACAAAAAAAATTTACTTAAAAATTAATTAGGGAATTAGCTTAGCATATCCCAACAATACTAAATCATAGGTAAAAAAGTTGACTGACAATTACATATAAGTAAAGTATAAACTAAGCACCATTTAAAGGACAAATCTTGAGGAGTTCAAATAACATTGCCATAATGCTAAAGTTATTTGCTCTTCTACACGAAGTGTAGAAATAGCATTTGCCACTAATTATAAATAGTCTTCGAATGTGCTTTTCCTTCATACAGTTGTTGTTATTACACTCCAATGACACATTATTATTACAGTACTATTTTTATACTTTTTCATATACATTCTATAACTGAAACCCATAAACCTTGTATCTTAAACCCATATAAGGCCTATAATCTAAACCCATGAATCCCCTTACAAATTAAAAAATAAAGCACAAGTACTATACCAACAATTGTCACTGCACTGCAGTTCAACCCGCAAATTGTTACAGAAAAGTTAAGTGTGTTTGTAAATGTTAAGAGTGTTCGTCCCACATTGAAAAGTTAAAGAACCTAACCTAAGTTTATTAGGAGTTGAGTCACCATTGTCAATTAGTTATGGGGTGGGTAACTGTGGAACCTCATCCTTCTTGGTATCAAAGCAAGGCTTCATGTGTTAGGTTCAAAGGCCACACATGCTCCCATATCACTCAATATGTGTTGTCTATGTGTAAGGCTTAAAAGTTCGCCACACGTGGGGAGGCGTCTGTGGTCGTGCTACCATGTCACCCAATATGGGTTGTCCACATATTAGGCTTGAAAGTTTGTCACACGTGGGAGGGCTTGTTGAGAGTGTTTGTCCCACATTGTAACAAAAGTGAAAACAAAAACTAAAAACTGAAATCTATTTGAAATTGTTTTCACTTTCAAGTTTTTGTTTTCACTTTTGTTACTCCTCCCTCTCATTCTCCTCTTTCATCGTCTCTCTCTCAATCTCACCTTCACTCCCATATCTCACTCTTATTTTCCTCCATACTCTAGCACAAAAAATGAAAACTAAAAACTAAAATTGAAATAGTTATGAAACGGGCCCTAAAGGAAATAGCCTGAGTTTATAAGGAGTTGAGTTATTTCCCCAATTACCAATTGATTTTAGGGTGGAGTCTCAACTTCCTTAAGTAAAACACATCAACGTAACACTCGAGATTTTTTCCCTTTTCTTTCTTTGATACATTAATGTTTTTCTAAGTATTTTGAGATGTTGTTAGGGGGTAGGGAATGATTGATTATACTTTTATATTCACATTTGCGTATCAAGTGCACGTTGAAACTCTAGACATAGATAGTAATTAAGTGAAATAATTAAGCACTAAAACAAATTTAGCAAACATTCGACCACCTTAGCTCTTTGAAGATTATGGGTGACATAATATGCACATACAAAGTAGGTAGGTAGGATTTAAACGAAATAATAAATATATCCAAGAGAATGCCACAAATTAGGGAATGAATTGAATGCCAAAAATAAGAGAGTACAATTGACAAGTATATATATATATATGTGTGTGTGTGTTATATTTATGCATTAGCAACAATATATGTGTGTGTGTTTAATAATAAAAATAGCACTACCACTAATATAAACAACCAGAAAAATTTTCATTTAGCATGAATAATATATATAAATTATTGTTAAATATGCACTTAAAAAAAATATATATGTAGGGTTGCACAAAAAATAATAATTTATCACACTTTTTCTTATAAGTTTGACAAAGTTGTCAAGTGCATTGAATACATGATAGATAAAATAAATAAAAATGATAACTTATACACGTGGAAGTAAGTTAAGCACTCTAGAATCTTACCGTTAACTTTAAAGAATAAGATGACATTAAAATTGTACATATAGAAAATTGATTATAAAAACATATTGCGCGCCAAAACTCTATAGGAATAAACAAATATGAATACATAGGTTTCACGCCAAACATCTAATATTATAAACCTCGTTCAATTCTCGGTATGTATGTTTGTTTTCAGTCCATAAATCCTAAATATATGTGCAAAAATGTTTGTCAATGAACACTGAAATCTCGAAGGGTAGTTCAAGATGTGGTCTCCAATCAAAGCAAAAAAGAAGTTCAAGATGTGGTCATAATTAAGGTGTGTCATAAGGTCCGTGACCAATTCAGAAAACAGTAGGGCATATAGATTTGATGGGATAGTACCTGCCTTTCTTCTGCTGTGATTGTCTCTCCTCAAAGCAAATTAAACCTTCATAACCCTGCAAAATTGAGAAATGAGAGCAGAAAACAGTAGATGAGTAAACCCAATTCCAAAAAAGGTGTAGAATTTTGATGATGTTACATATGGGAACGATAATGAAGTGGCTGGAACAACATGGAAAAGGGGAAGTGAAGCAAGAAATAAAGAAAAGAGGAAAAGGTAAAGCAAACCAGTGAGCAAGTGTAAGCGATTTGTGCCCAAATTGTTTTGCATGCTCAACAAGTTTAAATGATATGTGTGAGAACGAGCCACGTTTGGAGGTGCTCTAAATTGCAAATGCTGAATAGAGGGTGATATTTGCTACCTTATTTAGCCCTTCGGAATTAAATTCTACAATTATGTCGTTTTGGCATCTTTAACAGGTGGAAAATCTACCTGCATTCAAAAGCCTGTCAACTTTACCATGGTCAAATGATAAGAGGACATAAGCCCACCAATCCACTGCTTCCAATTTGAAATTTAGGTTACTGGTCTTCATTATTACGGTTTTGGTTAAATGGCAAGTTAATTAATCTGGTCAGTAGAGATAATGAGGACTTTATCTTTGCTATTTAAGATTTAGAAATTCTATCTTACAAATGTATGCAAATTATTAGGGGGTTCAGAACAATGCATGTCACTTGATTTTGATTCACTTAGAACAGATAACATTATCGATATGTATGCTTAGGCCGTCTCCAGTAGTGGAGGGCTAAACATAGCCCGCCCATAAATTTAGCCCATCATTTATAGTTTTCTAAGGAATAGTGATGGGCTATATTTTTACTGTCTTCAACAATGCAGGGCTAAATCATAGTTCCCTCAATATTTTATTATTTTTTAGTATATTCTTTAAATCTATTGGTTAATTTAATTAAAGTACTACTTAGACCCTATTTAAAATTCATTTTAGAATATAAAAATATTTTATGATAGGATTTTTTACATTAATTTAAAAATTAAAACTAAAACATGAATTTAAAAACAACAATACATTAATTTAGAAACAACAACTAAAAAATTAAAAAGATAATCATCATCTCCCGACATTGTAGGATGATAATTGGATGTTGAAAGTTGAAACTGCATTCGGAAACAACTCATGTAAGCGGCGATGGTTCTAAATTTCCCTATTTTTTTCGTTGAAATACTCCTTATTCATTGGAGTCATGTTTGTGGTGACCCTAGCCATGTTCCTCTTGTCCATCTCTGCTTGCCTTTGTTGGACCATATCTTCGTGCCTCCTCTTCTTCTTCTCTGCCTCCTATAGGCGTTATGTTTGGCTAGCATGTCTCCTCTCGCTTTTTTCAATGCTTGATTCCATTTGTTCAAGCTTGGATATATGTGCTTCTACCACCTACACTTGCACAACTTTCGTGATTTCTTAGGGTCGCTTCAATGGTGCCTTCATAAAGCTCATAATATATATTTGTGAGAAACACGCGTCCAAAAACTGTCTGAGGTTTGGCTAGTACCGTGTATATTATCTTCAGTGACTTTCAAGAAAGCCTTGCAAAGAGCTTCATCTTCCTTTCGAGTCCAATTTACGCCTTTTTTCGAAGTGGCATCCATTTTTTTCCTAACAATGAGGGGTTAATTTTTGTATGGAAAAGAGGAAGGATATATAATATGTAGAGGATGCAAAAATTGTGGGAAATTATGTAGAAGGATGAAAAAAGTAAGGATGGTATATGTAAAAGGAATGATGAAAATATTGTGGGAAATTAGATAGAAGGATGAAAAGAATGCGGGAAATTATGTAGAAATGAGGTTGGTATTTATAAAAAAATTATATTAGAAAAACCCATTTTTAGTTTTTTTTTTTAAGAAAAAAAATAATGGCTAATTGACGAGCCATTATAGGGTTTTTTTATTTTTTTATTTTTAAACAAAGGATATAGCCCACCTAAGGATCAGGCCAAATTTGGCCCTACATTAGCTTCTTTGGCTTGCTGATTGGATTTTGATCCAGTGACAATGCACATTTAGCCCATTTACTGAAGATGGCTTTTAGGTATGAAATGACTAAATTTGTGGGTTTAGCCCATTGCTGGAGATGACCATAGTGGGCTACTTTTTGTCAGTTTGGGCTCTACTTCTCTTCCAATCCAAGCAAAAATTATAGTGAAATATAGCTTCAAACAACTGCTAAGCCAAATTTTCACTCTTTAAAATACAATGTTAGGGGAGATTTTTTTGGCTAAAACCCAAATTGTGGATTTCAACAACCCTATCTTTTTCTTCCTAGTCAAAAGAGAATATGCAAAATCAAGTTCAATTTGCTTAAAAGACAAACAAAAATGCAGTCATTTGTAATTCAAACTTGAGACCGAAAATAAAAGTTCCTCAAATCTAAGAAAAGTCTATAACTGAAACTGTGGGTCCTTCTGTGAAGGGAGTAAAGTAGTTTGGCAACTTGAGAAATTGATGGGTTTTTTTTTCTCCTGCAACAGAGAAGTGCAATGTACCTTTCAGACATTGCAATCAGAACCGTCTATATGGTCATCAAGAACATCTCCAGCCAGCTAGAAGGAAAGTAAGTGTCCAATGCAGCTGATTCGTCTACCCCAAAGTCTTCAACAAGATTTCCATTTTCTGCATTTCTTGGTAGCACTGTTGACTTTCCCTCCACATTTTCAGTTACTTCATAATCAAAAACTGTAAGAGGTTCATTCATGATGTCACGGCTGCAACTCTCATTGGTCTCTGCCAGCATCGCCGCCAAAATCACCTCGGGAACCACACTATCGTAAGATTCTCCAACATAGCTAGGGCCTGGATCAAGGTTAGCCATCCCAGGAAGAAAAGTAGGGTCAATTGTTTGAGGATAATTAGGAACCTGCAGTGAGTCTTGAAGAAGGTAGGAGGAGCTAGAGCTTTCATTGTTGCATTGGCCATAGGCATCACTGCTATACTGATCTAGCTGATCAAACTCTTGGTTTTGTGGTGGTATGATGGGTGCAAACTGGTTCAATGGCTCCATGTGCTCAATTCCCCTGCCCAAATTGTAACCTGAATTATCATCACCAATTTTTGCCATTGTTGGATCCAAGGTTCCATAAATTTGAGACCCTCCAACATTGATTCCATTTCCCTCTGAATTCTCACCTCCACCAAAGGCACCAACCCAGTTGTTGAAACTAGGGTTTGTCTGAAAGTTTGCCTCTGAATTATCACCTCCACCAAAAGTACCAGCCCAATTATTGAAACTAGGGTTTGTTTGAAATTTAGGGTTTTGGTATCCAGGAAGAGGAACTTGAGAGCTAGGGTTAACGTTGGAGTACCGGAGGAATTGGTTATTTTGGATATCAGTATCTTGGAAAGCATAACGGAGGAACGGGTCTACATATTGAGTGGGGTTTGAATTATGGGGGGGGGTGGTAGGATTTGATGAGTTGTTGGTTCAAATGATGAACAAGATTGGGGAATTCTTGGGATTAGCTTAGAGATGCCTGAGCTATCACCAATATTTAGTTGTAACATGGGTTTCTTCTTCTTAGTGTTTCTCTCCTTTTTAAGGACATCATCAACTGAAGACCACCGTACCCTCTTTGAAGCACCCTTTCCGATTGGAAGCGTTTCGCACTCAAGAATGCCTTTGACATCATACTCACTTTGGTCAAAATTTGTAACCGATGTTATGCCTTTCATCCTTATTACAGCAACATCATAGGCTCTGGCTGCTTCCTCTTCAGTATCTAATTGTCATTAATTCAAAGTAAGACAATTAATTAAGTTCAAGTATAGTTGAAATGAACTGTTGATATGATTTTTTAATTTTAGCTCAATTCTAATATCTTTGGATGCGGTCTACTATTCTTGATCATCAAATCATTAGTCATTGGATAAAGGCATAAGGGGTCATAAGAGTTACCAAATGTGCCCAGATAAATGCCTTTGCACCCTCTTCCTTTCCCTACTTTAGCTTGCCATCTCTTGTTGTCCGAGTTCCTGTTTGAAGCATGTTAGAGAGAGAGAGAGAGAGAGAGAGAGAGAGAGAGAGAGAGGTAGATTTAGTAGTTATAATACCTTGAAACTCCACGATAACTAGATAAGCCCTTGGAAAAGCTAGCACTTGTTCTGTAATTTGACAAGTTTAAGATACAGCTAATTAATCGAGATGCAATGCGGAATAATTAACTAGGGTAACAAGCAAAAACTGAATTAATTAGGGCAATACCAAGTATTCTTCTTTTCTTTTTAATTAACACTATTACCTTCTAATGTGGTTAAAATAGTCTTCTTTGCTCATACGCTTCATCTTCTTCAAATCTTTCCTGTATTTCCTCAACTACAACAATATATATATGTAGGAGTCACAAGGGGAATATGATCCAAAATAAACAATAACCAAATCACAAATATATATTAATGCCAATGTAGTAATTAACATACAGGGAAATTTAATGTAGCAGACTTTCCCCATAACTTTAGAGCAGCTATATCATAAGCTATGGCAGCCTCCTCTTCTGTATCATATCCGCCTGCCAAATTAAGCAGAAACTCTAAAGAAAACTCAACTTCTGTTTTTTCCTTGCATTAAATTAACTTGCAAAGCTTCTAAGTTATGGTTTGTGGCTAATTAAAGACATGATTTTCAAGTTTAAATTTACAGAGTTATGCCAGAAGTTCACTCACCAATATAAACTGTATCGTGAATGGAGGGCACCAAGAAGAAACATTAAAACACAAATGTTAGCGGATAATTTTGGATGATGCATGATTTGTAAACAAAAGATGGGAGATAGATAAGTAATTTTGGTACCTGTCTTGCCTTTCTTTCCTGGTTTAGTGTTATCCCATAGAAATGCTTCAAAACGTCCCCCTACGTACCTAGTACATATAGCAAGTTAATGTGTCTAAACTGTAAGGGGAGGGGGGTTTCTCACACATACTACCAGGACGACATGGGAGTTCGAACTTGAGACTACTAGTGTGCAGTCAAGGGCTAAACCCCGTTAGCTAATGTGTATAGAGAGTCAATTATTCATGAAAGCGTAGTAGCAAAAGTGCCTTGACAAGCATGTGGAATTGTGTGTGCAATAGCTAATGATGATTTAAATTACCTTATGGAGATGTAATTGATTATAACAATGCAAAACAAACAAACATAAACATACTTTGTAACTCCACGAAAACTAGAGCTTCTCTGGCCAAATGTGTGCTTAGTGTTTTTACGGTGACGTTTACATTTCTTTTTTCCACCATTGTCTTCTTCATCGCTGCAACTGTCACTAATCATTGTGGAACAATACTTAAATTAATACTTTAACATAATTAATTAACATTTTGAAATATAGTATTGAAATTTATAAAAAAGAAAGCTTTGATTACCTTATAAGCGGCTCCCCATACATGTTGAAACAATTACAGTTTTGGTAGTTTCCACCAGTAAAACCATTATCATGCAGTGATGATGAAAATGGATGGTTGGAAATGGGAAAATTATTGTAGTAATTGGGTGCTTCTAACAAGGAACTTTCAAGCATGGATGGAGGACAAAATTTCATAGGGTGACTTTGCCTTACTTCTGAAGTATTGTTATGAAAATTATTAAAACCATCATTCAGCTCACTAGCATAAAAGTTTTTCCTTTGCATCGGAAGTGAAAGATCATGACTTTGGTTTGGATGAATGACAAAATCATTCAAGAACATTGGAGAGTAATTCCTAGACTCAGAGTTAATTGAATGAGTCGAAAAAGGAGAAGGAAAATAGCCGGTGTCACTCAAGTTCATGGTCGAAAGGGCTAAGAGTACTTCCTGCAGACGAAAAAGAAGAAGAAAAACTTAAGAATTAATTAGGGAATTAGCTTAGCATATCCAAACAATATTGAACAATAAACAATGCATTATGATAGTACATGAGTTCATATAGCATTACCATAATGCTAAAGTTATTTTATCTTCTCCAAACAAGTGAAGAGATTTCACTGCCACTAATTATAAATTATCTTTTAATGGCCTTTTCCTTGAATGAGGCCCATTAAAAAATAGTGGATTATGCATTTATATATATATATATATATATATATGTTCCATTGAGGGATTCCTCAAATAAGCTTATTTGAGGGACACCCCTTGTAGACCCCACTCTAGATTGTATTTCACTAATCCAAACCGTCTATTTTATAGATACTCATTTAAAGATCATCTCTACAAAAAATCACTTCAATCCGATATCATTTGACTACTCAATTAAGTTATTGAAATTTTAGTACTTTCTTGAAGCACCGTGTTCATTGATTTTGTAAAACACAATTGGATGTCGAAACGGTTTTCGATTTGTCTAATTTTTTGTAAGGATGATCTATGAATGAAGACCTAAAAAATAGATGGTTTGGATTATTGGGAAAAAAAATTGTAGGGTATCCTAATGGGCGTCCCTCAAATAAAATTATTTGAGAGATCCCTCAATAAAAAGGGACTATATATATATATATATATATATTCATCTTAGAATCCAAATTAACACATGAACATGAAAGTACAAATCCAAATTAATTACAATGGCTATTAACTTTAAGGACAATATGACAATAGAACGAACTAAAGGAAAGGCTACCTACAACACACCGTCAAAGGCGTCTCAATTTGCACCTCTTAGACCCAATGATCACAAGTTTTAGTTTTTCGAGTAATAAAAAATAATTTTATAACTTATTTTTCTATCCAAAAACAAATAGGCCACCACTTTTGAAAAAATGAAAAAGAGTTCCTGAAATAATGGGTCGGTCAACACAACGATCTCTATCTATTTCACTATTGTGTTATTCCATTATAATAACACCTAAATGTTACTACGATATTGCAAACTAATTAAGTAATACACCTCAATCTCATAATTTATGATATCTATCTATTTCTTAAACTCATAAATCCCCTAAAACATACTAAACCACACCTAATACACAAATAGATTTTATGAACCAAAAAAATTTCAAAAACTAAAAGAAAGAGCACACCAACAATTATCTCTGCACTGTAGTGATACACCCAAAATTTTACCACACTGCACTGGTAGTCGAATGGCACTAACGGCGGGCGGTCGAGGGCTGTGACACAAGCGAAATCTTCTCCCTTTTGTTTTCCTATGTATTTTCTACTACACCTCAACTTTGAGTGATATAATTGATAATATATATTTTTCACATTTCTATACCTCTAATGCCATGAAGCTTTAGTAATGGATAGTCATTAAGTGACATAATTAATCAACAAAACCAATTTAGCAAACAGTTGGTAGGAAATGAACAAGAATAGAAATATATCCAAAGGTATGCAACAAATTAGGGAAAACATTGAATTGAAAAGTATTACTATATAAAAATTACTATATAAAAATTTCTATATATGCATATATGTTTAAACATGTATATATATATGAGCAATGCTAGTCATACCATATATGCGTGCAACTTTGTGTACCACCTTTCTAATAGAGGTGGAACCCACCAATACAATAAGACCCACCTCTATTAGAGAGGTGGTACACAAAGTGATATATAAATGTGATATGACTATCATTTATTATAATAAAAAATAATACATACACCAATATAAGCAGCCTTTGAATGAAATTTTCATTCGAAATAAATAATATAAAAAAGTAATGCCTTATTTTTTAACAAATAGATTCAATCCCTGAGTGTTATAGTCATGAGGAATTCTTACATATGTCTAACACACAACGTTAGATTTTAATAAAATTCAAGTGGAGTTCTGGCCACTAAATAAGGGTTCATCACATTTATTTATTTATTTATTTGTTAAAGTTCGACGCAATGAGGCAAGGGTATTGAATATTTGGTGCCTAAACAGATGAAAATTATAACATATACATGTGGGATTAGGTTAATCACCATACCATTAACTTCAAAAAGTAAGATAACAATAAACTAAAATAGCCTTAAAAAAATAAAAAAATAAATAAAAATCTCATTTTACTCCACTTTAAGGTAACGATTATGAGTTTCTTTTCCACATTGTAGATATATAAAATAAACATATTGCGCGCCAAAATTCTATAATTTACCTATATAAGATGGATAAACAAATTTGAACTCGATTGGCGCGAAACATCTTAAAATTAAAAACAATATTTCACTTCTCATATTGTTTTTTCATATCTATTTGTTTTCAATTCCTAAATCCTTAACTCTTAACTGCGGACATCATTGTAAACAGAGAGGAAAGTGGGGATGGGTAGTAGAAATTACATGGGAAGTTCAAGATCTGGTTATAATTAAGGTGAAATGGGGCACCATGACCAAATCATGAAAACAGTACTCTATCACCTTGGTTCTTTGAAGAAATGGTTACTTTCAAGTCATATTGATTTGGAAATTCTTAGATCTATTAAACCATCTCAGTGCTGAACAAGTTTGTTTATCTGCTGAAGAGCCAAACTCATAAGCCTCTGCCTAATCGGTAGTGATTTACATTAAGAAGATGAATATATATATATATATATATAGGAAATTCATCATCAAAAGGAAAAAAATATAAATCTCATCATAATATTAGACTATTTGTATTTTGTATGTGACTTGATTCTTGATAGAGCATTACCTGCCTTTCTTCTTTTGTGGCTCTCTCTCCCTCTCTCTTCAAAGCAAACTAAACCTTCACAATCCTATAAAACTGAGAAATGAGAACACAAAACACAGTAGATAAATAAACAGACTGAAAATTGAGAAATTGGTCTAGAAATTTCGAATTGTGTTACATGGTAACGGTAGTGTGCTTGAACAAAGAAAAGGAAAAGGGAAGGCGAAACCAATAAAAGAAAGAGAAAAGAGGAAAGTAAAGCAAATTGAAGGCATTACCAGCCCAGTGTGTGCAAGGTGTAAGCCAAATTGTTGTGCATGCGCAACAGGTTTTATTCATTTGGTGGTCTGTAAATCCCTCCTCAGGTTTTATTCATTTGATGTCGTTTTGGCAATATTAACAGGTGGATAGCTTGATGCATTCAAGCATCTCAACCTTTTGCTATCTGAAACGTTTCTGGTCAAATGTCAACAAGATATATATGTACAAGCTCACCAATCCACTGCTTCCAATTTGAACTTTTGGTGCTGTTTTTCTTCCGGTTTTGGTTTGATAGCAAATTAATTAATTTGGTCTTGAGGTGATTTAGAAACTGCCCTCTTTTCATATCAACAAATGTATGATTCTTTTTGGTGCATGCTTAAATGTGTATGCAAATCATCACTGGTTTTAGAGTTACTGATGCCACTTGGTTTCGCTTCGAGGAGATTATATTGTCAGAATATGCATGTTGGATTGAAAAAGTTCGGAATTTACCCTCTAGGAGCATCCATAATGGGCTCCGTAACCCTAGAAGATTTGTATTATTCACTAATATTCAAGAAAATTATAATTCTTCCGGAGTGCTCTAGACATGAAAAAATGTAATGATAATGAGACATTTAAGAACCGATATTATATATTGCGTAAGCAGTTGTGGTAATAAATACAAAACTGCTTGCCATTTTTTGTTCTGCAGCTATTTTTCCACCCTGCATTTTAAAGCTTTTGTCCTCCTCCATTAAGAAAAAGAAGAGGAAAAACTAACTTGGTATCTTAGTGAAGTACGAAAATGTCCTTAATTTTGTTGCATCCTCATCATAATTATTTCAGTTTGAAAATCTCCAATGCTTCCAATTTGAAAATTTGGCTACTAGTCGTCTTAAACTAGTTGGGTTTTTAACAGGTTCATTGTTGAATCCGAAACTAAGGATTTCGTCTCTTGTGTATGTTCATGTAAGTTGTTTTATGCAGCGAAGTGGAGATTTGGGAGTTGGTGGCCCAATTCGAATCTCTATAATATCAAGTAGCTCGCCCAATTGCTAAATTCAGGCCAGGCCTATAACATGTACAGGCTAGGCAGAGTGCGCAGCTCCATTACAAGAATGCGCACATAGGAATCAAGAATTCTATAGTGAAGGCCTTATTTGAGGCTCTTAGATGAGACTCTATCTTTTAAACTTGGTTTTGCACCAGCGCACATAGTAATCAAGAATTCTATAGTGAAGGCCTTATTTGAGGCTCTTAGATGAGACCCCATCTCTTAAACTTGGTTTTGTACCAGCCACCATCATGCCCCTCCCCATCAACCAATCTGGATTCTGCATTATTAATAGGTTGATCAACTGATTGTGCTTCCACAATTCAAACCAAAGACGATTATTTTTATTAATTTTTTAATACAAACGATAGTCTAAAATATTTTAAATGGGCTGAATTTGGTTAGCATTTGCAGCAAAGCTCAGCCTCTCACGAGGACACAATTAATGGCATTCACATCATACCGTAAAACTCTCATTACTGTTAACCAAATCCCAAATCATTTTCTGTTGAACAACAGACCAAAAAAACCATGCCCAACCCTATCTGTTTTCCTCCATCAGAAGTAAATATGTAAAACCAAGTTTAATTTACATACAAGGAAACCAAAAATGCAGTCACTTGTAATTCAATGTTCAGACTGAAGCAGAATGTTCCTCAAAGGTAGAGAAGTCAATAACAGCACTGTCAGTCCTTGAGTCAAGGGACTGAAGTGATCTCACAACTTCAGACATGGGTGGTCTTTTCTCCGGCATCACAGAAGTGCCATGGAGAGCGATTTCTAGAGCTCCAAGTACCTCTTGCTGGGAAGAATTCGTGATCTTTGGATCGATAACTTGGACCGCGCCATTCGTAATGTTGACCTTTCGTCGCACCCACTACAATGTCGAGAGACTCAGATGGTTCAGCTTGCCTTCCTGTAACTAGCTCCATAATTTTTTTTTTTTTTTTTTTTTTTTTTTTTTTTTTTTTTTTTTTTTTTTTTTTTTTTTTTTTTTTTTTTTTTTTTTTTTTTTTTTTTTTTTTTTTTTTTTTTTTTTTTTTTTTTTTTTTTTTTTTTTTTTTTTTTTTTTTTTTTTTTTTTTTTTTTTTTTTTTTTTTTTTTTTTTTTTTTTTTTTTTTTTTTTTTTTTTTTTTTTTTTTTTTTTTTTTTTTTTTTTTTTTTTTTTTTTTTTTTTTTTTTTTTTTTTTTTTTTTTTTTTTTTTTTTTTTTTTTTTTTTTTTTTTTTTTTTTTTTTTTTTTTTTTTTTTTTTTTTTTTTTTTTTTTTTTTTTTTTTTTTTTTTTTTTTTTTTTTTTTTTTTTTTTTTTTTTTTTTTTTTTTAAAAAGTGTCAACAAGTTGCCTGAGAAAAATATGACCATATTCAGTCAAGAACGTGAGCTTAAGCATGACTACCGACACACTGAAGCGTAGTTACATGGGGAAAGATGAATAGGGCTCAGGGCTCCCAACGTGCCTTTACCTAGGAAATGAGCGTACCTAGCCAACACCAGCCAGTTGCCTTCAACACAGTGCCCCAATCTAGCCTAGCCCCAGCAAGGGTAAAAGGCCTCTCCTTCATCCGGAGACGACCAAGTCGCGGCTCCTTTCACATCTCCTGAGTCGAGAGACCGACCCCATGAACCGTGTGAAGGGCTACAGGGATGGCAAGGACATATCTTGGACCGTTAGCCAGACCCTATTCCTGTCCCCATTAATCTCCAAGACCCAAAGGTGAACACCTAGGCCCCCCACCAAAACCCACCAACTACCAGATGGAGGAGGGGTAGGTGACTGGGGGAGAATTGGGGGCAGAGTACTATTCAGAAGACTACGAGTCTTATTACACCGAGGTGTTAAGAGTGGAAACCTCCCCAACACCTGTCATCCACACCTCAGGCCTTTAGCACCTGAGCCCCTCCCTCATGCTGACCTGGCCATGAGGCTTCTCTTGGAGAAGGTTGGGTCTGGAGAGCGAACAACAACGCAACCCACTAACCTGGGGCAAAGCCACGGCCTGGGGCCTTTTAGAAAGCATCCTTAATTACCACAGGGGAAGGACATCCAACCACTCCGCATCCCTCTACATTAGCAGGAGGTTCCTCTCACTCACATACATTCTTTATAGTCTGCCCTAGGGTGAAGGGCCGCACAATGACGAAGGCATGTGCCTCTGTTCCCTGCACCCCTCAATGGCGTTGGCAGTGAATTGGTTCTATAGCGGAACCCATGCACCATCAACTCATTGAAAGTCTGAAGCAGGTCTCCTGGACTATTCATGATTCCAGACCGATCGCCTATACTCGCGGACGACCGTACATGTTTAGGCAGGGTTGAGTGACGAGCATTTTTTTTCTTTTTTTTTTTTTTTTTTTATTTTTTTTTTTTTTTTTTTTTGGGAGAATTGGCACCCGGGGTCAGACTGAATACTCCCGTGCTCAGGATGGCGACCGCGCTGCCTTCGGTGCCTTAAGAGTGGCCTCCGCGAGTCGAATTTCCAAAGACCTAGTCTACAGCAACCCTTGGAACACATATGTGAGTGGATGAAGCGGCAGCGTTCATGCCAAGGCTGAGTACTTCAATCCAAGCGTAGCCACAGCAACGCGCGCGTAATGATTTCGATGATCCTCCACCTACTAGTACCCATCCCAACCCCACCTCAAACATTCTGCCCCCAAACCAAACACTAGGGTGCGGCAGCACACTAAGAGGACGAGAGCTACCATCATACCTTCAGCAATAACAAGCGAGGCAGACATTGCAACCACCAACGTCCAGTGGAAAGAAACCGCCATAGGACAGATGACCGGGCCCCACTCCCCTTCACCCAAAACCAGGTTGGAAGTCGTCACCACCCTGGAAACTACCTATTAGAAGGTCCTGGTGCACCGAGGCACCTATCAACCCCACGCCTCCCCCTTCGGAAAACCAGGCAGAAAGCATATGCCTAAACAAGGTGGTCTTCTGTCGGTTATCAGTTTGGTGGCCCGCTCTGATTCTTGTGTTGCCTTGCACAACATAATTGAATGACTGATTCAGAAGGGAAGTTGGAATTATAAATAACGTGCAACAACCTCTCACCACACCTAACCCTCCCAATTGGAGATTAACATGATCTTAAACCATCAATGGTGGCCTACCATGGCTGGAACCTCCAACAACTCATCAAACATTATGTTCGCCCACCTACGAGCACCAGGTCTCCGCATGAGCAGGAACACCTGTCGAAGACACAAAAAATAGGCTGGGCCCCTAGTACCTTCTGCGAGGGAAGAGAGGAGGGGGGTAATCTCCCCCATGATTGACCCCAATCATTATGTCCGTGTAGACATTTCTAACTTTTGAGTTGGGCATATCGTGGTGGACATGGCAGCTCGCGTCATTGTAATGTTTGATGAAGCTTTCAAGAGATCAGGTCCCGTCTCATTTCTCGACGAAGGTCACAACAATAGTGAGCTTTTCGGGTGAGGTGGGCAACCAAATGGGGCCATTCATTCCCTATCTCATTATTGATGCTACAGCCTACAAAGTCAGACTTGGGCGGCCCTGCCAGGCCCAAATGAAGTTTTCATGTCCACCACATAGTACTGCTGCACATTCGCAGACCCAGGAACAGGGACGGTGCGCGACGACCAACTGGGCGCCGAAAAGCTATGCTTTCAGTATTGAAGTATATCAATCGCCACTAGGGGTGAGGCCCTAGCTGTAACCAGCTTCAGCCCCGACTCAAGCTGGCCCGAATGACCTCTGAAGACCCCGGGAGGACCTTACAACCCACAACAAGCGAAACCTGTGGAGCCCTTGAGCTGGTCATCTCATTCATGACTCCCAGATCGCAGGTTCGGATCGGACATCCTCCCACCAGAGCCTTTCTCTGGACCTCGTTGCCTTCCCGCCTCAACTTTGACGTCTGTGCTTGGCTACAATGAATTGCCGGCATATCACCTGACACATTCCCATAGGCTACATTAATCCTGTCGGTCCGACCCGTTTGGCAGAAGCGTCGTGCTTAGACTCTAGAGAGGTATGAGGCCATGAAGATGGAGGGGGATTACGCGTAGCACAATTGGATTCATCAAGGAGATGGATTATCCCACCGGCTAGCCAATATGGTAATGGTAAGTAAACCAAGGAAGGGCTGGCCGCATGTGTGTGGATAATCAATCTCAATCGGGCTTGCTCGAAGGATAGTTCCCCCATCCCGCCATTGACCAGTCGTTTACGACACAGTTGGCCACGCCTCCTCAAGCTTCGGATGCTTACGTCAGGGATAAGCAGATCTTCATGCAACCCTGAGGACCAAGCCCATCGTCCTCATCACTGACGTTGGCCCTTTATTGCTACACAGTTAGGCCCTTGGCGTTAAGAACTCATGGGTCCGTACAGCGTCTGGTGAACGCATCTTCGCTACACTACTGGCAAAACATGGAGGTTACTGTTGATGACATGCTGGTCAAGCGTCGCAACTAAAACTCCTGACAACACATCCGAACTCTTTGCCATGTTCCCCATTTGACGCAGTATAGGACTTGAGGCTTAACACCACCTAATTGTGCATTTGGGGTGGGCTTCCGGAAAATTCATTGCTTCATGTCAGCCAAAGAGGTATGAGGACAAACCGGAGAAGATCCGGCCATTTAGACATGGACAATACCCAAGACGTGTCAAGGGACATTAAGAGCCTTCCAGGGCGTGTGCAGCCTGACAGATTTTCTTTAAGCGAAATACTAATCGTTGCGCCCCATATTCAAGAGCACTTAAGGGTAGCAAACGCAGCATTACCATAGACGCGAATGTGACCAGCCCTTCGGCAGAGCTCCAGGTATCATGAGCCGAAGCCCCGTATTGGCCAACCCGGAGTCGTGGTACATCCCTCACGATCTACATCGTCTCGGCCACAACGTTCGCTCTGCTCGTCTCGACACACACAAGTGCTGACATCCGGTGACATATGTGAGTTGGGTGTCAAGATGTGGAGGGTCGGTAAACATGAGAAACCTTGCTTGCCCAACAGTATCGAGGCTTACCCCCTCGACCAGACTTCAAACCTCACACCATCCATGTCTTAACCAACACCCCCACTCTGCTCAGGCAAGTGTTGCAGAAGCCTAGCGATGTCGGCGGAGGTTGGTAATGGGCCATGCACTTGGTGCATTTGAGATCCACTAAAACCCCTGCCCACTACAAAGCCAGTGTGGCTGGATTTCATAGTAGAATTCACAGATCCCAGGTTCACTCTACCCAGTAATAACCGAACCCAAGTGTTCATTCGAGCCAGCCTCCACGTCGCCAACAATGGCCACCTCGACCTGACCAGCCCCTCTAACCTTAATGTGAGACTCATCCAATGCCCACTGATGTAAGGGCCGGCCCTCCGTGCTTATCTCAAACAGAGTTGCCTTGAGTATGCCCTCGCTTTAAATTTCCCCACGCCTCCCAACAATAAGCTGAATACAAGCACTTAGCTGGCCTTCGGCTAGCCAAGAAGATGGGCGCTAGCAATTCAATCTTTACGACTCACAACTCTCGTTTTCATCAAGTTACCCGGACTTCACGCCACTGACATCTCTATGACAGCCTATCTCTAGATACGCCCACGTTCTTTGGAACTTTGACGCTCATTCTATAATCCAGGTGCCACGCTCGGAGAGAACAGCCATTCTGAGCTCTGGCCAGGCTAGCCTCGGCCCTTGGAGTAGGGCATAGGTCTCAACATCCACATTGAGTCTGGATCAGCTTAGCACACAGGCACACTCTCTGTGTCATCGATTACAGCCTTACATGGTGTGGACACCATCATTCTGTTCTTGCAAAACCAAACATTACTTGCCAATCCTGCTGAAGCACGGTGTGTTCGCTATCCCTCCGCTCGATACCTAATCATAATGCGCCCTATACAAGCGTGGCTTCAGCCTTCCCTACCCTCGGTGCCTGACCCCAGAGGAAGGTACTTATGTCCTAAGGGAGATTTATGAGGGCATCTGCGACAACCACTTCAGTGCTCGCTCCCTAGCACCACAGGCCATTCAGCAGGATACTTTTGGCTGTCACTTCACACGAATGTGCATGCCTTCACCCAGAAGTGCGATAAGTGTCAGCGATTTGCCAACATCCCACAACTTCCAGCTGAACCATTGACAGCCATGGTCACCCTTGGCCATTTGCCCACTGAGGACTTGACCTCATTGGACCTATGCCTGAGGGAAAGGCCAGTCCAAGTATGTAGTTGTGACTGTAGACTACTTTACCAAGTGGGCTGAAGCTGAGGCTTAGTTACCATCACTGTAGCCTGCATCAAAACTTTTGTTTGGAAAACATCGTATATCGCTTCGACATCCCCCAACACCATCGTCACGGACAATGGTCGGCAATTTGTCAATGCCAAGTTCCAACAATTTTGTTCCAACCTCAAGATACGTCTTTGCTTTGCCTCCCCAGCCCATCCCTCAATCTAATGGCCAGGTAGAAGCCGTGAACAAGATCATAAAAAAAACTCTAAAAACCAAGCTGGACAAAGCTAAGGTTGCTTCTCATCAATCACATGATTATCATTTTGCTAGCACAATTGATATCAAATGACAACAAGTCTAATATCATAGCAAATCAAAATAACCTGCCCCAGGCAAGGCAAAATGTTCATACATAACGTAAATAAACATCAAGTGTTTTACATAAATAACTGCAGTGCATAAAGAAGGCAACACCTTCAAGACTCGGTGGAAGGGGCATTCGTGGTGGCTGGCTCTGGCTCTGGCTTGGAGTAGCATTAGTGCTAGGACTAGGTGAAGGAGGCTTGCCACTCGTATCAAAGTTAATCTCCACTAAAGGTTGAACTTCACCAACCTTGCTCCCAACGCAGCTGCATAGCCACCATCTGATCCATGATGTAGCTCCTCAGCTCCTCTGAACCCCGAAAAGACTCGATCACTTCAGCTCGGGCAGTAGCCACCTCCTCTGCCTCGACCGCTTCAGAGCCAGTGCCACCTTCTGCAACAGCAGGGCGTTCTTCTCTCAGATGGCTATCCTGCGCCTCAACTATCTTGTCCTTGGCCATCTCATTGCGCCTCTTCAACCTCTAGATCTCCTTATCTGCCTTGGCCATGTTCACATACATCTCACCATAGGTGTGCAACACAAAACACCATTAGGCACAGGCACCCTAGAATGATAAGACAAATTCATAAAGCAAGCCAACTTACATAGGCATGGGTAAGAAACGTCTTCTGAGCCTGATCTGCATAGGAAGTGGCCGGCGTCATCGCTAGAAACTCTAGGTCACACTTCACGCCTTGCAGGAAGACGTTCACCAGGGGAACCTCCTGCTGATGCATGGCCAGGTTCATCTCCTTTTTCTGCCAACGCAGCCTGGAGAAGTCCATCTTCTCCACCCTTTCGGCATAAATGTCCTCCATACCAAAGGGAAGCTTCGGCGGCGCCTACGGGTCAAAGGGATGAAGTCTCGGCCCTGTTCTCATTACACTCCAGTGAGCTTCCTCCAGCGCCCTCTTCTTTCCCAGCACCTCGGCAACCCAGCCTTCGTCATCATCTCTAGGACGCTTCCCAGTCACTTGCCTGGCTACCCCCTTCCCAGCTATCTGCGGCCGAGACTCCCTAAGCCATTTCTGCATCTCGACATCATCCAGATCTACGACCACCTTTGTGCTTCCCTTTATGATACTTGCCACTACACATCAAAAGGCTAAGTTAGTCACAACTACCACAAGGGAATCAGAGGACAAACAACAAGAGGATCTAAGTACTTACTCCCTTGCAAAATGCGGACTCAAGCAAATTCTTCTGGGTGACTAGGTTTTTGCACTCACGCTTGGCCTCTGACAATAGTGATCTCACCTTCTCAACTTCCTCTTCTTGGTCCTTGGAGATCGGGCCCCACTTCACTGAACCTGCACCAAAGGTTAGATACAACTTAGTCATTTACACTTACACAAGCAAAATAGAGACCCAAGAGTCCAAACCAGTACAAACACTACAAAACAATAATCAGTCTTAAAAGATGGGGCTAAGGACCTATAGACTGGAAGTGGGTTGGAACGTGTCTGGAGACGACCTTCCCTGGCGGACACTCCCAATTACCATAGGCCAGGCACCACCTGTTTCTCCAAGACTTCTGAGTAGAAGGCTTGTGGCGAATAAGATAACCTCTTTCTTTTGCCTTTTGGCAATTGGCTTGTACCCAGCCAAAGGTTCCCTGTTGCTTGGAGATCGAGTAGAGATACATAAATTGTTCAAATGTCGGCTCCCACAACCCAACTAACCACCAAGCTATATACACCCCATGAAGAAGAAGCCAAAAGTTGGGATTATATTGCCCCGGCGCATACCCCAGCTTGGCCAACATCATCTGCACCCAAGGATGCAACGGTAGTCGGAAGCCATGCTGATACATATCCGTAAAAATCATCACTGAACCCTCCGGAGGGTATCTGACCACATCAGCTGCAATGGGTAACCTCAAACCCACATAGGGTGGAACACTATAGTTTGTCCGCAGCTCAGCCAACTTTACTTCTGTAAGAATATTCCGCCTAGCCAAAGGGACACCAACCTAGATGTCCACCCCTTCTGAAGTTGAAGCCACGACTATACCCACAGACCCTGATGGTGATGCCTAGTTGCTCGAGCCCACATCTAGTGAACGAGGCATAGCTAGAACCCGATCTACTACGGCCTCTAACACTTTATAATTCCTTTGCATCTCATTATATGACTATGACCCAAAGTTTACTGGGTGGCTCACTCCTCTCACTCTCATGAACTACCATCCTAGCTTCTACAAGCCCTTCTACCAAACCCTCTGTCTGGGAACTCTCATCTTCAGAACAAACATATTCACTGGCCTCTTCACTCTCATTATCATCCCCACCAAAGGTAGGGGGCCATGACTTTCTTTATCAGAACTTTCAGACATCTACAACATGCAGAAACAAGAAAATGAATTAATGCACATGCAAGGAGGATCCAAACACGAGAACACAAATTGGATGGCATCTACATGCTTTTTGACCTATAAGCATACATTCAACAAGTTTATCAAAGGTTCAGGATGTTCAACAATTTCATACTCATGCTCAAGGCATTCATCCTAATCTTCAGCATGTTCATACCCAAAGTAGAATTTCAATTCAAAAGTTCAAGGGAAATGAGGTCTAACCTTGTTTGCACCACCACGAATGAGTCGCCGGAAATCACCTTGGCCACAACACCACCACAAGGTATTCGCCGGAAATATCTTTTTCACCTTCTCACTTTCTGGAAATCTTTCTAAAAAAATCTCCAAGTGTGATGCCTACGTCACTCCAAGTTCCTATTTATAAAGTCCCAAGGGTACACAAGAAACCCTAGCACCCTTTCATTTTCCCTCTTTACACCTTTGTACCTACACACAATTTGAATTTCAAATGTCAAATTCCAAAAAAAAAACGGATTAGGCAAATTGGAAGAACCTTGCCGAACGGCAAGGCCTGTGCGTGAAGAAATGGGCGCCCACAAGATTACTTACTTCAGCCCGGCTACAAGGCAAGAACCAGCTCAAGGCCCGGTTCTAACATCAAATCAAAGTTTCAAGCTGGCCTTGCCGAATGGCAAGGCCCATGAAATTCAAAAGGGGGACTCACAGAAACCTTACCTTGGCCAAAAGGAGGACCCAACTACCAAATGGCGAGGCCCAACTCCAAGCCCGAGTCAACTAACAACGATTCTCACCAACAACTCCTTGACTTCGCCAGGCTTGACCCAAAGATAAAAACCGTTGGGCCCAAAACGACACGGAGCCCAGCCTCCTTGAAAAATAGCCCTGCCGAAGCTATACCTACTGCCGATAAATGGACCTAGCCTTGGGGACTCGTGCCTCAGCTCCAAACTAGTCTAACACCGTGACCACTTGGATTTTTTTACCATACGAAACGACAAGCCCAACACTTTTCAAATCTTGCCGAACCCACAAAGAGTATTCTTCAACCTTTTCCAAACCTGCTAAAGGTTCAAAACGAAGTAAACATCAAATAGTCAACCCATATAAAAGGAAAAATGGAGGCTCACAAAAATATTTTCCCACCTTTACAAAGACCAGCTCCAGGATTTCTCTATCCTTGCCGGATCAACCCTCACGGTCACGGCTCCAAGTCACAGTACAAAAAAAATCAAAATTGCCAAAGAGTTACGGTCCAAATAAAAAATAAAAAATCAAAGTCGGTTTAGATTCCTACTCCTTTTGTGGTATCAGAGCCATAAGAGTTACAGTCTTTGTCTAAGTCTGCTACTCATCCCCGCCCAAGTGGCTGGTTTAAGCTTCTGAGTAGAAGTTTTCAGTTCCTTCTTTTCCTTTTTTTTTATTCTCTAAGTTGCCTGTTGGTTTTCTCTCTTGGTGTCCAAATAGTGAGTCCTTTTTCCAAACAGTAAGTCCTGAGTGAATGGGCCTAAGTGGTGGGCATGAGCAGAGGGAGAGAGAGTCAATCAGTTTTTTGTAAAGTAAAGGGTCAGCCTTAGGAGTCCTTGTTTATCTTTTATTTCAATAGCTAAGATAAAAAACTGGAGTTATAATGAGTTGTTTATTTAGAACAAATTCTTGTAATTCGAGTAGCTCTAAAACCAGTATAAGCCGTCTCCCAGAGATAGTAAATGAATAACAAATAGAATATGAGTCAAATAATAGTGAATTAGATTATAAGGATTGGAATATACCCAGAGTCCCCAGTCAAGATATTTATAAGAAAAAATGAAGTCTTAAAAGTTTCCAGTGAACCGCACATGTCAAAACAGTTGAACAAGTTTATGCCTTAAGTAAAGAACATGAAACATGTCAGTTGCTTAATCTTAAGTCTATAAGAAAGCATAAGTCTAATGGAAACAACTTCCTTCATATTGGCCTAGTACAAGTTGCAGTTAAGCCACTCACTGGATTAGGTTTAAAAACCTCTGTCTGTTTGTGTTTACGAGATGCTAGATTCACTGATTTTAGTGACAGTACGCTAGGATTAATTGAGTCCAGTCTTTGTAATGGTCCTGTCCATTTTGATTGCTACCCGTCCTTGTTCAACATACTTTAAACAATTTAGACTACGTTCAACAGTACCTTGATGGATCTGTAAAAATAAGCTTTGGAAATCAGCCCCCACAAAAGTCAACAGTCCAATTACAACAATTGCCAACTCCTAGTCAATCTGAGAGACATATCCCTGCAAGGCATTCTTTTGCAGCCTCATCTTCTACTCTAGAACGAGACCTAGAGCTAGAAAAAGCCATGATAGACTTTAAGTTAGAATCCTCGAGAAAAACTTCCCAAGTTAATCAGCCCTGTTATGGTAAACAATCAGTTGAAAAAGAAAAATCAGAGTCGCCCGAGTCACCAACTCAAACTGACTTTGAAGCCGACTACGTCATAAACAACCAGTTGAGAACGCTCAATAAAAAATTTAAATTAATTGGAAAGCTTTAGATTGTCATCTTAGAGCCCCAGAAAACCAAAGTAGAAAATATAGTTACCATCAAGCCTATCCTGATAAAGACTAGCGTCAGCAAATCTTTAATGAATGGAAAGATTACATGCGGACAGCCAAAGTTGAAATTTTTTACCTTGATTTTAAGAAAGCCATTACATGTCTAGCAATTTGAAAACCTTAACTAAAGAAAAATGAATATTAGCAGATAATACAGAAATTATTGATAGTCATCCTTCAGTAGAGTCAATCATAGTTGATTTTAAGAAAATTCAGATACCTGCAAGCCCTTTTAAACTTCCTGAGAAAATGATCCAGATAAAAGATTAATGGAACAAAGTAATTGTACAAATCAGAGTCTAATTGTCATAGGAAAACAGCTAGATAAGATTGAAACCAAAGTTGACAAATTAGTCCCCCAGGATAGTAAGAGCAAAACGAAAGTTGAAAAACCATTGGTTCAATTCCAAGATCTTAAGTCTAGTCCTACCCTTAGGATCAAACCAACAATGGAAGAAATAGAAGAAATGCTAGAACAGTTGACGCCCATTAAACCAGAGAAATCTGGCCTTAAAACCCTAGATTCCTTTGCAAGTCACTCGGAGTCCGAATCTGAATCCTTAGCCAGTATAGAATCAGAAACTAGTAATGTTTCAAAAATCAAAAAAACTTTTAAAAATTTAGAATTAGAAACTAAGCCAATCGTCAAACGATTAGTCAACAGAGTCACCCCTACAAGTCTTACTAAGAATTGGTACCCTAGACCAACACCCCCAGACATCCAATTTGAGGAACGAAACTTCCAGAGCCAATTTTCAGTTTCTTTTGACAAATTGTATGGATGGAATATTGACGATCTATCTGAGCAAAAAATCTTTAATAAGCTCCAACATATGTCTATGGTTGCTAATAGTTATGTCACCAACCATAGTTTTAGGCAGTCTGAAATTGTGCCTTTACTTGTCATTGGTTTTACTAGAACACTTCAGTATTGGTCGGATAAACACTTAACCCTTGAGTCCAAAAATTTAATAATTCATGCAGTTAAACTTGATGAAGAAGGTCTTCCCATATTTGACGAACAAATAGGTCAAGGTATAGAAGATGGAGTCAACACTTTGTTTTATACGATAATTGAACATTTTGTTGGAACCCCTAGTAATACCACTGCTAGAATCCATGATCAGCTTAGTAATCTCAGATGCCCTAAGTTGTCAGATTTTAGATGGTGAGTCATGCTTAGAGATGATAGTAATCAACCATTCTGGAAAGAAAAATTTGTTAATGGTCTTCCAAACTTATTTGCCCATAAGATTCGCACTGTCCTTAGTAATGAACAAGGTCAAATTGATTGGAATAGTTTAACATACGGAAATATCATTAGCACAATTAACCAAGTTGGTATGAAAATTTGTATTGATTTTAAAATTGGAAAACAAATACAGTCCAATAGAAAGTCAGCTAAGTATGAGCTAGGAACTTTCTGCGAACAATATGGTCTCACTAGTTACCCCTCTTCCAGGAAAGAAAAGTCTAGTTACCCTAGTCATATAAGGAAAAAGTGTCATTATTCACGTAGAAAACAATCATCCCAAAATGACAATAAGAATGAGTTTTACAGAAAAAAGAAATTTTACCCTAAGAAAAATTGGTCTAAAAAACAGAAAGAAGAAAAAATAGTCGTTTTAAAAAATCTAATCCAAGAAAAGTTAAATGTTTTTAAGTGTCAGAAATTTGGTCATTATGTTAGTGAATGCAAGGTGAAAGATACTATTAAATAGTTAAAAATCACAGAAGAAGAAAAAGAGAAGTTGATCAAAGTCTTAGAATTGCGAAACTCTGAATCTAGTGAAATTGAATCCATAGTTGCCAGTTCTAAGTCTGATAGTCATCAGTCCTCAGATTCCCAGTCTAGTTCACCCCAGGTCCAATTTGGTTGTAACGATAAATGCTGCAATATATTAAAATCAATTTATGTCCTTACTAAACAAGATGAACAAGAAGAGTTGCTAATCGAACTAATTAGTAAAGTAGAAAACCCAGAATTGAAGTCTGAGTATTTGAAAAAACTAAGAAAAGTCATTAGCTAGGAAAGCCCAAGTCAGTTTGTTCCTCAACCGATTAGTCTTATACTACTTTAGAAAAATTTAATTGAAAAAAGGATGTCACCTTACAAGATTTATAGTTAGAAATCAAAACAATCAAAAAGGAAATAGTTGGGTTGAAACAATTGAGTCATAAATTGCAAGCTAAAAATTATGCCATCAAACAAGATCTAGTCAACTTAATAGAGAAAGAAAGTTCTGAGTCTAGAAGTTAAGCAGAAAGCCCAAACAACTCTGATGAAGAGTCTTCAACCCATAAGTAGGCCATTAATCTACTACAACAAGTCAAATTCAGAAAATGGTATTCTAAAGTTACAATATTTGTTAAAAATTTTGAGCTTACTACAGTTGCTTTATTTGATTTAGGAGCCAACCTTAATTGCTTCAGGTAAATCGCTCCAGTTGAACTATGAGATCCCCAAAGCCCATGTTTGTCAAAATAAGATTTGTTTCAAAACCTCATTTGTCTTAGTCAGAAATATCACTGACGAAGTCATCTTAGGTTTACCGTTCATTGCCTTGTGGTATCCCTTCCAGGCAGAATATGACGGTGTCATCTCTACCCATTTAGGAAAAAAGGTTAAGTTTGAGTTTCTGTCAAAACCTGAGTTGCATAACCTAAAAGCCCTCCAAAAGAGTTCAGTGTCCAAATCAGTTCACATAATTAATAGAAAAGTCAGTCCGTTGAATTTCCTTTAAGAAGAAGTCAAATTCAAAAGAATCGAACAACAACTTAGTTGTAAGTCTTTACAGTCGCAAATTCAACAATTTGAAAATAAGTTGAAAAATGAAATATGTTTTGATTTGCCTAATGCTTTTGGTATAGGAAACAACATGTTGTCAGCCTTCCTTATATCAAAACCTTTAATGAGAAAAATATCCCCACCAAAGCTAGGCCAATCCAAATGAGTCAAGAAATAATGGAATTTTGTAAAAATGAAATAACTGAGTTGCTTCAAAAGAGAATAATTCGAAAGAGTAAGTCCTCTTGGTCTTGTCCCGCTTTTTATGTTCAGAAAAATGCTGAATTAGAAAGAGGAGTCCCAAGACTAGTTATCAATTATAAGCCATGCAATTCGGTCTTAGAATGGATTAGGTATCCCATACCTAATAAACGAGGCTTAATTAATCGATTAGAAAAAGTAGTTGTCTTTTCTAAGTTTGATATGAAAAGTGGTTTCAGGCAATCCAAATAGATGAGTCAGATAGGTATAAGACTGCATTTGTCACTCCTTTTGGACACTATGAATGGAATGTAATGCCTTTTGGTTTGAAAAATGCACCTAGTGAGTTCCAGAACATTATGAATGAGATTTTAATCCTTACAGTCATTTTTCAATTGTTTATATTGATGATGTTCTCATCTTTTCTGAGTCAATAGAACAGCATTGGAAACATTTGCATAAGTTCCTCCAAATTGTCAAAAACAATGGTCTAGTTGTTTCTGCTAAGAAAATCAAGTTGTTTCAAACCAGTATTCATTTCCTTGGTTTTAATATCTGTCAATCACAGATTAGTCCAATTGATCGAGTCATTCAGTTTGCAGATAAATTTCCTGATCAAATCCTTGATAAAAGTCAGCTTCAGAGGTTTTTAGGATCTCTTAATTATGTATCTGATTTCTATCAAAATTTGAGAAAACAGTGTAAGCCTTTATTTGATAGGTTGTAGAGTAATCCTCCTCCTTGGTCGTCTACTCATACTGAAATTATCAAACAAATCAAAGTCCATGTCAAAACACTTCCCTGTCTTGGTATCCCCTCAGTTGATTCCTTCAAAATATTTGAGAGGTAGTGAGAATTCAATCCTTGATTTTCTTACTCGAGAATTCCTGCAGGACACCTAATGGCCCTGAAAAAAGATAAGCAAAAAGAACATGCTACCAGTCGACCTAAAGCATCCTAGTCGCTCAGAATCCTCCCCTCTTCCATGAGTCAACCCTAAGCAGAATCGCCCCAACAATTAGTTCCTTACCCAGGAGCTTCCCCTATCTCAGTTGCCACCCCATTATTAGTTGCTAATAGGTTTTCGAACCTCGGTTCCACAGTTGGTCAAATAAGCCCGAGTTACCAGTCATCTTTAGTATCCAGCTATGATCCTTTCTCAGTTGGTCCTTCAGTTGCCCCCAGTTCCTTCAAAAGACATGTCCTTATTTGCCTAAAAGCAATTCCCATTTATTTATCCTTGAGCCTAGTTATGATTGCCATTCTGATTCAGTTGCCATACCCCCAAGATTCCATTACATGCCACCAAGCCCTTATAAGTCTCTCAAGTATTATAGAGATATTTTACTTGAAACCCAATCAGTTGAAATCAGACCGATAAGGGATCGAGATCACCCTGAAATCATCCTTTACCACTCAATGTATGTCCACAAAATTATAAGCCAAGAGTCTTTTATTAGCCACCCTTATGAGCTAAAAACACTCTAGTAGAAATTACAGTATAATTATTCTGATTATATTAAGGCCTGGTATTCTATCTTCCTCCATCAATCTGAGGATTTTAGTCATTCCTAGTTTATCAATTTTGACAATAAGTTTAAAAGTCCCATTCCCTACTGGTTCCTCCATTGGTGGGAAAAACATGGTCTAGTTGATGAAATCCTTTTCGTCCAAGTCCATGAGTTGATAAGATATTTTGTTCAAAAATATAAGTTCTCCAAACAAGAATTATTCTTCCCTGAACAGTTGCTTTTTATTTGCAAGTATAAGATTCCTTGGATCTTGAAATGGTCCTACAAAGTTACCAAAGATACAAGAGTTCTTGCCCGACAATTCTCTGTTAAGTGGTGGGATAGGTTTGAAGTTGATCGTATTGTCAAATACGTTTACAATGATTTTCCTCAAGTTGCTATTCCCCCCAAGCCTCAGCCTACATCTCCTACTGGCTCTGTTCAATCTTCTCTCTCAATCGAGGGAAAATCTAAATCTGAGTTGTAGGAAATCGCATGCCAGTTGATTTTATAAGCTTCACAAATGAATGATGATGAGGACAATGACAATGACTCCCAGTAATCATCCAGTTGCCGTCCCAACCTGCCAAGTCCTGCCAAGCCAATGCGTTGGGTAGATTATGATGATTCCCAAGACCCTTATGCTGCATACAACTTGAATTCAGATTAAAAGTCTAAAGTTGCCAACAAAGCCATCATGTTGTCCCCAAGAAAAGCCACCGTCCAAGTAGAAACACTATCGGCGGACCCGTTAGAATAATTTGGAATCTCTTCCAATTCTTCACCACCTCCCAACATAGTGTATGGTTGAAACTTTTTTTCCCTTGCCCAGTAGCACCAAAAAACATTTGTGCTTGCATAATCTATACAAAATAAGGCAAGAAAAAAAAATATTGGAAACAACAAGTATAAAAAAAAATAATGGCAAACACAAGAAACTTTAAAAAATAAAAAAAAAAAGGAAATACAAGAAACTAACAAAAATATTGGCAATGCAACAAGTATTAAAAAAATTAATGGAAACACAAGAAACTTTAACCATTTATTAGAAATGCAAAACAAAATATAAATATTGCAAGAAACATTCATATTAACATTGGAAATACAAGAAATATTAACATAATATATAAATTGCAAGAAACATTTAAATAAAATTTAATATGACATAGAAATTAATAAATAAAAATATTACAAATAATTTACCTCACTGCTAAAGTTTTCCCCGCTTCTATGGTTGTTCATCGCTTTTGTCAAGGCATCTCTCCATTTTCCCAACTCTTTATTAAGAATTTTCCACCTACTAGATAATGCTTGATCCGTACGGGTCGAACCAATTACCCTTTCACAAAATTCCTGATGAATTTTTTTCCACATATGACAGAATTTGATCTCATTGCCCGTTACGGGACAATGACTAACTTGGAGCCAAGCCTCACACAAGCTAATATCTTCCGTCATGCTCCATGCCCCTCCTCCGGTTTCACTAGAAGAACCCATAATATGATAGAGAAAAAACAACTTGAAAGAGAGAAAAAAACAACTTGAAAGTGAAAAAAATTTGACTAGAAAGTGAAAAAGAGTAGAATGAGAAGAAAATGTATGAAGAGTTGGTGTTAAAAGTGAAGAGTATTGGTTGGTATTTATAGAAAAAAAAAATTCAGTATTTTTTTTGTATTTTTTTAAATTTTTTCTGATTTTTTTTCATTTTTTTATTGGGCAAAAAATTGCCTGCCGTTGGATTGCTGGAAAAAACTAATCGGAGAGCCCAGGAGCTTCCACATGGCATAGAGCCGTTGGGGGTTGCTTTTGGATTTTTTATTCGCGAAAAAATGGTTGCCGTTGGATAAGTTTAAAAAGCAGATCGGATGGCCCAGCATGCGACACGTGGAATCATGCCGTTGGGCGGCTACTGTAGCGCGCGTCAAATTTTTTTTAAACCACACGAGCCAGCTTTAAAAAAATTTAAACAGCGCGCTGACGTCATCCCAGCCCGCGGGCTGGAGCTCGGGCCAGCCTCCCCCTCGGGCTTGCCTAGGTTTGTGGGCGCCACTGCTTGCCCTGGCAGCTTATTGTTGCTGGAAACCACATTTTGGGTTTGCCCCCCCCCCCCCCCCCTTGGGCCCCTTGGTGGAAGTGCTCTAACGCTAGAGAGTCGGAGCTTGTTTGAATATGAAGAGCCACCTGGCAGCTGTGGAGCTCTTTTACAATTTTCGTCTTATCTCCCTTCTAATTAAACATTAAATTACTTGATGCTTTCGACCGAAAAAGGGAAAAAGAAATTACTTTATGCAATTTTCCTTGTCTTTTTCCTTTGTCAATAATTTACGGGCATGAACTAATATAACATTAGGACTTTATATTTTGTTAACTTTCAAATTTTGTTTTTTAATCTTTTCCAAATTTTTTTAAATTTTTTTATAGACATATAACATAAACATACATTAAAACTAGTAACATAACATAAACATACATTAAAACAAAAATAAGTTCAACAACAACAAAAAAAAAAACAAAATAAAAAATACACTCATATAAAAAAAAAAAAAAAAAAAAAAAAATATCTTTTATATCCCTTGTTGTGAAAGATACCTTTAGAGCTAGTAATATCTCATCGAAGCTCTAAATGGGGCTCTATCCACCATATTTAGTGCCTCAACCATTGAAGATACCCTTATAGAGCCCCCTATTATGAGAAAGATACCTTTAGAAACCCATACTATTTCTTCGGAGCTTTAAATGGGGCTCTATCCGTCATATTTAGAGTCTCAACTAGGATGGCCTTAGATAACCTGATAAGATAAACAACACCATCCACCTTACGAAGTGTTGGCCTTAGATGAGGTTTGTAAATTAAATCATCATCTTTTTCAATCCACAACGAGAAGAAAGAGTTGAAGGCATAGAAACTATTGAACGGGAAATTTTCACAAAAGCAATCAACCAAGAATTTGACTTGGGATAAGAGGCATGACGCCTAGAAAAGAAGAAAAAAAGAAGGCAGAGAGGAGAACAGTCGCAGGAAAGAAAAATTAGCAAGCACACTTCATAAAGGGAAGAGCCATTTTAAGGTAAAAGAAATTAGTTTCATGACACAATTTTCTGGTTTTTGCTCAAGACTATAGGTTTCATTCAACGCAAGGGTTCCTAGCTGTTTATACCCAAATGAACAGCCAATGAATACCGGACACGTGGACTAAACCAGGGCCATGGGTGCCTTCGGCACCCACCTTTGGTACCAAACCCACCGATCGCAACATTAGGGCAACCTCGCCCCCTTTCACACGTGGCAGTCCAACAACTGATGTCCAAAGTCCCACATCGAAACTCTAAACAAATTGCACACCTCCCAAGGCCTATAAAAGAGGACCACCATCCCAGCTTGAAGGTAATCAATCAGAACTCACGGCATACTGCCTATTGATCTGTAGTTCAAACTTTACTAAATCCGTACTTACTTAAGCATCGGAGAGCCTTTGGCCGGTACCACACCGGTGCCCTAGGACTTACCGTGTGTTTGCTATCTTACAGATTGGACACACTACCGAGGACATCAGATACCGAAGGAGATATAATCACTAAGTTGCGTGAGAAAGTGCCGAACCATTTTTCTGCGTCAACAGTTTGGCGCCGTCTGTGGGAAACGATAAAATCAACCTACAATTCCTAAACAAAACAAATGGGAACCACTTCAGGACCACAGTTCCTATCAGAGGATGGGTTACCGTACGGTATGCCAAGTGGAGCAAGCCCCGCGCTGCACCCTAGCACTCCCTTCGGTAATCCCCCTGTGCTTCAGACCACGGTCGAAACGGAGCTTCTAGCTCAGATGACCTCCCTTCGGAGGAAGATGGCTAAACTCCAAGAACGTAATAATCTCCTTTCGTCCAAAGTAGACGAAACCCAACGGTTGCTTAACCAGCAGGAAACACAAAACATTTAGACCACCGAATCTTCCCAGAGTCAGCAGACACGTACCGAAGAAGGTGTACACCGATTGTCGTCATCGGATCAACGACAAGAAGGATGCCGAACGGCATAGGTCCCCAATCGGAGTAAACGCCCGCCTGAGGGACTCCCGGATGAGGGTCTTAGGAGATAAATCGCCCATTCGGAGGGTTCAGGGTTTGGATTCGGCGCTGGAATCTGATGATGAGTACATCCCCACCGGGGGCACCGAATCAAGCTACCGTTCGGAAGCTCCCCCGGAGTACTCAAAGGCGAGACCACCAAGTCCGAGGAGAACTAACGAAGACTTTAGTGCCGAGGACGTCCCAAGCCCAGACCCCGCTATCCGCCTACTTTTCCAGAGAATCCAGAAGATGGAGGATGACCGAACCCGGTCCCAGGTCCCTGATTGGGGGAAAACTTCGGCCAGGACCATTTACCGAGCGCATCAAGAAGTCCAGACCGGACAGGGAGGTGCAGCCGTTGCGCATACCCTTTTATACCGGTGTGGAGGACCCTTCGACGCACCTTCACTCCTTCCAATCGGCAGTCGGGTGCAAGGGCCTCAGCGACGAGGGGCAATGTCTGCTGTTTCCATCGTCCCTTACAGAAGCTGCTCTGAACTGGTTCTACCGTCTCAAGCCGGGAACGGTAGACTCCTTTGACGAGCTGAAGCAGATTTTCCTAAACCACTTCATGATCCAGACAGACCGCTTGTACTCTGTCGATGATCTGTACACGATTCGGCAGAGAGAGGATGAACCCCTACGGGAATACGCAGCGCGCTTCAGTCACGAGTACCTAGTGCACAGTAGTAACTGGCGCACGTACGACGAGTTGATGAAGCAGGTGGCAGTCCATGCAAAGGCCGAATACTTCAACTCCAAACCCGGGCCTTCGGCTCGGAAGGAGGAGTCAGCCACCAAAAGTTATCCGGGGCGAGCTGACGATTCTTTGGCGGGATTCAAACGGAAGGACGACGTGATAGTCGTCAGGGAAACTCGAAGAAGGGGCGCGGGAAATACGGTCGTAACGACCACCGAGCGCCGCTACCGAATCACGATCGTGCCCAGGAAGTCTTCACCCTGCTGAACACAACGTACGAAACCGTTCTAATGAACGAACATGACCAGATCCCGAAGCCAACCAACCGAAAGCCCAATCGGCAGGATAATCGGGACACTGGCAAATTTTGCCGATACCAATAATAGAACAGCCACAATACCAAAGACTGCATCAGTCTGAGGAAAATTGTCAAGCGTCTGATTCGGGAGGGAAAGTTGGATCAATACCTCGCCAGGCCACCACAAGCCCCACACCCAACGCGAATCGGCAGATCAACATGATCAGCACGATCAGCGGTGGCCCCACTCTGGCGGGACCCTCTAACCGTTCGATGAAGCAGTATGTGCGTGCCGCCCACTGCCCTCAGGTCTTCGGCATAGAAGACGATCGGTGCCGAAAGTTGCCGAAGGTGGGATGGGAGCTCATCACATTTTGTGAAGAAGAGGAGGGGATCATCTACCCCCACGATGACCCAATGATTATTCGGGCCGAGATCGCCGATTACGATGTGGGTCGGGTGCTGATTGACACCGGAAGCTCGGTGAACGTAATTTTTGCCAATGCGTTCAAGGGACTGGAGATTGCCGACAGCATGGTCAATCGGCAAATCACGCCTCTCCTCAGTTTTTCTGGAGATCTGGTCCAACCAGTCGGTAGCATCAGTCTGCCCATCGCCCCTAGGAAAACAATGACCTACGACCAATTCCTCATTGTCGATTGCCCAACGGCATACAACGTCATCATAGGGCGAACGACACTCACCAGGGTCAAAGCCCACCTATCTCCCCACATGTTGCTGATGAAATTCCAACACGCAACGGTACCGGCGTCATCCGGGGTGATCAGCTCGGCGCACGGACGTGCTATGCCACGGCCCTTAAGTCGATAGCTAGCAAACCGCCAATGGAAGCCATGACCGTGCAGGGACTACCGAACGGTAGCGAACCTATTGACAACCCCAGGGAAGAAAACCCAACGCCGATGGCGCAGCCCGCCGAGGAGCTCGAGACCGTAATCCTGAACGAGGAGTTCCCCGATCGGTGGGTGAAGATCGGCACCAATCTAGATCCCGACCCTCTGAAGACAGTTCATCGACTTCTTACGGCAGCAGGCAGAAGTCTTCGCCTGGTCTTATGATGATATGCCCAGCATATCACCTGATGTCATCAGCCACAAGCTCAGCATCTCCACCGCCCACAAACCGGTCAGACAAAAGCGTCGATCGTACGATGCCAAAACGGTACGAGGCAATGCGTGCCGAGGTTGACAAGCTCAAAGCCATCGGCTTTATCAGGGAAGCTACGTGCCTTGTTTGGAGACGGAAGGCGCGGCCAGCCTCCTCCCGAAGGAGCTTCTTCGGCAGGTCCTCGATCTCGGACAGCTCCATTTGTGAACCGAGAATCATGTGGTTCACAAACTGTACCGTCTTCGAAGGACAGGCCAGGGTGACAGCTTTGGGAGGCGCCTCGTCGTCCTCGGCAGAGAAGATGGCCCGAGCAAGCTCGGCTTGTCGCCCGCGTTTTGGAGCAGGGTCGGCATCAAGGTCCACCGTGAACGGTCTTTTGCCTGCAGCTTTGGAGGAGATACCCTCGGTAGGCGTGCCTTGGCTGGGGGACGGACCAGCATCGGCAGCTTCGGCACGCGCCGATTCAGCGTTCATCTGGCGACGACGCTCGTTGAGGGTTAGATCATCGGGTCCACCCCTCCCGAAGACGCCGGTGCCGTTCCGGCCTGCCGCCCCTTCTTTCTTCCCCTGCATGCCGAGCATGAGGCGCCTCTTCGAGGATTCATTCATCCTCTTTACCTCGGCAGCTTTCCTCTCTTCGATCACTGCGAGAAGGAATCGGTCAGATTTCCCATATACATCTTAAACTATCAAAATGGTAAAGTATGCTTACTCTCGGCAGGGTTGACGAGTTGAGCTTTGATGAGATTGGCGGTGAAGAGAAACTTCGGGTAAACCCTCTCCGCGGCAGGGACCTTCAGCCTCACCCTTTCAATTTGCCGGATCTTCGCCTGTGTAGCGCTCGGCTGCTTCAACTTGCCTGCACAAAGTAAAACGGAATTAGCATTACCGAAGGAAAACACGACCTACGTCCCCTACCGAACGGAAGGATAGCCTACCGGCGATTTGGAACGTGGTGGGAATGTGGAAACGGACGGGATGTCCCGAGGGCGACTCCCAGTCACCGGACAAAAGCACCCGCCGTTTCCTCCACGTCTTCTGGGAGGTCGGAACAGCGTTGACGAAGTGACCACGCTCGGTAGCCTTCAGGCAATTAGCCTGGACCCAGCCCCCCGTGATCGGCACACTTCGACTTCGTGACGCTGTACAGGTGGGAGAACTGCTCATACGAAGGCTCTCCCTCGCCAGCCATGCCGAAGGCTGTGACTACACCCATTAACGCCACCCAGAAGTTGGGATTGAACTGGCCGGGAGCATAGCCTATCTGCGCCAGGATCCTCTGAACGGCGGGCTGCAGAGGGAGCCTCACCCCTTGCAGAAGTACGTCCGTGAAAAAGACGACTTCGCCGTCCTTCGGACTACTTAGAGATTCGGTAGGATTTGGGATCCTCATGCCTACCGAATCTGGTATGAAGTATTCAGCCGAAACCTCGCAATCTCCCTCTCGGTGATTCTGTTGGGCTCCAGATAATCTACGCCGAAGACGAGCTCCTTCGGAACCCCCATCGGCACCCTAGGATTGCTGGGGTAGACTACCGAACCCTCGGTCGGTGGATGGTTCGGCAGCGGACTCACCACGGCCGGAAGTGGAGGCCTCTGGTTGGTGACTACCGCTCGCCTCCTCAGGGGCGCCAAGACCCACATGGCGGCCGTCGCTATAGACAATAGACAACGGTACCGGAGCGGTCATTAGCCCCTTTCCGATGCCATGTATAGGGACGGAGCTGGGCCCTTCACCGAGTATCTCGACATCGGTATCACTTCCATCCTCGGCATCAGGCCCTGCCGCTTCAACATCGGAGTCAAAGAGACTTTCCGATGACTCCTCATCGAACGCGTTGGGCTCACGCTCGGAGAAAGACTCGCTATCGGACATCTACAAAAACAGGGAGAGAAGGAAACTAAGGCTCATGCCGGATACTATCCTACCGATCCCTACATCACTACCTATGGCGACTAGACTACCGAATGGAACCCTATGGTCAGTCTAGTTCAAACCAAGGAAGGACGTAACTCTTAAGGTATGTAAAGAAGGGAAAAGAAGAGCTATCGAACGGTACCTTAGTTCAACTTCTGAAAATGGACGCGAACTGTGCTTCAGATCGCCTGGACACGAATCGCCCTTCCTACCGTTGGTAGTACCGGAAATCGCCTGGTTGCCGTTAGCTCTCGTCGGAAATCGCCTGGAATACCGGAAGCTCTTGTCGGAAATCGCCTCAGCAGAGCTCTCGTTTTCTCACCAAGTCCAAAGTGATTTCGTCCCCGGAATCACCCCTATTTATAGGGCGAGCGCGCGAAACGGCATACCTCGAGAAGCCAAACGGCGCATTAATGCGCCGCGAACCATCATTGCTTCCACCACGTGTCGCTCATCCTATGGGGGACTGACGGCACGCGGGGCGCGGAAGTCGAGACGCTCAGATGTCCATTCACCCGTCCGTTGACGCGACCTTCTGACTTCGCCAATGTCAGCCTCTGAACAAACAATGCTGGAAGGGCCAAAGTTGAGCCCCTTCCCCCGACTAGACTACCGAACGGTAGGGCCACCTTTCATACTGAAGACAACTTCAAATCCCCTTCCGAGAACTCTCACAAGGGGACTTGGGGGACTCCTGTTTATACCAAATGAACAGCCAATGAATACCGGACACGTGGACTAAACCAGGGCCATGGGTGCCTTCGGCACCCACCTTCGGTACCAAACCCACCGATCGCAACATTAGGGCAACCTCGCCCCCTTTCACACGTGGCAGTCCCACAACTGATGTCCAAAGTCCCACATCGAAACTCTAAACAAATTGCACACCTCCCAAGGCCTATAAAAGAGGACCACCATCCCAGCTTGAAGGTAATCAATCAGAACTCACGGCATACTGCCTATTGATCTGTAGTTCAAACTTTACTAAATCCGTACTTACTTAAGCATCGGAGAGCCTTCGGCCGGTACCACACCGGTGCCCTAGGACTTACCGTGTGTTTGCTATCTTACAGATTGGACACACTACCGAGGACATCAGATACCGAAGGAGATATAATCACTAAGTTGCGCGGGGAAAGTGCCGAACCATTTTTCTGCGTCAACACTAGCTATGATGATTTCTATCATCATAAAAAGGGCCAGTAATCTTTCAAAGGGACAGCTCCGCTCAAGTATTTCCGAGGATACGTTTTGCACCCAATTTGTTTGATCAACCCACAAAGATTCTTGGCTATGATGATTGAAATCATCATAAACAAAATTAAGAATCTCTCCAAGACTGGCTCCGCTTAATTGATTCCATCGATATTTTCAGTCCACCACCAACAGATTCTTGGCTATGATGATTTCAATCATCATAAAGAATCGCTCAGAGGCTTGGCTCCGCTCAAATGATTCCATCAATGAATCCAGTTCACAACCAACAGGGGAAGATTGCCTTCCATGATGATTGAAATCATCATACTTTATGGCTCGTCCTTCCAACAGGCAGCTCCGACTAAATGTTTTCAAGATATGTTCGACCTCCAATTTTCCAGCAATCAGTGAGGATTGTTTGCCGTTTGGGGTGTCTTGATCAATTAAAAAAAAACACACTTGTTAATGGCACCAAGCTGTGAGGGGACCAGATGGAGCAAAGCAAGGCTTTGGTTTACTATGCTTTGTGAATGTAAACAGAAGAAAATAGAAGCCCGTGGAGATGCCAAATGGGAGCCTTGATAAGCAGTGTAGTCTCAAAATCTTTGAGTATTACAAAGGCTGAATGGGATGCAATACTTATTGTGGCATTGTGATATTGAAGCAAGCCATACATTACAATTTCGCTGGTGGGCATTATGGTAATGACAAATTATAGCACATTTGTCTTCCTCTGCCTCAAAGAGTAACATGGCATTGTTTAGGCCTCTCATCATGCTCGGTGTTACCATATGAAAAAAATATCTGCCATCTTTTATTTCAAGAGAGCACATTTATTTTTATTAGGGAAAATGATGGAATTAGAAGGACAAGTCTGGCTATCTCTCACTTTCTCATACAATCCAAAAAGTTGGCACTTGGCCAGACAGAAGACGCAACCGCATGGAACCCAAATTTGATACCAAAGGAAACAGTAACCAAGTCAGTGAGCCGGAAGCATAAAAGCTTAAAGGCAAAAAAGAAGTGCCTCACGCTTTGCGTACAAGCCAGTTGAAACCTGTTTGGGCTTAAATGAGCCGCCAGCGCCCAACAAGAGGGAGAAACCCAAGATCAGCAAGGTCTTAGCCCAAAACCAGACCAATATGACTCGGGCCTTAAAGAAATCACCTTGGGGCTCAACAAAATAAGCCCAACCAGAGTTGGCATTAAAAAAGGGACCTATCCTAGGAACCCACGTGACATTTCTTGTATTATCAGGTTGGAAAAGTAACAAACCCAACTAACACAGAGTTGATAATGGAAGGGTCAAGTGGCTGGAAATTGGAAGAGGACAACCTCTGAAAATCTGAAGAGCAATCCCTCTACATCTATATATATATGTATATTTCAGAGTTTTTTCTACTTACAGAGAAGGTGATTCTCCCAAGAGATAAGCACGCTACAATATCAAAAAAGAGATAAGCAGGAAAGCAGGGAGTTGTTCAAACTGAAAGAAATCAAAACTAAACCATCACGGATGAAATTCACAAAGGGACGTGAAAATGGGGAAAGGAGATTAGGTTTTTCTTTTAAAAAAAAACAGAGAAGTGATCTTAAGGATTGATTGATGAGAGCCTATCTGACCAAAATTTTAAATATCTCTCCTTGTATTTCTTTCTGATTTTTAAAAGATTTGCGCCCATTATTTTAAGAAAGAAACCTAAACCTACACATCTCTTATTAGAGAGCGTTGGAAACAGGTTCAAGGGACTCAATCAAAACAACAATCAATAAAAACGATCAACAAACAAACAACTCAAAAATCACCCAAAAAGCCACTTGAATTCCAAGAACCAGCTTCAGATCAAAATTCCCAAGGTGCAGCTTTAGAAAAGTTAATCAAAACGCGATTTTCTCTCGTACAAATTTGGTTTTCAGCAAAAACCAAACAGGTAGAGCTTGAGTTTCCCAAACATGAAAACCATAAAAATTGGACAGCCCTCTTCGCTGCCTGATTGGTCTTTCGTGGTCCGTCGCTTTTAGATTTCTAGACCGCGTTGTCCCGCCTTTCTTCATCCGCCACGTTTCTGCCATCTTCTAGTTTGTATCGACCAGCTCTCGCACCCCAAATCGCTCCGAGCCGTGACCGTGTTTTAGTGTAACAGCGCCCGCGTCAAATCATGACCCTTTTGGCCCATCTGGTATGTGTACCATCATGTTTTATGACACACCACTGCGACGACCTTCCCCCCCCACCCCTCCCCTTCCCCCCCGGCCTTTGTTTTACGACTGCACGATTAAATTCTGTGGTTGGGGGTATACAGCCTCTGTTTTTTTTTTTTTTTTTTTTTTTTTTTTTTTTTTTTTTTTTTTTTTTTTTTTTTTTTTTTTTTTTTTTTTTTTTTTTTTTTTTTTTTTTTTTTTTTTTTTTTTTTTTTTTTTTTTTTTTTTTTTTTTTTTTTTTTTTTTTTTTTTTTTTTTTTTTTTTTTTTTTTTTTTTTTTTTTTTTTTTTTTTTTTTTTTTTTTTTTTTTTTTTTTTTTTTTTTTTTTTTTTTTTTTTTTTTTTTTTTTTTTTTTTTTTTTTTTTTTTTTTTTTTTTTTTTTTTTTTTTTTTTTTTTTTTTTTTTTTTTTTTTTTTTTTTTTTTTTTTTTTTTTTTTTTTTTTTTTTTTTTTTTTTTTTTTTTTTTTTTTTTTTTTTTTTTTTTTTTTTTTTTTTTTTATTGTTTATTTACTACAGGAACCAAAAATGCAGTCACTTGTATCAATGTTCAGACTGAAGCAGAATGTTCCTCAAGGTAGAGAATCAATAACAGCACTGTCATCCTTGAGCAAGGGACTGAAGTGAGCTCAAAAAAAAAGACACACTTCAGACATGGTGGGTCTTTTCTTCCGGCACACAGAAGGCAAATTGGAGGACATTTCTAGAGCTCCAAGTCCATCCTTTTGCTGGGAAGATTCCGTGGTCTTTGGATCGATAACTTTGGACCGGGCGCCATTCGTAATGTTGACCTTTCGTCGCACCCACTTACAATGTCGAGAGACTCAGATGGTTTCAGCTTGCCTGCCTGTAACTAGCTCCATAATACACACCAAAGCTGTAAACATCCTCTTTGCTCATTGCTTTCTTACTGTACTTGTATTCTGCAAACAACAATAAATGTCATAAAAAATTTGTTCTTCAATTACCAACAGAACATTTTAAGGATACAGATATGATGTTATTTAATTATCTAGAAAGACTGCTTTGGAACATATAAGAAATAAAAAAAAAAAAAAAAAAAAAAAAAAAAAATCATTGCATTCATTCCATTCCTTCTACTTCCTGGCGCATTGTAACAGGATAAAGCAGATTCCGAAGCCATAGTTTGACTGAAAGGCAGCTCTTCTCCCACAATTCTGTCAAGAGCAAGTCTGCGAGCTTTGGGTTGAAATCTGCATCCAGAAGGATATTTTTCGATTTGACATTTCTATGCAGTAAATGAGGAACATAATCCTTGTGGAGGTATCCCAATCCTTGGGCAACACCAATGGCAATTCTCAATCTGACATTCCACTGCAAATTAAAATCAGGTCTGGAGATCAAGTCCCCCAAGCTCCCTTTCTGTAAGAACTCATATATCAGAAATATCGAATCATCGGAATGACAGAACCCCAGCACTTTCACAACATTTTTGTGCCTGATCTTGGCCAAGGTCTTGATCTCAGCCTTCAAAGCTTTCGAAGACTGGACGCCAAAATTCACAAGCTTCTTTACAGCAACAAGTTCACCACTTGGTAAACTTACAATATAAACTCTACCAAATACTCCAGCACTTCCTGCAGCACTTTTCTCATCCATTCCCATCACCAAATCATGCTCAGTGACTCTGAGAGTAAAGAACCCGACCGCCAAATGCCAACTTGGGTTCTCTGCTTGCGATATCGATGATATGCGATAAACCCACCAGCAACAATGAAAGTTCCAACAGCAAAAGCTATAGAGATCAGGGCACATGTCAAGATTGTGAGATCAAAAGAACGGTGTTTTGGGTTTGGTCATCAGAACAAGGATTGAGTAATCCTGGACCACAAAGGTCAGGTTTCCTTGAAGAAATGAAGCTGGCAGGCCTGAAATAAGAGAGTAGGGGACTCTACCAGATAGCTGATTAGAAGAAACATTGAAGAGTGCAAGCTTCAAGTTTTGAAGCGCCTGCGGGATTGGACCGGTAAGCTTATTATCAGAAAGATCAAGGTAAGTTAGCACTGGTAATTCACCAAGAGATGATGGGATATTCCCATTATGACTGTTGCCAGCCAAAGACAATGATACTAGCTTTCTGCATTTTTTAACCTCCGGAATTCGACCCGAAAGTGAATTATGGGAGAGATTTACTATACTCATAACAGGGGAATCACAGAAATTTGGAGGAAGTTCACCATATAAACCATTCAGAGAAGCAGAGAATCTATACAAGCTCTTGACTAACCCAAGACCCTGAGGAATTTTGCTACTGAAGCTGTTGTTATCTATTTGAACCTGCTCCAATTGAGCAGCCATTGATACCAATCAGGTATTTTCTCCAGAAAATCTATTATTTTCAGCTCTCAAAAGCTTAATTTTGGGTAAAGACCATAACCCCCTGGGAAATCCCCAGAAAATAAATTGTTCTGAACTTCAAACCTCTCTAGCTTTAAGCATTCACTAATGGAGATGGGACTGAACCATTGAAGACATTGGTATGAAGGCTGAGGTTATAAGGCCTTTTCCAGTACAGATGCCATTTGGGAATGCGCCCAGAAGCCTGTTCTCAATACATCAAAAGACACCAAGTTCTGGAGAGAAAGCCAAGTGTCTTGAGGAACCCTACCGGTTAAGTTATTCTGGGAAGGTCCAAACCGTCAAACTTTGCAAACTCCCCAAAGATTCAGGAAAGCTCACCATGAAACCAGAGCTTTGCAAGATAACTTCTCAAGCTTCACAAGCTTACCAATATCATTAGGAATCTCACTCACCAAGTGAATTTTGCGACAGATCAAGAACACTAGCTCAGTTAAATTCCCAAAGATAGAAGGCACACTAACCTGAAGCAAGTTGCTTCCCAAGTTGAGAACTTGGAGGTTGCTGAGTGAGCCTAGCCTGTGGGATGTTTCCTTCAAGATGGTTCTTTGCTCAAGTCAAGCACTTTCAAGGAACCAAACTGAGAAATCTGGTTTAGGATTGTACCCCCAGATGAGATTGTTGCTGAGATTCAAAGTCTCCAAAGAAGTGCACTGAGAGAGATGGAGAGGGATGGGCTGGCTGAAGAGATTTTCAGCAAGGTTGAGCGAGACAGATTGGGAAGCTCGCATATTGAAGATGGAATTTCACCTGAAAGGTTCAAGCTTTGGAGGTTGAGAGAAGTCACAGAGAGTGGAGCTGTGGTTGTGCAGGTAATTCCAGTCCATTCACAAAAATGAGTGAGAGAGGAGTTGGACCAGCTTGAGAGAGAGTTTTTAGAGTCTTTAATGGAAGCCTTGAAGGTGAGAAGAATGTCTGCCTCAGAAGATGATGAACTGAGAATGAGGAATGTGGAGATTAGAGAGAGAAACAAAGGAAATGCGCAGGTGGTAGCCATTGGAGGAGGTGACTCTGAGAGAGAGAGAGAGAGAAAGAGATTGGTTGTGTTCCTCTCAATTTTTTCTATATATCAGTGAAGTGGGAAAGTGTGAGTGAATGAATCAGAACAAAAGAGTTAAGAATTGTTGGATGTTTGGTGGGTTCAAGGGCATATCAGCAAAGATCAGCAAAGATGCAAAAAAGTCATCCTTACTTTTGAGGATTGTCAAAATTTATTGCAAAAGGTACAAGTACAAACAGTGCATGCATTAATGTAAAGTAAATTCACCAAACTAATATTTAATAGAAAAAATAAAGATTTTATATAATTAAAAAAAAGAAAAAAAAATAGAACGATTGAAAAATTACTTCATACATATGTAATGCAAACGACTGAAAATTTTATGCATACATAAACGAAATTAAAAAAAAATCATAAAAAGAAAACTGCATATTCTGCTTTGCACAAATGCAAAAGATTGAGTGAAATAGTGCAGGTAATTAAATAATATAAGTTGACTCTAAACAACTGATATGAAATATTTATTTATATCCAGAGTCTAATGCAGTATAACAAACGATCTATTTTAGTGCTTTATTATTACTTACCTAGAGTATGTATTATAATCTAGACTTTTCGTGTGTTTATTAACATAAACGGAATAAAAAAGTAAGGATATTCAACGTTACAATCTGCAAGCTAATACTTGAAAATATGAAATAGATCATGGTTAATCCTATAAGCAATTTTTCTCTCCTATGTTCTTAAATTTTCTTATTTCAAATAAGTGAACATGTTTCATAGCAGTAGAAAAACGTTAAATTAAAAATTAACATCACGAGTCAACAGAGCAAATTAATAATATCCTAATTTGGTTAGTCAGCTACCAAATTAGGCTTATAAAGAACATGATTCATCATGACCACATCAAACTGAGTCATGAACTGACACATATTTTAAATTGATTACTGTTTCACAACAGAGCAAAAATTGTTTTTGTAATATTCTACACAAAAGGCCACAAAAAGTGAGAACCTTTTAATTTGGTGTAAAGTTGAGATTTAGCAAGGAAATGAAACACACACCCCACCCAAAACAAAAATTCAAATGAAACCCATCAAACTCCTCTTTGTTGTTGTTTTTTTTTTTTTTTAAAAAAAAATAAACATTAGATAAAAGGAAATCCAAAGAAACATATAATATTCTGTATAATTAAAAAAAACAATATAAAATTTACAGAATGAAGGACAGGATTGACCTTCTACCAACCCACAGAAAACCTTGTTTAGAAAGAAAATCTACATTCACTGTCCCACATGCATTTTAACCCTTTTCTGCCAAAAAAATTCCATGTGAAGCAGCTCTCGCTGTCCATTTGGTCACTGTCGCTGTAAATTTTAGATGGTAAAAAAGGTAAAATGAGACAAGAAAAAAGTAGGTGAAAGAAAAATACAATAAAATAGAAACTGTAAACTGTAAACTGTAAAAGGGTGTTTAAAGTCAGACCCAACTGAACAAAGAAAGGGAAGCGGTCAGCGGAGAGAGATTGGTGTCCTCGTGAAGGAAGACTGTCAGTGACAGTGAGTGGCAGAGAGGGAATATGGGAGTGACGACAAATAGGGACTGAGAAGATGAGACAAAAGTCCACTTCTCACGTGACAACCGAGGTCTTAGATCATAGATGCCGCACAGCACAGCACCCGCACACAGTTCTATGATCTATCTATCTACAAAATATAATTACTGAAATAAAGAAAATGGATTTGAAACTCAAATGATAAAAGAGCAGTTATCGTTATATTTGAAGTCTTTTTTAATCAACATTGTAAAGTTATCATCAACTAGTTATTGATCTAATAGTACTTCTCTTCTCGATCTCGAAAGATGTCTCAAATTCGAATACATCATCTAAGCAAGAGTGAAATTCAAACGTATTAGGAAAAAGAAAAACATAAACATATTAGGTGGTGGGAAAATGTGAAATTCAAAGAAGTTGATGAAAGGACGAAGGTTTAGGTAAAAGCGTAAAACACAGCAGCAGCAACAGCAAAAGGGGTCCCGTCCCTGGTAAATTTCAATTGGCTGCTGTGCAAAAGGGTGATGCTCAAGTTGACAATTTATCCAAGGGTTTTGACTTTTCAGAGTGAAAGTTAAAAAAATGAAAGGTTGAAGGACAAGTGTTATAATTGCAGTGGCCTGGCAAAAAATCTAGTAGAAATTTCATTGTCGTGTCAGGGAAGGCTTCTCTGCGTGTGTACCAGTAAACCCTAAAAGCCATAGGCTTCGCAGAAGGCAGGCCAGCCCAGTTGACATTGCCAACTGTTTTCTTTTCTTTTCTGGTTTCGGATAGACCAAAGGAAGAAAAGTGACGTTACATGATATCTGCTCCTTAATTTGATTTGATATTTGAAGGTTTTGAATAACAACATAACAAGGAATAAAAAAATTTAAATGGTCCCTCTGTCAAACTTTAAGGTCCAGTTAATTCCATGGCAGGATTTTCTGCATCCTTGATATGGTAACTGGTTATCCCAGGAAAAAAACAAGGACTTGTTTCTGGCTGCTCAAAACAATTCAATGGTTAAAATGACGCCTCATTTTGCAGATTTAAATGACACCTTTTCTACTTACGAATTTTTAGCAGAGGACATGTAGAAATACATAAAAGAAAGAAAGGGAACCTTTTTCAGATGTTATGCTGAGGAGAATGGTGAAGTCAAATCTTGGTTCCTTGTACATTTTTTCTTACTCCATAATAATACTTCTCTTTAAGCTCTTTTTAATATTGAAAAATGTTTCATATTTGAATTTCTCATATTTCATATGATTTAAAGTTAATTATACGCCCCTACTTACAAACTAATCACAATTTAACACATATTAGACTACTATTGGAAATTGTTCGTTAACGAAATTGCATTCACTTATATTCCTCCTTACACGAAATTGCATTCACTTATGTTTTGATGAAATTGCATTCACTTTCTTGAAAAGAGAAATAGCATTAGACCGAAAGATAGTTTATTTATGGCAAGAGTTTATGTAGAAGATTAAGATATTAGTGCACCGACGTAGCATAATATAATCTATTCATTCGGGTAAATAATCATTCGTCATCTGCCCTACACGATCCCTTTCTGTGGTGCTCTTTCTATTCAGGCACCCTATATTGCCTTCTAATCAAACAACACTAATGAGTAACAATGTCCAATCAATTAAACTGAGCAGATACAGCTGTTAAGACCAAAACTATAGTAACGCAATGCCACATTTCTCATCATAGCTTCACAAACAAACATAGCCGGCTTGCAAGATAAGTTTCAAGGAAAGATTTGAATACAGAGGAGGATGCTATCATCACAAGATGCCTTTCGATGTGCATAAAGTTCCCCATTTCCATGATATTGTCTTTTGACACTGACTAGGAAAAGAAAATGCTCATGCAATACTCATAAATTGTGCATTATGTCAATGATTTGGTGGAGCAAGTCATTAAAGTTAAATTGGCCTTTTGTTTCCCATTAGTGGGATGTTTGCATGGTTAATTTGATTTTATCTTGTTAAGAGCTTGTTCATCACATCAACACAAGTCAATAAATTTTGGCCAATAGGCAAAAGAAACCTAGGTTTTTCCTATTTCGTTTAAATAAGACAACTCGTTAATTGAACACATAATTTTTCAACGTAACACTATAATTTTAGTTGTTGAATTAAAAAGATAGTAAATTTGTTTATTGTGTCAAAATTAGGTTACCAAGTTTGACACTATTTGTATTTGTCTAAAATAACGATAAATCTAAATCCGTTACGTTGGTGTCAATTTTGAGTCGTGTCATTTGTAAAACATGATGAAAATAAGGACGGAGAAAGCTGCAATGTTCATACCTCATACCAACAGTATCATCAGGTGGATGTTATCAATAATTCTCCATTTAAAAGGTCAATGTGCCATGATATAAGCCACGAGGAGATTCCAAAAAGTGGTGGCTATTTCTAATGATCCAATCCAAACAATCCCCACCCATAATCATACCTAGAAATTGCAAGTCCAAAACAACAATAGTTAAAAGCAAACTACAACTGTAAACTCTACTGCTTGTTTGTTACCATTTTGTTTATTCTCTCTTTCTTTCCTCCCCAAAACCATGAGTACCACCAGTCAACCATGCATTTTGTAATCTATACATCGATCATGGCGTTCAAACTCATCGAGCTATGCATGCCTCGAAATTAAATCTTATTTTATAACATATTTTACTCACCAAAATTGTACCATATTAATTTTAATTTTAATTTTTATAAATTGGTTTGTGACTCAGAGCTAAGAATGTCAACCAATAGAAAGATGTCTGTCTTCAACCCTAAAATAAACATGTGAATCTAATCCTATGAATTGACTAGGTAGCATCTAGATAAGGTTTAGCTCAAAGGAGTCTTAGCTTTTATAGCATCCAAAGACCAATGACATAAAAATAATGCACATCAAATGCAATTTTTCGTTTGTTTAATCACCTACATGTCAGAGAGAGAGAGAGAGAGAGAGAGAGAGAGAGAGGGTATTTGCATGTAATGTGTTCCCTAGAAAACTTGTCTCCAAGTCCCCAAAAAAGGATTTGAGGGGAGCCCCTTTTTGTCTTTGATGAAGAAAACAAGCGTGGGGGGTGGTGGGGGAGTCGAAAGTTGCTGTTATCAAATACCCACTTATTGCAGTAAAGAAAGGTAGCTAATAGCCATGGTGCTGGTAATGAAACACAGTATGCAATAATGCACCACACTCCATAGCCTCTGCCAACACGACATTGCTTTCAGCAGACGGTGGAGAGTGGGGACACTTGGTTGTTCATGTTGCTTGCCATGTTTTGACACTCCTTTGGTGATCCTTTTATGACTTCCACAGAGATTGCTTGGTTTTGGAAGAACATAACCTGAGCTAGAAAATACTTGGATTTACTTATCTGGAATGAGTGAAAGTCAAAGTTCGGAGAAATCAAAAGTTGGGGAGAGGAATGAGAATGACATTAACTACTCATCAATCTAATTTTTTGTCTTTCAGGTATTAGATTACCATTTTTAATGTAAAACCCGCATATCCTTAGATTCTCATGGTCAAATTTATTCCGGATTTTCAAGTAGAATTCACATATTTCTTTATTCCTTGTGTGTTAGTAGATGTAAGAGAAGACCGGAAGTCATGAATTGGAATCATTCTAATACCAATATGCTAGTAAACACATAAGAAGTCAAGAAATATACATTCCATCGTAGCTGAGTAAGTTTCTACAAGCAACAGTTTGAGATGCGTGCATAAATGTTTCTTTTTGTATTTTAAGCTTAGTTCATACCATAAATTAATTGGTCTTATAATAACCTTCAGAACTTTGTTGAATTTTGATGCCATTACACCATCTTAATCATAAATTGATTGTCCAAACAAATGTCATATCTCACTCACTGCTAAAAGCCGGTTTTTGAAGGCATACCAATGATCAAATATATACTTAATCCACTCTTATGAACCTCAAACAGGTTGCTTCAAGAGAAAGGAGCAAGACCTCCACCTGTTTAAGCTTCAACAGCTGAAGAAAAGAAAAGAAGAGAAAAGTTCCCTCAACCTGGCATCGATAAATAACCAGTCCTCTGGTTACATAGCAGTATCCTGAAAGACTAAGTGCAGAGCAACAAAAATATGAAACAAAGAGCCAGAATATGTGTTCCCCTCCTACAAAACAGCTACTAATAGTTGTTTCCAGGTGCAATCACTTTACCTTCTTGCCATAAGGTGCACCCAACTTCCCACCAAGCTTAAAAACCCTGACAGAGTTCCCACACAGCTAACCCAGTAACACATTTACTAGATTCATAGGATTACCAACTGTTTTACTTACTGAATAATATATACACATACCATCCCTTGATGCAACCCAAAACACCGAGTATTATTTGCACAGAATGGTCTTACCTAATGACTGTTTATTCCACCATCTGAAAGAAAATTAGCATCCAACACCAGAGGAAGAATTGCAGTCGCACATATTTCGGGTGGTATTGTGTTCCCTTCCCCCTTTAGCTACAAGAAAAAGTGGGAGCCTTATTCCATCATTAAAAAGCTTAAATGAAAAAAAAATCAAATTCAGTACCTGCCAATATTATCTATGCACACCTTTCTTCTTTTTTTCCTTTTTCTAAATCTATACTAATATGTATAAAGCAATGACTATATTTCTGTCTCACACTCTTCCACTGATTCACTCAAGTTCTAATCCCAGAAGTTCGAAATCTCAAGAATGCACCCTGTTCATGCGAGGGACTCTCTCACAAGATAAAAGTATAATGGTAAAATAGAATGAAAATAACTTCAAACCAGCACTCCCCACTAGTCATGTTTTGGGGGAGCCCAGTGGCATCTAATACTCACACAAGAAGATCACAGCCCAAAATTCTCTTATCTAGGACTAGAATAACCTGACCTGGACCTTGCACCTAGCAATCACACACATCAATAAGAGGCACCGCGTCATACATATACAGAAACACTACCATAAACAAAATTGAGAAGATAAAAGCAATCAAACACCTAAGCGAGAATTCATTTACCCAGCCAATAAGCCCCTAACCATGTCACACGGAAATTTCCAATACAATTGATTGCCAAGGAATACTCATATAAGCATAACAAAAGTGTTTTAACAACATGATTTCAAATTTCAAAACAAGCCGGGCACACATGTACAGAATGAAAATACAAAACAAACAACTTAAGGAAGTTTTAATTGCACAACATAATTGTACTGAAGGCTGAAATTTTCATATTTCCATGTACTGCAATAAAGAAATGCATACCAAGCAGAAGACCATACTGAAACATTGCTCCAAAGACATCCATCAAACCAACAATAATAAAGACTTACACACTGGAGCCAGCAAAGGAATACTTCACCAACTAGGAATAGAGTTCCCATAAAATCATGTCCTCATTATCATGACTTAGCATTTTTACCATTAGGAGACCTAACAAGACACGAAACCAAGAAAGAGTACCATCATCTTTCAATACACAAATCTTCAGTTCAGCCCATGAGTACTAGATCTTATCAAGTTTCTCTGCCTTGACGACAGGATTGGCTTTTGCAATAGCATCTTGACCAGCAGTCCTATAATCAAAAGGACAGTCATGTTTGTCAGAATAACGATGACTTGAACAGAAGGTGTTTCCACATTTGCAATTGAAGCCAGTTAAACCAACACGCTTTCGGCAAGTAGTGCATCTGCTTGGTCCCTCTTTTTCTTTCACCTCAAACACCATGCTCGAAGACGAGTCAATGGATGGTTCTGTTGAAATAACTCTTGTCTCCACTTGTCCAGCTTGCACATCAACAACACCTGCAACGACTGGGCCAATGCCAATGCTGCTACTGCTGCCATTCACAATGCTGTCAATGGATGAAGCAGCAAAATTGGCTTGCTCCTGTTTTAGGAGTGTGTCCTTGTAACATTTAGAACACATGTTCATTGTAGCGGCCCTTCCAAAGAATCCACAGTTGTTAACGCAAAGGATAGGGCGGTCTGGAGTTTGGCATCCAGTTTCATCGTGAGATTCCATCTTTATTTGTTATCTGCAAGAGAAAAAAGAACATGAAAAAGCACCTCATCGTTTCCATTCACCCACTGCAAAAATATCAAACCATTATACACATACAAATTAAGGACAAATTTCAACAAATACACACATACTATAAAATTCAGGCAACTCCAAATGCCCAGCATAGTGAACACATATAACCAATTCTAGAGAATAAAGCAACTACATAACCAAAGAAAAGAGAAGAAAACAACTCTTACGCACTCCAACTCATCAATTCTAGATATTTATCTCCTTCCCTGAAAAGTTTGAGATTTTCAACCTGGGTAAAACATCAATTTCACTTGCTCTGTTATGCAAATCGAAATCCCTCAGTTGATTAATGCAGGCCAAAGATTACGATTTCAACCACATAACTCTAACAAATGCAGAAAACCCACAAAACTTCTAAAGTTTTCCCTATAAGGCCGCAACTTCAAAAAAGGGGACAAAATCTGAACAAGCTCAGTTCTATCAAATGCAGGAAACACACACAACTTCCATAGTTTGCTCTATAAATACCGAAATCTTGAAAAAAAATCCCATAAAATCTGAACAAGCTCAGTCATGCAACGAAAAATCTGAACTTTCAACCGGAAACGTTTTCAGCAGCAGAGGAACGCTTACATAATTTTATCAAACACGATGATTGAAACCCTATATACGTAATCAACCAACACAAATGAAAACAAATTTATGCAACTCACCAGCTTCTTATTCAAGTGCAAAAATTATAAATTTCATACAGAACATAAATTCCACACCTGCTTGGTTTGGCCGATCTCGAGTCACACAATCGAACCAGGCGATTCCTGTTTCTCGTGGAAAAAAAAATTTCGAAAATTCAAAAACCAATAAATTAATATCCTCTACAGAAAGCAAAATCAAATAAATATACAGGAACAACAAAAATCAAATACGCAGAGAGGGGATTATTTGGATACCCTAATCGAGGAGATTATTGCGAGATAATTGTACAGAAAAAAATAAAAAATTTAAATACATAAAAAATAAAAGGAAAGAGAAGAAGATAAAGGGAGGTTGATCTTTGGGTTTTGGTTTTGGAGGCTCGTGGGGTCTCTCCGTTGGTATTTAAAACTTTAGCTTTCCTCTTTGCCAACGAACGCTCTCCACTGAGTCGGTGGTGCTGCGATAACCGCCCTTGGAGGACCGCGTAATTGCGGTGTTGCCATTTCATTATCTGACTCGGATTGTCTCAGAGTTCGGGCTTGAGATTGGGCTAGGCTGGACCCATGCTCGTACAAATGTTGGGCTTAGCCTAAATGAGACACGTGTACCAATTTATCAAGAAAAACCGCGACCTATTTAGTGCCCGTTTGACATTGCTTATTTGGGGTGATAAGTTATTTTTAAAAAATTTTGGGAAGCCCATTGGTAAATTGTGAGAAAATTACTTATTGTTAAAAACTGTTGTGAGAGAAAGCTATAAAAGAAAGCAGCTAATGAGGTGCTTTCATTTTCTGATTATGAAGGAATTAGTTTCGAAGAGGCGCTGGGTTTAATGATTATGCGACAATTATTTTCTGATTATGCATAAATCAATACCAACAACACTTTGAACAAAAAATTTACTAAATACCAAATTGCTTTCTCTCACAGCAAATCTGACAGCAATTATTTTCACTGCATGGTAATGCCCAATTCGTGTCAAATGACTCAATAACCTTTTTTTTGGGTATTTTTATCATAAATGGTCTCTTAATTTTTCAAAGGTTATCGTTTGAGTCCTTGAACTTTTAAATCACTTAGTGTGATCCATGAGTTTAATGATAAGGACTTTAAAATATTTAGGTCACGTTTGTTACACATGACTGTCTTGGCATGGACTATTCTTAAGGACTATCTAGACTTGGCTTGGCTTGGTCTAAGTTGGATAACACTTATCCTATGTTTGGTATATGCTTGGACCAGGACTAGAGAGTCTTTTACATAAAATTCTTAAGGACTGTTTGGACTTGGCTTGGCTTGGTCTAAGTTGGATAACACTTATTCTATGTTTGGTATAATATAAAAAAGAGGACCCCTAATCAGGCTCGTGTCAACACATGTCTTTTTCTAAAACATTAAAAACATGGAGTATAGTCTTGCTATAGCTTTTTTTTTTTTTTTTTTTTCTTTTTTAAAGAAGAAACCTCTATCAATTAAAGCCACGTGTCAAAAATAAGTATAGCTGCCCGGCTATACTAATTTTTTATATAAAAAAATCGTAGTATAGTCGCCCGGCGATACTATTTAATTAACAAATTAATAATAAAAAAGGACCCTCCTAGTTGCATTAGTTTGTACCTTATAGATATTAATTTGCAACATATCCAAAGTATATATTAATCTTCCACTATATGATATTTTAATATAATTTTTATAACATATGTTATTCTTATTCAATAATATGTGAGAATTATTTGTATAATGTGTGAATTTTGCATGTCTTATTGAGAATTTTGTAGAAAATACGTGTATGAAACATTAGAAATACGTACGTACATGTACAATATGACTATTGTATGTTTGCTTTTTAAAGAAAACGTGAGACATGTATAGAACACGAATGTAGTGTTGAAAAATACGTACCTATATATATATATATATATGCATACATATGTAAAAGACTATAGCTGCTCGTCTATACTATTTATTAAAGACAATTTTTAGAAGAAAAAAAAACCAAGTAACAATGCCCTGCTATACTATTTTTTGTTAAAAAAATCACGTATAGTCGCACGGCTATACTATTTTACAAAGCAGAGTATAGCCATGCGGCCATACGTTTTTAAACAATGAGTATAGCCGCGGCCATATATTTTTTTAAAATGAGTATAGCCGTACGGTTATACTATTTTTAATATAAAAAAGAGGACCTCCCAACCATTAGGCGCTACGTGTTTAACACATGTCTTTTTTACAAAAATTAAAAACATGGAGTATAGCCGGGCGGTTGTACTTGTTTGTTTGTTTTTATCGATTAAAGCCAAGTGTCAAAAATAAGCAGCTATACTATTTTATTTAATAAAAAAATCGTAGTATAGCAGGCCGGCGATACTATTTAATTAAAAAATTAATAATAAAAGAGGACCCTCCTAGTTGCATTAGTTTGTACCTTATAGATATTAATTTGCAACATATCCAAAGTATATATTAATCTTCCACTATATGATATTTTAATATAATTTTTATAACATATGTTATTCTTATTCAATAATATGTGAGAATTATTTGTATAATAAGTGAATTTTGTGCGTCTTACTGAAAATTTTGTGAAAAATATGTGTATGAAACATTAGAAATATGTACACACTAGTAGATCCATGAATTTTTAAGAGGAGGTGCAACATTTCAAAGGCTAACTGTTCCACACAACAACAAAATTTACTTTGAAAAATGTCAGTTGTTTAGATAAAAATAACCTGTATAATTGAACTGATACTATTATTATTCATAATTCATCAAAGAAAAACATTTTCTTATTAATAAAAAAAATTCACGGATGAATTTTTTGTTTTTTGTTTTGAAAAACTTGCATAATGCACATTCATGATTTGTATATATTGATTAATTGGATTTGCAATATTTGTAATGTATATATGAACTAACAAAATTCGCTTGTCATAAATGTGCAATTTATATATTCAGGGAAAAGAAAAAAAGAAAAAAAAGAAAAGAAGCACTTGCAATTTATTTCCTTGTGTCGAAGATTAAATTAACAAATAATTTCATTAATAATTCAACAACATTTTTATGTTCAATATGTGTTTATATATATATATATATATATATCTCAAAGTGTTTCTAGGTTAAGCCATCAAACTCTAATGACTACTCTCCCCTCAAACTAAAGCTGCAGCATGATGTGGTCTTGAATAGAACAAAAATTAAACACGTGTAATGCACACATAGATTTTAAAACATATTAATTGATCTGGTCCAAAATGATTCATTTTGGCCAGATCATTAAAAAGAAAAATAGATCGCGCTTGCTGCTGTTGCTCTTTACTCCAGCCTTTCCACAAACAGGTTGTGGGCATTCTTGCCCAACCCAGTTGCCCAAGAGCTCAAGATGATAAACTTCTATGGTATTTTCAGGTGATGGGAGGTGCACTTGTGCCTTCTTGGGCCTATGTAGATCCGCCACTGTACGTACGTACATGTACAATACGAATATTGTATGTTTGCTTTTTAAAGAAAACGTGAGACGTGTGTAGAATACGAATGTATTGTTGAAAAATGCATATATATATGCATACATATGTAAAAGACTATAGCTGCTCGTCTATACTATTTATTAAAGGCAATTTATAAAAAAACAAAAACCCAGTAACCCTGCCCTGCTATACTTTTTTTTTAATTAGAAAAAAAATCAAGTATAGCCGCACGGATATACCATTTTCTAAATAAAAAACAGAGCAGCCCACTATGTGAAAATAGTATAGCCGTGCGTTGATATTTTTTTTTAAATTTTAAAAACTGAGTATTAGTTTGTACCTTATAGATATTAACTTGCAACATATCCAAAGTAGATATTAATCTTCCACTATATAATATTTTAATATAATTTTTATAACATATGTTATTATTATTCAATAATATGTGAGAATTATTTGTATAATAGGTGAATTTTGTGTGTCTTACTGAAAATTTTATAGAAAATACGTGTATGAAAGATTAGAAATATGTACATATATGTACAATACGACTATTGTATGTTTGCTTTTTAAAGAAAACGTGAGATGTGTATAGAACACGAATGTATTGTTGAAAAATACGTATATATATGCATCCATATGTAAAAGACTAGACATTTGTCTATACTATGTATTAAAGACAATTTAAATATTTTTTTTTAAAAAAAACCAGTAATGCTGCCCTGCTATACTATTTTTAAAAAATTAGAAGAAAATTGAGTATAGCTGCCCGGGTATACTATTTTATAAAGAAAAAACAGAGCAGCCCAAATAAGGTTTTAT